AAGATTTTGGTGAAACCTGGCAAAATACATTAATAATTAGGTTCCAGAAGCCCCCAGAAGCTATATGATGGCCCCCAGTGGCCCCAAGAATCTATACAGGGGCCCCAAGTGGCCTCCAGAAGCTATACAAGGGCCCACAGAAACTATACTGTGGTCTCCAGAAGCTATATGGTGACCCCCAGTGGCCCTCAGAAGCTATATGATGGCCCACAGAAGCTAATTAGTGGCCCCCAGGAGCTATACGGTGGCACCCAGAAGCTATACAGGGAACCCCAGTGGCCCCAAGAAGCTATATGATGGCCCCCAGAAGCTATACAGCAGCCCCCAGAAGCTACAAGATGGCCCCCAGAATCTATATGATGGCCCCCAATGGCTCCCAGAAGCTATACAGAGCCCCCAGTAGCCCCTAGAAGCTATACGGTGGCCCCCAAAGCTATATGGTGGCCCATTGGGGGACACTGTATAGCTTCTGGAGGCCATCGTATAGCTTATGGGGGCTACCGTATAGTTTCTGTGGGCCCTTGCATAGCTTCTTGGGGCCATCGTATAGCTTCTGGGAGCCACTGGGGGCCCTGTATAGCTTCTGGGGGCTACAGTATAGTTTCTGCAGGCCCTTGCATAGCTTCTGGGGGCTATCGTATAGCTTCTGGGAGCCACTGGGGGCCCCTGTATAGCTTCTGGGGGCTACAGTACAGTTTCTGCAGCCCCTTGCATAGCTTCTGGGGGCCATCGTATAGCTTCTGGGAGCCACTGTGGGCCCCTTTATAGCTTCTGGGGCCACTATATAGCTTTCGGGGCCACTGGGGGCCACCGTATAGCTTCTAGGGGCTACTGGGGGGCCCTTTATAGCTTCTGGGAGCCATTGTGTAGCTTCTGGGAACCACCATATAGCTCCTGAGGGTCACTATTTAGCTTCTCAGGGCCATCATATAGCCTATGAAGGCCACTGGGGGCCACCGTATAGCTTCTAGGGGCTACTGGGGGCCCTTCACATCTTCTGGGAGCCATTGGGGGCCATCATATAGATTCTGGGGGCCATCATGTAGCTTTTTGGGGCTCCTTTATAGCTTCTGAGGGCCTTCATTTAGCTTCTTGGGGCCACTGGGGTCCCCTGTATAGCTTCTGGGAGCCACCATATAGCTCCTGGGGGCCATTAATTAGCTTCTGGAGGCCATCATATAGCTTCCGAGGGCCACTGGGGGCCACCATATAGCTTCTGGAGACCATAGTATAGTTTCTGGGGGCCCTTGTATAGCTTCTTGGGGCCATCGTATAGCTTCTGAGGGCCCCGTATAGCTTCTGGGGGCCACCGTATAGCTTTTTGGGGCCACTGGGGGCCCCTGTATAGCTTCTGGGCGCCACCGTATAGCTCCTGGGGGCCACAGGGTTTCCTGTATAGCTTCTGGGAGCCACCGTATAGCTCCTGGGGGCCACTATTCAGCTTCTGGGGGCCAACATATAGCTTCTGGGGAGCACAGTATAAGCTGGGGGCCACTTGGGGCCCATGTATAGATTCTTGGGGCCACTGGGGGCCATCATATAGCTTCTGGGGGCTTCTGGAACCTAATAATTAATGTATTTTGCCAGGTTTCACCAAAATCTTCAAATATGGGGCTGTCAGGGGGGGGGTTAAATTAATTAAGTTATAATTTTTCTAAACAAATTCATGCAACTATTTATCTCTAAAGCAAAGGGAGAATAACTTCCTTTTAACTCATTAAGAACGTGAAATGTAAAAACCTCATTATCAAGTGATGTTACCATAGCATCTGAAATGTTAGAAATATTACATAAACCATATGATGAATCATCTTCACTTCTAATCATGCTTTATACTTCAGATGCTTTAAGAATCAAGAATATGAAGAATATGATGAAAAGCAGACTATATGTATACTATTTATATGAATCATTGAAAGTGCATGGTAAATTATAAGATTGGATCTTTAATATACAGGGTCGAGATAACCGTTTTGACCCCTGTGAATGATAGTCAAAATGCATGTAACCTTTCCACATACTTATTAGTTCAGTTCAATACATGCACATTTTTACTCAATAAGATTGAAACAACTATGGTTGTTACTTTTTTTGTTAATTTAATATTCTTTTTATAATTGTCAAACAATGACGTTCACAGTAGCTGCCTCCAAAGGTGGATAATTTTGTTAATTCTGATCCAATTTTGAAGATTTGTTGTCTCTTTAATGTTGCTTATATCTTCCACTCATCAAATAAGGGACAAAACTATGCACACATTCTGTCATACAGCCTCAGTTCTAATAGATATGTTGCTATACTAGGATATTCTGAACCAAAATGGATTGATGACGTCACAATTAATGCAAATTAGCTAATTTGCATAACTGAATATAGTAAATTTAATAAGGTTTAATCAGATACCAATATCATCTCTATAGACCAAATAATGGCGAAGCTACATTGATTCAAGACTCCAAGGTAAGACGTATGTATATTATTGTCAAATAATGACATTCACGATAGCTGCCTCGAAAGTTACATAACTTTCGTAATACTGATTCAATTTTGAATCTGTTTTCACTTTTATGTTGCTTATACCTTCTACTAATAGAATAAAGGACAAAACCTTTCAGAAATTTTGCCATACCGCCTCAGTTCTAATAGATACGTTGCTATAGTTGGAAATTCTGAACCAAAAATAGATTGATGATGTCATAATTTATGCAAATTAGATAATTTGCATAATTGAATATCATAAATTTATTGGAAATTTAATGAGGTTTAATTTGGTGCCAATATCATTTCTATAGACCAAATAATGACAGAGCTACAAATGATTTAAGATACCAAGGTAAGATGTCTAAAGATGCGTAACCATGGTAACTGAATGCCGCCATAAAAGTACTATGGGACATTAGTTGGCAATGTTAACAAATGGATTCATTAAATAGACACCCTAGGGATTACAAAAATGTATGTAACTTATTCACACCTTATGGGTGCATGGGAACCCCTTGTTCCTACTATACTATATGTTTATATCATCAATATATATTGAGACAAACCATCAACACCATTACTTAACATTGAAACCTGATTTTGATTGAAAGCAGATTGCAAAGACAACGTACTTGTAGAGTCGATGATGATTTTGAAAAATAGTACTTTACGTCGAAAAATACGTAACAAGCTAAATATGTTATATTCAAATGTATTTTGAAAATGTTTTACATCCATTAATAAGGCAATTTATATTTCAAAGAAGTAAATGGGGGATCATCATGAATAGTGCAGAGGCTTCTCGACACCGTTGATTTCAAGCATGGTGTCGATGATGGTGCCTTCGAGGGCTACACATACTTAATGTCGATTTTCCAATAGTAAATTAGCAAATAAATTAATTCCAGCTAACGTACAATCGACACGATGCAGTCTTTGTGATGAAAAAGTAAATTATTATAACAAAATAATTTTCAGAATATAAAAAAGTTACTGTCAATCAACATAAGGGTGATCGGTTACAAGGCAAAAAATGATAGTTTGGAATGTTCGACGATTGATAATGCGTTCAGCTTTTGTAACCCTGAGATAAAAACTAAATGATATTTTGCAGGATTAAGAGACGTTTAATTTGATACCAAATACTCATGGTAGAGCGTATATTAAAAAGCGGAATAAAAACATATAGTCATGTAACATAAAATCCGTTATTATGAAAGGAATACGTGGCTTGAGTGTTAAGAGGGATTTTTTTCAAAATAGCTGGTAAATCAAAAATGGCCGCTATTTTTTAGAAGATATATGATCTCTGAAAACACGTCATGTCATGTCATGTCATGGGTGTAGATTATTACAATAAGAAGACAATACTGCTGCCTGGTTACTTAAGTGCCATATATAATGTTCAAAATGACGAGTGATACGCTTAAATATCTTTTGTTCGGTTGGATTTGCTATTACGGGGAATTGCTGTTTCTCTAGTTATGTCAGATTATATTCGAGTATACTAAGCTAGTGTAATTAATAACCATTATTCCATCTTTCATAAACAATATAATTTCCGATTATTGCGCTAAAATTCCGTGTCACGTTTGAATTGTAGAGGTAGAGCACGCAGAAAATAGATTTAATTTCCTCAATTTCATGAATAACGTTGCCTACGTGAGCTACGTGGCATTTGCCATTTCTATGGCAAATAATGCTGTTCTGGGACTTCTAGTGTATACAGCATTTGAGAGAATAGGTGCCCATTATAGAAATTGTCTCCCCTTACATGCCTTTATATTCTGAACCCATGGTTAAACTCTTATTGGATTGTGGTCTCCATTGGGAGCAATAAATCTGGTCAAATATTCCCGACCCCAGGGCCCTTCCTCGAATCTACTCTTTTTAAACGTCAGATTTCCTTGTTAGCAGGCTAATGCTCATCCTCATTTACTAGCCTGATTGATTATAACCTATAAAAGACGAATTGAAATTAGGCCAGTAACTCCCTACAGGGTGAGCCAAAAAGGTTACCCAAACAATGTTAATGACTCAGTCATTCAGCGTGGGTTTAAGGTCATACTTGGTACAACTAAACCTTGTTCTTTCATTCTACCAAGTTTCATTGGTCTATTCCAAAATGTTCACGATATTACGGCCGTTTTTAAAAGATGCTCAAAATACCAGTCTCGTCTCTGGAGGCAGACTTGAGACTATACGTTCACAGATATCTTGTGTCTTGTATAATGAGTCTCGTGTTCCCTCCGATCTCTCGTTTCATCCCCTTGATGCCGCTAGGGTTGAGAGAATGAAAGAACATATGTAGAGTCAAACTGTGCCAAATATGACTTAAAATCCATGCTGGATGACTGAGTTCGAATTACCTTTTATGGGGCTCACCTAGTATAGTATCTATACTTTATAGTGTATACGATATTCAGCAATTTAGTAGTTATTGCCCGTCATCTCAAGATCCCTCACTTCATGAGGTTGGGTAAAGAAGGTCTCCAAACAAAATACGACAAAAACAAGGGTTAATTTGAGATGAATTTATTATTTCACAATATAAGAGGGCGTTTAAATTGATGTCATTTTGACTGGCAGTGATCTACTGGTGCCCCATCGTTTGCACTAGCCCGGTTTTTACACCATAAAATTGCACATGAGAGGACCTAAACATGGTTGATGAAATAAGTAAACTGTCTTACTGGAGTTTTTATTTCATGGTTATCGGGTGAGTGTCCGTCGATGAGATGGAGAGAAGTACTTTGCGCTTACGTGTGCTATCACGGTGAAACCCTGAATATATAATAACTATACGTGTACATTTATAACTAGAAGTATTGTAAATAGATAACTACAATCATTTATACATAATATACATATGAAATCAAAATTGCATAGTGTTTGTTGTAATAAGTCATTAGCACCATTGGTTGACTGCAGAGTGACTAAGAATTAAAAATTTATTCTCATCAGGTATAATATAAAGCTTATTCTTATTCTGCATACTTAATTTCATTGTTATTGTTAACTAAAAAGTATTCACTTGTGAGGACGAACTGTTTATATTATTCTAGTACTCAATGACACTTATGAAAACACTAGAAATAGATACTGTCATAATGTGCTTTTAGAGAGTAGGTCCACGCTATTATTAAAATCTCATTATCGGTAAAACGGATGTAAACTAAATATTCCACTGCACATAATTCTCTAGAGGGTCTCAAGCATAAATATAATCCACTAGAGTCGCCTGTATAGACATAATCCTCTAGAGAGTCTTATGGTATAACCCGATGGCGCCAAATATTTTTGAGTATTTTCCTTAACAAATTCTTTCACATCATACTAACTATAAAATCCTCATGAATTTTTGATCATTTGTCTTTGGTCATGTATACTTGCTTCTTAAACATCTGTGTTGAATAAATGCAGTGTTGGTTATTGGTCTGTCTTCTTAATAACGTTCATCTCCTGGAAAGAAATGAGAATTATGAAATGGAGAAATCCCAATTAGCCGGGATTTATTTGAGCGAGAGTTATATGAGGCATCGATAAAATAAAAATTCAAAGCTGATACTGAGAACCATGGCCATAAAAATTAAGTTAAACCGCCAGTCGGCAGTTGAATTCGGGAATTCTACCTGATACCATGACTGATAAACTATGATAATGATTTGTTTAATTAGTATTAGTATATTATCTCACTGGGAGAAACTTATGAAATATTATGCACTATACTTGCACCGCGGGCAGTTCAAAAACGCAGTCTACTCGTATATCTTCCAATCAGATTGATTGTTACCTGGCTTGTAGATGGACACTCTGGCGTGTTCCTCGGCTTCTCCTAATGCATTTCTGGCCTTGCAAAAATAGTCTCCCTGGTGGTAGCTCTGAACATCAATGATCTGAACCCACCCTGTAACTTCGTATTTTTCCGGTCCACCTCGGCTGTTTACAGAAATGTGTTCATCATCACCTTAAAAATGAATTTAATACAATGCATGGGGGTCCAAAGGGGGAGGGGGAATACGTTGGGCGCGACCGTAGCCTCTTTTTGGGCCAATCCCCAGGGTTTTATAGCATGGTGCTTAGAAGACTCGGAGGAAAGGAGAACTACAAGTACACTGTGCTCTGGCGAAAGAGCTGGAGAACCCAGGTTCCAAGTGCAAGCTATGTTGATGGAGAGTGGGGACGCCCTGCAATATAGAGAGTTTAGGTGACATCTATCTATCTCTAAACATAACAAATCATATCAATCTTAAAGTACTGCATCCCCTGAGAATTTAATTCCACAGGAAAATTCAGGAAATGTTTGATTAGCTATAACTTCTCAAGAGGAAATCATAAAATATCTTATAGTACTAATATTCAACAGATCAACTATTCATCAATAAAGAATTAATTTAAACGGCAAAGCGATATATACGTACTTGGTAGTGAAATTTCGATATCATTTCCGCGCTTGTAATACCATTCAACTGAAGGGATGGGGAAGCCTTTTACTTCGCAAGACAGAACAACGTTGTCTCCGGTGAGGTTGCGCTGATTCTCTGGAGGGCTGACGATCATTGGGGCTGAAAAACAAAGATTATGATATGAAACTCAGAATGCAAGACAAGATGGTCATTTCATTTTTGGTAAGCTACGTCCCACTTCTAATCACACAGTATCTCACCCTGTAGTAAACTTAAATCCTGGACCTTGTTCATCGATGTAGCTGCAAAAATTAATGGTGATAATGATCCAGAAGTGTACAGTATTATAGTACTATATATATATGCATTTCAATGATCCTTATCATGTCTCTTCCCTCGTGCAAATAATGCATTTGTGGGTTGGCATTTGTGGGTTTGTAGCTGGTACATGTACCTACAGATTAATAAGCATATTTTACCTTTTTTAACTTATCACTGATAGGCAGATATTGATATGATTAACTTTGAAATGCCTTCTATGGTGCGTCCATAAACTGATTTTGAATCTTTTTACATAGTTTACCATTGCTATTCTCAAGCACGTTGCATGTATTTAAAAACGTTGGACATGGTACACCAAGGGTCCAATAAGACTGACGAAAGATTATAACTATTTGATGAGAGGAAGGGGCACTTTTGGGGAATTGGATTCCCTTTTGAAAGTTTGGGCATTCTAGGCTGGAAATCATAAAATCGATGTTCTTTTCCTCGTCCATGTCCCCCGGGGATTTAAGTAGACCTACTGGAGTAAAAGAAGATAAATTTGAGTATAATTTATCACTCATCACTACTTTGTTTATTCATATTATCACAGATGAATTAAATGTTACATTTTGTCCAGGACGTAACGATTTTGTTAGAACAAATGATGTAAATATTTAATACTTCTTTCAATTACTAAATGACCTTCACCTAAACTACATAAAACAGATGTGTATAAACTAGTTCTTGAATTTCAGAATACCCCAGAACGTAACTTATGGTAACTTATGAAGTACCCCATCTTACAGGTACACCATGTAATGCACGTTTTATTTTTAAAAAAACATGGTGCTTGATTCAGTCTAGTCAAAGTCGTGTAAAACTCATGTTGACTCTTCAGTTTGTACGTTTTTTATCTAACCAAAGTTATTTCCGAAATCCTAAAATATATTAACATAATTTCAAATATAGCCTCCAAGTGTATCTTCAAGTGTTTTAACAGTTCATCTCATTGCCCCGGATGGATGGAACATCGAGTGACCATGTTTGTCTAGTGTAAATTATGCTTATGGGTACTACAGCAGTATCTGTGTCTAAACCCTTGAAATGTTCGCATTGTAAGAAGTATTTGCAATAGAAACTTAAAAAGTATTTTCGATCTGAGACGAGGCTATATTCACAATACCACATATCATTTTATTTTATCTATTCTAACAGGCCCATTATCAAGAAGCATCAATGTTTCCGCCCCCTTCCACACATTTCACACATTTCCCCCTTCCACACATTTCTGTTTGAGGAACGCAACCGGTAACCACACTGACATTTCAGTCTAAAAAACTTTATTTTGTTTGCCAGTATTTATCTGGTTTATAGATGGTACAGCCCTTATACCCAGCAGGCCAATATACAGACAGTTCTCAAGTACATTCGCCTTCCTGTAATCTCTGATGCTACACTTAGGTCAATTGTTGGCTTTTTATTTCACTTTTACTGCATCTAGAATGCGGAGTCTGATAACAAATGCTTCCAGAGTTCTTTGTGTATTTTATGTTTATACAAGAAGAGTAATATTCTCCTCAAGACAACGTGGTTGTCCATAAAATTGTAGTTACAGTAAAACCTGTGTATAGCGAACACTTGAAGACGTGTTTACAAGTCAGATTAAAAGTTTTATGGCTTCATTCCTCGATCTCCCACGATGCCATATCATAGAAGTGTGAAGAAAGATATAAAACTAGGTCAATTAACCTCCCCTCCCCCTATCGAACAAGTTAGCGTCTGTTTATCTTTGCGCCTGTACCTGGACATTTATATTTAATGGGAGATGCTCGCAAGTTTGAAAATCCCGAGAACGACCATAGATATACGATTATTCATTACAGCTAACCTTCGCACGGAACTTAACCTCTCAACTTCGCAAATCACCATTCCAATTCCCCGATCCAGACCCCCCTGTTTTGTACCACTCATTGCCCAATCAACTCACCAGACTTGCAGGCTCCCTTGTGTTCAACCTTAATCTTGGTCTGTGTGGCAACTGCATTGGCAACGACACGGCAAAGGTTCACGTATGTATTGCCATCAGACCCACATAGGTAGTCATTCATGGTACACATGCAGACAGCTTCACGGTTTGATTTCCTCCCTACATCGTTCCTGATGCGGCACTCGAGGTTATCTCCACATCGGCCGTGGTACTCCTTGGTGGGGACATCGGCATGGTCGCAGAGTTCGCCTTCAGTTTGGGCGCATACTTCACAACATCCGCAACGATCCTTTGTAATCCCGGCCTCGCAGCCTACGGGCTTTTCGCAGATACTTAGATTACATGGCTGGCAATCCTTATCGCTCTGGGCAAGGATTGTTCCTACCACCCCACACAACAGCAACGCAATCGCGACCCAGCGATCCATGATGTATTTACTTCTCCGTTGTCCAAACTGCACTTCAAATTTCAGTGGAAAATGGACGATTTTTGTTGTTGTTGAAGTATGTTCACTGTGTTAGTATCAGAGCTACGTGGCAGGAAGGTTGCTGTCTAAATTTAGCTGGCAGTGGGTTTATTAGCAAACTACCACTAGTAGGAACTTTGTACTGAGATTATATTACACCAGACTTGTGGAGATAAGCCACCCTTCTAATCGGAGATGTTTGCCACATTTTGATCAACATTTATCTACACCAAATAAGTACTTGTAAATATAAATTATATAAAAATAAAAGATTTAGGTTAGTTCGATTGAACGAGCTAAATAAAGTGATGAACCAAAGTGCAAAACGCGTTAAAATGATTAATTACTGGAAGGAAGAAAATATATGATCAAAGGAAGAAAATATATGATCAACTGATCCCCCTTTTATGTCACGTTAGTTATCTTATTAGTCAGATATGTCCACGTAAGGCTGATATCAGAAGATTATTTTTCAGTTGAGCTCCATTTTTGATAAGAAAATTGAAATAAAAGAAAATGTGCTCAAATATAAGAAATATACAAGAATATCAGAAATATCCGGGATATATGTACTTTTAATACAAGTTTGTATACTCCAAAGATGATCTGTTTGAGTAATCACGTCGTCTGGACAGACAGACACAAACAATGTAGAATTACAATTTTGAAACGGGAATATTTTTAAAATCCGAGCCGAAGTGACATTTTATCAAAGATGCAACATGGCTAAGACTGCCATTAAATTTGAAAGAACAAATTTCAAAGCGACTACTGACCTTGCATAGGCGTAGCCAGCGGGGGTGACCCCCCCCCCCTCATAACCAATAAAAATACAACCAGTCGACAGAAAAGAGTTTTAAAATCCTTTTTATTTGAAGCTTCTATTTCAATTTTGAAGGAAGTTGCATCAATTTTTTGTAAAATTCAAGACAAATCTTAAAAAGGGTTGCTTATGCCACGATCGCACCCCACTGACTGCCAGTGATGGGATCGCCCCCCGCCCCGACTGAAAGATGGCTACGCCCCTGCCTTGGTATTTTTTATCCGATTGTGTTATGTTTGACATTTTAAAGATTTCTATACAAGTCTTCAACTATCATTTGAAACATGTCAGTGGTCAAGTGTAACGTTGCCACTGCTGACAAGGTGGGCCAGGAGCGGACCAAAACGCCTGGCGTGGCATCTTCGTTTTCACGTCGCAGTAAAGACCAATTCAAACGTGCAAAGATGCGTCCGCGGTTTAAAATAGCAACCCGGAACAACAAAAGTGACAAATCGAAAAAAGGTTCATCGTTGGTAACTCCTTGTATAAATGTAGCTTCAGATCTAGATGCCTATCTTCAAAATAGACATCTGTGCAAAGAAACATTACTTTTGTCCTCCGAAGATTAACCTTGAAATGTGGCACGGATATTAGTAGATCATTATGATTTTGGCTGGCAACAGGGAATCGATGACAGTATGGTATTCATGTTTTGCAGAGGTGTAAATTCCGTGTAGAAACCAATAGTTGACAAGCTTTTATGGATCTTTCTTAAAGTTGATATATTTGCATATTTTGCTTAGTAAAGGAAATACGCTAGTCCATTGGTCTTTGGTGGGATAACCATTAATACGAGACTACAAAAGATGATGTTTTCGTCATACGCATTCACACAATGCTTTTGCTTTTATCTAACCTCAAGTGTTTTTTAATATTATTATAATTGTTCAACTCTTGTTTGCGTTGGATCATGTTTTAGAATTGTGCCAAATTCAGATCATCTACTTCAGGTTTTCCACAATATTTCACAAAAAACACAGAAAGTTTGTTCGATTGTTTCATTTAACAAAGCTTTAGGTATAACATAGCAACATACAAATGCGTACAAATATATAGAGTTGTATAATACACGAATAATAGAGATCGAGGTGCAAAGGATGGATAAAATGATCAAAAACATATTACAGTAAAATCTGTATATCTGCATTCTGCACTTCTTTGTTGTATGATAATCTCTCAATATAAGTTAAGAATTTGGGAAACCCAAATGAAATAATAGATCATATTTTTATCAGTTTTGAATATTTCTAGATCTTAAATGAAAATATGATCCCTGTTTGAAAGAGAGAGTGGAAAACACAGTACACGGAATGTGATTGTATAGCTACAGTATATAGGACTTAGGTATAGTTATGCATGCTTTCAAAAGAAATGAAAAAACATTATTATTGATGCAAAATAAATATATTCCTAAAACCATACTCATTACAAGCCATTATTGGAAGCAGAATCTATTTTCACGTGAATTCTGAAAATATCATGATGTATCAGTATATAGGGTGGGTCAAACAAATTGCTATCTCTTTAATTTTGGCACACTCTGAACATACTTAGAACATATTAAAATAGAACATGTACTACGTAAATATAGTCAAGCTACAAGGGTCACAGGCGCTTGTAACTAGACTACATATACGTTAATATATTCATTTAATCTCAACTTATACAACAAGAACACAACCAACTCAGTTGTGTAGCTTAAATATTTCATTTTTTTAACAACAGCTGTATGGCAACTTCATCTACAGTGTATACATTTTATATATTATATTTCAACAAAATAGTTCTGCATCAACCATTTATTACCCCCCCCACCCAATATATAAACCTTACCTCCAAGGAGGGGATGAAGATGGGAGGGGGTTCCAGACACTTAATGCAAGACTAGTGGCCAACAGGAACAATGCAGCGGCACATAGAAATATAATGCTACCCTTACTCTTTTACTCTATTGAACTCATATATATAGCTCATAAAATATACAGTACTTTAACATTCAATATTATACAAATATTAAATTCAATTGAGGTGAATACCTGTCCATCTTTCACAAGTGATATTCCAAAAAGCCTGATGACCTCTGTTGAATATCGTTTGTTATTTTTTAGTCACGTGTAGGACATAGACCTATCAGAGAGTGGGGAATATGAGAGTAATATAATAATATAAAATCTCTGGATCCTGTGAATGTTACATTCACACCACTGAGCAAATCATCTTATACATGTACTTATATTTATATTGTACAAAAACACTAGTCTTTTTTACTTATTTTGTCATAGATTGTCAATGTTTCAGTCAAATAATAGATGGAAATATAATTGTAAAAGATATTTATTTATTGAGCAAATGAATGGAAGAACTAATACGAAAAATGATATATAAAATAAAGATAAAATACAGGCACACTTGATAAAAGGATCATTTTGAAAAAATTACTTATAAAGTTTCACCAGATTATCATCAGACTGTTACAGCAAGTTTGAAATGATCAGATGATACTTCATCTTGGAATGTAAGTTTAGAGATTCACCATGAACTAAAATAAAAGTTCAATAAAAGATCAATCCTGTGTGACATTTAAGCATTAAGTAGGTGATCTCTCAGACAAAAAATGTATACACATGCATTGCAAACAGCTAAACAACTTGGTTGTACTTTAATGCCTGGGTTACATTTGCTCTGATCCATCGGCCGACACCCGGCCGATTGAGTGTTTTGTTCTAATTTGTATTCAATTTTGAACAAAATACTCAATCTGCCAGGCACCGTAGTGAAAATAGAAGCAACTGTGACCAAGGCATAAATAGAGTATATAGAAAGCAAAATTTTAGAAAATGTCCTGATGTACTAGATATTGTAAATTAAATAAATGATTGCTCATACAAATGCGATATTGGTGGACAAATACACTGTTTAATATTTGTATATTTAATACAATGATAATGTTTCATACATTGTAAATACACAATAGATATTACTCTTTCCATTTAAAATGGTTCAATAAATATTAAAATCACATTTTTTACAGCTATTACATAGCTCAATACAAATTGCAATTGCAAGTTACTATCATTGTTCAAAGAATATGAAAGCACCTTATATATCATTAACAAGAATGTAAAATATTAAACCAAAATCTAAATACTGTGACATAATTGTAAAGGGCAATAATGGCACTTAAAGAAAAACAGGACATGTACCATTGCAATTTAAGTGTTACCATTTGGGAAACACTCAATGCAAGTCACAAAAATGGCCGTAAAATAACAGTTCGTATTTCAAAAACACAGACTGTCAGGCCCCAATCTTGTATAATATAAGTAGAGTTTTTCTAATTTAGACTCTAGATTCTTAGAATTTTTCTCAAAAATAAATACATGTAATATCAAAATGCATACACATGTACTTTTAAAATTCTACACTAGATTGTCAATTTCGATCTCTGTCAATTATCAGTTGATATATTGTTCTGCAACTCAAACATTATGGTCTGATATTAACTAATAGCACAGTATTCTTTCATTATGCAAGGAGGATTGCTCCCAGAGTTCCAACTCGATATTCTGCCATATATGAAGATGTCGCGATTATAAAATTTGAATTCAAACAGCCACAAGTTTGCTCACTTCAGAATTTGAATCGCGAGTTTTGATCTTATTTTCAAACAAAACTTCCAAAACACACAAGAAGTGATTGAGATATTGGTTCGAATCTTTTTAACTGTTGATTATGAGTTTTTAGTCAGTTATGTCAGAAAATAACGACACTGACATTTTCATTGTATCGAGTTGCGTCCCTGGGAACCAATCCTCCTTGCATAATGTTGACCTACACTGTATATAGATCAAAATGGTTCTTATTTCATCTTCTCAACATTATGCTTTCCTCCACCCTTTTGCAGGCTTTTCTGATTGCTTTTCTGATAAACTTTGCATATAGAAGTTTCCTCCGAGCACTGTTTGAAGGTAGGATTTCAGCATCTCAGGGATAGTCTTACAAGCATTTTATAATAATATCGATGATTTGTTTCGATTACGTATTATGGCAATTTGTCTTCTGATGGAGGGATTTCATCTAGGGCATATTCTAGAGCATTGATGCAACCATCTATAGGCTCCAGATCTTCTTCAGTGGTTCCTGGTCTTACAGTGCCTACCATTGCATTGAGAACCGTGGTGACTTTAAGTTGTGGGTTTTCAGTCAGCAGCTTATCCATGCCTATCTCAAATGGTCCCCTTCCCTCGAGTGATTCAAGTTGATAAGGGTCCAGTCCAAGGCTGAAATGAACAAAGCATTACTTCTGTAAAGTACAAAATAAACAATTTGTATTTTTGCTGTACAATGATGTTTTTATTTTGGTCGTTTTCATCGTTAATAATACAATTTTAGATATAGCCACTTGAATTTGTATGTAGTGTTTACATCAAAATAACACATATTTATCATCCGCTGAGGCAGCGGTTTCATTCGTGAATCTCCAAATCAGTCAAAATGAATTGTTTGATGTAAATAAACGCTGTTCCTCAAATATTTAATTCAAGTTAATTTGCCAAAATGCATCCAAGGATTTTTCTTGGAAATCCAAGCTCCAAAGATTTTTCTTAAAATCGTTTTATCCAAATTAAATGTAAAGAAGTAGTACTAAAATTCAAAAAAGGTCCTTGGGATGGACCTTCATGCATAGTTCAAAAATAGGATCATCACAGAAGTTTTAAAACCATGGAATCAACTCTAAAGACAGACATATTTCAATAACCATTTTATCGGCTCTGAAGCAAAATGTGCCTTTAATATGATATCATTTTTTATGCAAACACTACAGGTGTATATGAGGTATCCAAATTTCAAATTTTGAAATTGTGAAAATGGCAGTTATCTCTACTTCAGTTGAACATCATCAATTCTTAACTATGGTAATATTGAGATGATGATGAGAATATTCAGAAAATAATTCAGTCAACATTCTAAGATTGATTTTAACAGCAAATGATTCCAGTTTATAAAATTGGTCATTGAAGGTGGCAGTGGCATCTCTCAGATTTGGGAAATCTCTTCTACATCTACTACATGCTAGATGAGGTTTAAGGCAGCTATTTTGGGTTTTCAAATTTGAAAATTATTTGTCGGCTTGTTTATTATTGTATTAATTTGAAATCTCAAGGGATGTTTCTTGGGAGTAAAATCTAGAACTGATTGAAAATTCATGACGGGAAAATTCAAGTCATGACCAAACATTGTTTTGAGCAAATTGTGCAATTTGTGTTCTATACACTGATTTTATTTAAATTTTTTACTCATTATTGTTTCTTCATAGATGGTCAATTTTGAGGCAATTCCTTTATCTTTTTGTTTTTCCCTCAAATTTTTCGCCAACTGTGGCAGCCCTGTAAGAGGGTTGGACATTTGCATAAAAATATAGGTACAGAGTAAACATACACTATGTTCTCTATAGTTTATGTGTATTATCTTGCTTATCCATTACCTTTGGAATAAATCTTTCCATGGCATACTGGGTATCTCTAATCTGGTAGCTATGCCTATCGTTCTAATGTCCATACTAAGAGTACTAAAAAGCACTGAATATCCTCGTTGTATCAGGTCTAAAAACAAATCAAGAATAATCCACTGTATTTGTTGGTTCATTTTTTAATATGCTTTTGTCATAAACATACTAAAATCAAGACGAAAAATGGAGAACTAATGGAATTGTTCAAAATGTGGTCCATAAGTTCTGTCAAAAACACTATGATATACACTGGTAAACAATTTGTTTGAGATTGTAACTGTTGTTGAAAAAGGTAGGCAGATAGACAAACTGACAGAAGATGATTGGACAGTGGACAAGTGGGTGCAATAGCTGAACAAATGGAACAACGTTTTTCACATAAAAGTGACACAAGGTTTTGTCAAAAACAAAGTGTAGTAATTTTAATTTACACAATATTACCATCTACTCTTTCCTTTGCCTTTGTGTATCTTGCACTCAGTTCATTTCTTGCTTGTTCACGTACATAACGTTCTTCTTCAACTGCTATGTGTTGTTCTTCCTCCTGATTTTGAATGTGTTCTCTAACAGTAAGTAGGTGCTCCCTTGAAATACCATTTGCCTCGTTTTCTACAACAAAAACAGTTTACCCTATTATGCGTAAAGTTCAACAGGTCACTGATTTACTATGAATGAATTTGGCGTCAACTCTCTTAAATATGTCACAAGCAGGAAAAGGGGTTGCTTGGGGATGAGGGTTGATGAGCATACAACAAACATAACAAGTAGTTTTGTGATTCATCATATGATCTCATTCAGACTTCTCCATTTAGCAATATTGAGTCTTGACACCAAGATTCTGACACACAGTTTGAATTTGCAAAACTCATTTTATAGAAATTATCATTATTTTACATGGACATTCAGGTTTTACGAATATGTTGTTGTTGAATATTAACATCTACACCCCCAAAATGCAATCTGATTTTCGACGCCACTTTGGTGCCGTTTAGGCACAAAATGGACTGACTAGTCCGGTGCCAAATTTTGGTGTCGAAAGGTTTCGGTGCCGAATCGGTGCCTGAACAGCATCAAATTTTTTTGATGCCGAAACGGTGCTTTCACACCCCCCATTTGTGTGAAGAACACTGCCTTGGACACCACTCAGAATAAGGTGCAATATCACGAGGACTGACCATCAACTCTTTAATCACATAAATATGCCAGTGGTAAGTAACCCAGGGGATGTATGACATATTAATTTAATCTTTTGAATACAGAGAATCAAATTACTTACCCTCATCAGACTGACGAACGCATTGACGAGAATACCTAAAACTTTGTCGACTGTACCATGCTGCAATACTTGCTTTTTTGAGAACACACACAATTAAGACAGTCAACATTATGAGAAATCCTACAACAACTATCACAATCCAGTAATTTTGCGATATCCAAGTTGGATCTGGAAATAATAAAATATACTGATGTCAGAGATTTAGATTACCAAGACTTCTATATAACAAGAATTTCCGTTGAATTAATTCATACATATGTATGAATCATTAAATTAAGAGGTGAAACAATACATCACAAACTGATTTACTTGTTTGTTTATAACAGACATTATTTCTTTATATACAGACATTTTAGAGACATTCTGCCTCCATGACCTTACCTTAGAAGTACATTGTACAGGGTGACACAAAAAGTGCCACCCACATAATAATGAATAATCTTTTCGTCTCTATGATTTCTGACTTGTTCTTTAGCACATTAAAACTAGGCTCCATGGAGCAACTCCACTAGCAGTTTCAGATGACTAGCTCAACTAGATGCACTTTTATGAGTGTTAAAAGATGTGCTCTAAATGTCAGGCACACCTGGAATTTACGGGCAAAGTTATTGATGACCCTAACTCATTCCCTCACAGAAATGGCTCTGATCTCTCTCTTTATTAGGTCTTCCATGGTTTAGGGGGTTGTTTCATACACATTATCCCTAGAGATAAACATTTATAGGGTTCATGTCAGTTGAATATGGTCAATAACTTTGCCAGTTGAATCCAGAAGTGTGCCTGCAAAGGAACAGACAAAATTTAGAGCACATCTTGTAACACTAATTAAAGTGCATTTTGTTGAGCTAGTCATCTTAAACTTCTAGTGGAGCTGCTTCATTGGGTATTGTTTCAATGTGCTCAAGAAAAAGTCAAAATTCATGTAGACAAAAAATTTATGTAGCATTATGTGGATGGCACTTTTTGTTTCACCCTGTACAAGTAAGCTCATTTAGAACAGTGTTGCTAGAGATATAGAACCAGTATAGAGGTTCACAAAGACCTAACTTGCCATCCTCCTAACAGGTGTCCAGAATCTATACCTCCTTCTCCCCAAAACCTGTACTTTCTAAATAACTCTTGATTTACAATTAATTGTGATTCACTGTATATTTTTGATATTTCAACAATTACCTACTGTACCTTGCTCGACTGGTTCACAATGATCATCATAGGGGCAGGCCTTTGCAGGATCAATACCTTGCTTCAAGCACCCTGGCTCAGGTGTATTTCCCCCACAACATGTTCCACATGGTTCACATTCAAATAACATCCAATCATAATACTTATTGGGTGGGCACTGGAATATAAAACAAGGTATTATCATGCAAAATGTCACCACGCTGAACACAAACCATCAAACACCAACTGCCAAACACAATCTGCAAAACAAGTTAGAGAGTATAACATTATGTCACCACTTGTGGTGGTGACATAAAATTGAACCAATACCAGTAAAACTTTATTTTCATTTTAAAGATTTATATGACGGCAACACTGTATAGGTGGTGAAGAATGAGGGAAATGTCCAATATGCTCCCATTGTAACTAACAGAGTAGCAACATGTACATGTACTTTTAAGCTACATGTATTTAAGAATATTCATGGTATACCATATTCCTAAAATAGTATTACCGGTATCTCAAAAACCATTATACCATAAAGGTGTCTTTCCAGGAGAATCAGTGATAATATAATCTTACTATACTATCTTACATAACTTAGACATATCTTGAGACTGACTTACATGTATGTAAAATGTATGTAATATACATGACTCACATGTATGTAAAATCAACAAAACAACCAACTGTTAAAATGACATGAGCACCAGACGGTTTTCTCAATATACATGTATTATGCGCTATTTAATCATTTGGCTACTGGTGGTTGAATCTACCAGGAATATTCAAGTTAAAATACTTACTGGAGGATCTTTAGCACTATCCAATGGAACTGCCAACACTGTGAAATTCTCGAGTCTATTTTTGTTTTGACCATTGTGAATGGTGTATGCTGTAGTATATATACATAATTGTTCCTAAAATCCAACATATAAATACTGTACTTTACATTTGTATTTGTTTATGCTTTTCAAGAAATGCTTCATTTTTTTATATTATATCACCAAATAAAACTTGTTATCTTTTCCTCTAGCAGGTCTACATTAAACTGTCAGAGAAATACCCTAAAATGGCATCAGACAAAACCACATGCAATGAACAACATTACAGGCCATTATTTTATTTTATTTTATTTGCATGTTCATTGAAAAACTAACTTACTAATAAGCTAATCCACAGGATTGGTATCACAAAAAAACTCATGTAAACATCAGCTAGAGTTGTCATGGCAATTGGTTGACTCTGTTCAATCTAAAACAAGATTTAAAGACAGTTGTAAAATTTAAGATGTATGTGTCAGGCTAAGAGCCTCATATTAGTTTTGAACCAGGGTTTGAACTGGTTAAAGCATCATATAATACCATCATAACGTCAGGGAGAATGTTCTATTCAAATGAAAATGGAGCTCGTGTTTAGCATTGTTTCCTTCTTCTTTAGCTAATCATATCACAACCAACATTATCAAACAGGCACAGACTAGAAGATTACCAACCACATAGCACAATCAGGGCACGCCTTAAGCGTCGGACAGCTGGTCATTATCTGGTTACTTTTGATACTGACCTGTTGATTTTTTCACTAGGTATAGGAAAATAACATTGCAACTGGTCAGTAATGCCTTTTTGACCAGCAGCTCTGGAATCCTTAGGGCATACACTGAGCACAATAGGACATCCTACAGTCAAATTAACACAAAAAAAAGTCACAACTCAACATCAAACATGGAAATTTGATTTTTTTCTTATATATTTGTTAATACTTGGTCATTTCTCGATATTTCCTGAACTTTGTGAAGCGGGGTAGGCACTTATTCGGGGTTGGGCGCCACTGGACGCTAATTACAGAGAAGAATACATGTATGGTATTTTATGGTTGATATTTTATGATCCAGTCTAGAATCACTCTCAAGTACCATTATGTTCCCATACCTACATATCAATAGTATGGGTTGCCATACCAACTTTAAATGGCCCAGTAGGCAATCAAATTATCAAAGCCATACCATTGGTATGTCCCCTTACCAAAGATAAATTGATAAAAATCTCCTTGCAAAATCAATCAGTCAAAAAAGATATGAGCAAATTTCCAAGCAATTATTTACCAAAAGTAATGATAATTCTATGACCATTGTCATACCAAAGTGCAAAATGTGACATCCCAGGAGGAATGTCACATTATAGGAAGATGTCACACAAGCAGAGAGTGTCACAGGAAGGTTGTCACAGGAGGGTTAGTGACAAATAGGGGTTAGTGACAGGGGTTAGTGACAAACACAAGGGGAGAATGTCACAAAAGGGTGTCAAACAAGACTAGGCTGGTGTTTCAGGGGAGTTGTTACAGGAGTTGGTGACAAAGATGCCACAGTAGCAGAGGGTGTCACAGGGAGGTTGTCACAGGGGGAGTCAAAGAAGAGAACAGTGTTACAGGGTTTCTTCACAAAAAGAAAGGGTGTCACAGGGGAAGAATGTTACACAAAATTAGAATGTCACACGAGAGGAGGGTGTCACACTAGTAGAGGCTGTAACAGAGGAAAGTGTCACAGGAGGAGAGGGTGTCACAAGGGGAGGTATCAAACATGAAGACAGTATTACAGGGTGGTAATTGATAGGGTTACAGGGGTAGATGATACAATCTGCTTGTGACATTTTCCTCTCATGTGACATCTTCCCCTATGACACCATCCTATTGTTTAACACCCCCTTCTGTGACACCCTCCCCTTATGTTACACCTCCTTTCATGTTACATCCCTTCCCCTGTGACACCTTCCCTCTGAGACATCCTCCTCTTGCGTGATATTCTAAGCTCCTGTAACAGCCTTCCCCTTCTTTTTGTCACCAAGCCCTGTGATACCTCCTGTAACAACGCCTTTTGATTGAAACCTACCCCCTTTGTGACACCCTCTGCTTGTGTGACATCCTTCTCTCTTGTAACATCCCTCCCCTGTGACACCATCCTTTTGTTTGTCACCCCCTTCCGTGACACCCTTTCTTTTTTGTCACCAACGCCTGTAATGCCACCCCCCCCCTGTAAAACCATCTCTTGTTTAACATCCCCTCCCCTCTCAGTGACACCCTCCTCTCCTGCGACACCCTCTGCTTGTGTGACATCCTCCTCTCATGTGACACCCCTCACCCTGTGACATCCTAGGCCTGTAACACCTTTCTCTAGTAGCTATATTACTGACTTCATTATACTGACTCCACTACCGAATGTCCCGGGGAAATATCTTATTTCGCTCTACGGTTGTTAGAAAAAATAGCACTGGTTTCAAGACTATTTTAGCACGAGTCAACGGATACAGGATAAAGGAGTTTATTACAAAGCATTGTATTCAGTTTCGAATTTTAATCAAGCCCTTAGCCAGGATTTGCCAGGGGGGTCACTATTTAAAAAATTTCAGGCCTCTACCAGAAAAAGTTGGAAAAGGCACTGGTTGCAATATAATTTTAGCACAGGCTTCGAGACTATTTTAGCGAGTCAGTACGTCTATTTCCAAACACCCCCATCAAAAAATGTAGTTAGCTTGGCTGTACTGCACATCTATGCTATGATTCTATATATATTATGTGTATTATCCACTGTAGAATGCATTTGCAGAAAAAATTATGAAAAATTGTAAAAAATATCTGGGTTATTCCATTTTTACTACAAGGTATTTTAGGGGGGTAATTCCGAACATGAGTTTTTTTGGGGGGTAAATCCGAACACTTGCATGGGGGAAATTCCAAACACTTAACTTAAACTGAATTGTTTTAATTATTAGATTGATGGTATATCATTATATGATACCCTTAAGGTGCCACGGAAGTTAACAGGAAATGACGAAACAGGAAGTGATAAAAATTTTGCATTTTTAGACATATTTTGAACAAAGATAACAGAGTTCTGGTTTGACCTCCAGTCAATTTAACTATTCCCACATATCATTTACATGACCAGGATCACAATGTGCATGGTCAGAATGACCCTAAATATGATTAAATAACCTTTTTAGCCCTTTGAAAGTGTGACTGAAAAAAAGCTAAAAGTAGAAGCTAGGGAAGGTCACTGAACAGAATCTTTTGAATTTTTCAGAAAATGTGCCCAATATATTGCTCTAAATGATACAATCTTTGAAATTTTAGAAAATTGTCAGAAACAAAAATGGCGGTCATAAAAAGGAAAATAGATCACTTTTCAAATCAGTTTTTTCATTTTTTTTCTTTTTCTATGAATGATATCAAATTTTCAAAGATTGTATCAATTAGGGCAATGTATTGGGCACATTTTCTGAAAGATTCGAAAGATTCTGTACAGTGACCTATCCTACCCCCTTCTTTTAGCTATTTTTCAGTCACATTTTCAGAGGGCTGAAAAGGTTATTTTATCATGTTTAGGGCCATTCTGACCATGAACATTGTGATCTTGGACCTGTAAATGGTATTTGGAACTAGTCGAATTGACTGGAGGTCAAAACAGAACTCTGTTATCTATGTTCAAAAAATGTCTGAAAATGCAAAAAATTTTGTCACTTCCTGTTTTGTCATTTCCTGTTAACTTCCATAGCACCTTAACTTATGATACTGGATCCTGTCACCCCTGCATATCAAGAAACCCAAATTTAAATCATTTATTACTGACATCTATTTATTTAAACGCACAGAGTTTGTGGGGGTAATTCCAAACACTAGCATGGGGGTAATTCCGAACACCTAAATCATCATAATTGATTATTTTATTGTAAGATTGTTGGTACACATCATTATATTGTATCTTTCAGGCAATAAATATTATGTAGAGGTAGTAGAGGTACTATTATTCAATTCAATGATCTGCTTGCCATTATTTGGAACCCGTTCGTGTTTACCCCCCCGTTGTAACAAAAAAACAGTTAACTATTATTTAAACTTCGTGTCATCATGTTATATGTGGATATGTTTTCTAGTATGTTATTCAACTGTATTTTTGTGAATTTGAACAAAACATTTTAAATGATCGGTTTTTGAGGACGGTAGTGAATTATACCATTCAAGGGGTTATATAGAAAGATTCTTCACATGTAGTTCAGGCAATTTTAATTATTCTGAGTAGCGGATAGTCATTTATCATTAACGTCTTAATATTTAATTTCGTTATTTTATTTCAATTTGATATCCTAGTAACACGTATAATCTAGCGTTCTTGTTAATTTTATGACTAAAATGCATACGACCTGAAAGCCCGTGTCTAAATCTACAAAATAATGTTTACTTTACAAAGCATCAACAGGTGGCCTTTTTAGCATTACTTTCACTGTTTGCAACGTAAATGTACATGAGGTCGGGACATAGTATGTCTGTATAATCAGCTTACTTTCTCGCTCCCTGTACTATTGAACAATTTACATTCCTTGTACCCTGTATTGATCAACTTTTGCAACTGTGTACCGTGTATATGACATATCAAATATTTTAAAATTTAAAATGATATTATTTTCATTCTTTCTATAACTATCATATAACTTGGAACATCGACTTCACTATTGCACCACTGAAGTGTAGCAAATAGCAATATTGACTCACTCCGAGCACCAAACGTATTAACCTTTTGAGTAAGCAGTCGATATACTCAAAAGCGACCTGATTGAAGCCAAAAAATTCGCGCATGCGTGATCGAGGTAGGGTAGTGTGATGTTTGTACACAGTGAATCCCCTCCTACTCTATTCTACCAGTATATGGTCTACCTCCTACCCCTCCCCGGGGATTTGGGAACTTCAACCGAGAACATGCGCGTCATGCTTTGAATTCAGTGTTGATTCGTGGTTGATGATGTCTACTAAGACCATAAACTACATGTGCTGATTGTGCTCAAGTATAATACCCAGACATTCAATTAGTTTACGACGTTAGCATCAATAAAAAAGAAGAGAAATAGTCTGAAAAGTGAAGTTAGAACTTACCGCAATATTCGGGTTTTCCAACTACCTTACTGTACACTGAACGAAATGTAAATTCGTCGAAAACGAGGTTTTAATCGGAAGTTGATATAGTTACGGGAGTGCCATAATTTGAATAATTATATTTTCATCGTATGAAAGCGCTCTATATTCGAAAACAATTTGCGCGGTGGGTGGAATGTATTATACAGGTACGATTATCACTTAGAATGAACACCAATGATTTGTAAGTTTGTCTTCTTTTACAGCTGAAATTGAATTTCAGATTTGTATTTCACTTTCACTTCAACTTCAACTTTCCCATCATGAAAACGTGGGCTTTTAGTAGGGCCCTAATACTCATTCAGATGTTCATTTGCTTAGCTCACCAAGAGTAAAACTCATACTATCACAATGGATCACATCAGTGACCCTCGCTGCAACTATAGCTACATGTAGCCTTTAGCCAAATCTTTCTAGCTAAGTAGACTAGATCTATACATGTATAGCCTAGATCTACACTCATGGGCTGATAGAGCCCATGATCTACTATAGTCCCGGGACTATAGTCCAACAACATTAGACCTAGCCTGGGCCTCATTTCTTATCTGACATGTCTTATGGCCCAGGTGGCCAAGAAAATTCCTAGTAGTAAAGAACGCCGTTATTGAGTTAAACGACGTTGAACTACATGTAAGTATACTCCCAGTATACTACAGCTCCCCGAAGGCACCCTCAAGTGTCAGCTGTGGGATGATTCGCCCTTGTGTAGACTCCCTTCAGGGGGGGGGGGTAGAAATAGACTAAAGTAGAATGACTCTAGATAGCAAGTTGCTACAGTGTATGATGGACCATCTGTAGACCAGCAGCTAGCCCCTATTGGCTTAGCGGTAGAATATCGGTCAAGTTCCGCACATGGCATTGAATTTAGCACACTCTAGTATCTGGCTTGTTACACCTCGGATCATTACACATACACTGTATATACAAGTTTTGAGCAATTGGCTACTGAGAATGTTATGAAAGCTGATTTTGGAAATGGTTGAACTGCACTGGTTGAAATGTCCACCATCCTTTGTTACTGGTTAAAATATGGTGATGTTCCTCCAAGGGTAGCTTTTAGTAAATTTAGCTTCTTGTTGCCTTCATACAGGAACAATTAACTGATTTGATTATTCTTTATCTGGAACTTTTCACAAAGCTACAGTATATAGAAGAAAGTAAAACCTTTACCAAGCACTACATGTATTAATACTTACTTATTCTTCTTCCAGTTTGATGTGTAGTTGGCCTCATTAGGGTGTTGGATAGAGCAGAACAATGGGTATAGCAGCAGAAATGTTTGAGCAACTTGAAGCCTATGAATGGCCAATAGATTTATTCGAAGGTGGCAGATCTGCCTTATGTGTAAGTACGAGTACAAATCATTGAGGAGATGGGATATATGATTGTAGGTGTCTTATTAATCAGTATCCCATATCTCTATTTTTTGAATAATTGTAATTTCCATGTAGTATAATTAATTACCATGTGCCATGTGAGCCCAGGAAATACTATCTATAATTTGTGTATTTTATTATATGACAATTATTTTAATCTTTTATAAAATCTGTTTTATTGGTGGTATTGTTTTATCTGTCAATTATTTTGTTTTTCACACTTATACACTTATTAAAATGTCAAGTGTTAACTTCTCTTGTATTTTAATGAAGAGAATAATTGTTTAAATATGAAGAAAGTCTATTGCTATATACATGTAAAGAAAGTTATGCATGTTTCATCAATTTCTAGGTGTATTTGGAGGACTCCAACCACAAGACTGCCAAATTACTCAACATACGTGGCCATTGTGGTGTAACAGACAGCTTCCTCTTTCATGGTGTTCAGGAGGCAAACCAACACGCAGAACTTGGCAAGACCCTGCAGTCTGTTGAAGTACTGGATTTGACTGGTTGTTTCCAGTTGACGGATACCGGACTGATTTATTTGATAGGTCACCTCCCTAACCTAACCCATGTAAGTTTAGAATGGATTTAATGACATTTTTAGTAGATATACATGTACAGTTCATGTAACTTTAAAGATGTCACGAGGCATAATATGCACATATGTAAGATTCCAACAAGAATTCTTTACTTAACTACATTTACAATCTACTATTTTTTTTATAAGGACAAATTGTTCTACATTTTATTTGACATGAAATGTAGCCATATTAAAGGCACTTTAATCTACAATCTTATACATGTAGGTCTTCTATTTTTCAAATTTCCCAACATTGTTTATTTTTCTAGTGTTTATATACTCAAAACCAGACTCTATCAAAGTAGCATTTAAAATTTAAAATTTTTATTTCAGATATTACTTGGGGGCTGTAGACATGTTACAGAGGCTTCAATACAGAAAATGCTTGAAATGTGTTCCAATTTGATGGCTGTGGTTCTTGATGGATGCAACATTGGCTTAATCCCAGAGCACCCAAATTCTCGACCAATCACAACACTGCTTTCAAGTGATGCAAAAAAGGCTTTGAAAAAAGTCAGAATGGGAAACTATAAGTACTTACAAGGGCTGAATGATGAAGAGGATGACAAATCTGTTGTCATGGTTACCAATGGTACCATTTGTGTTGGATTGGCTGATAAAATTGCATCAAAATGTAAGTATTTCATTTTGACTAATCTCAATATGATAGAATTCGGATAATCTTATATTATTGAGACACCTGCTGGTGTGTGATAAATATATTTTGACAAGTAAACGAGTCAGCCAGAGCAGAGAAAATATACTGTACAGTGATATCCCAACGCATGAAGTACTAATAGATTTTAAATGACATTTATTGTTTTCAGCAATAGTATTGATACACATGGAAAAGGAGTACAAAAGCTTACTGGGAGAGTTCTGCAGTATTACAATCACATGTAAAGATGATGTGTTTGGAAGTGGACAAGTTGAGTCCTCAGGGAGAACATTGAATGTCTTTGAATGTCACCAAGTAAGTTGCCTCTGGCTTTGTTCATGAATATAGCTGGGCATTCAATACTTATGGTGTAAAATTTAGAACCTTTTTGATACATTATTGCCTCATGAGAACTCATATGAGAACTCGTATCAAATGAGATCCACGAAAACCTGATTGATACTGTCAAAAGTCAAGAAAAATGTGGGGATAATTATCATTTTTGGCAATAGAAATAACAAACAATTTGCAAGGATTATAGCACATGTACAATGGAATATACTATTAATAATAATAATTAATCTCATTTTTGCATACAATCTGAAGCCTCTGCTGAGGCATTATCCCTCATTTGATGAAAATTGTGAGTTACAAATACATGTAAACTTTACACAGTATTATAAGCAATCATCCTAACTTTGAACTTGTAGGATCTGGCATTTCATTTGATTCCCCCTGAAGCTGTGTGTGTAATAATCCCAGGAACAGATCCAGCTGTGTCATCAGCAGTCAGCATTATGGGTCTTGTCTCTTATATCAGTGCTAGACAGGTAATCCTCAACCTTGTTTCAGATCCTGTTTGTTAAAATATCTTATGCTATGGAGCTTCATAAATAAATGTCCATTATCTTTCAAACTAAAGAGATAATTAAAATAAAGTTACCTATGTATTTTTTTGAAGTTGATGCTGATTTTTTCAAAAAGTAATTTCCTTAGACTTAGATAGTTAAGGCAGGAAATAAATGCTAATAAGGAAGAAAATATAAACCCTTCTTCACTCTTCATATAATGTGACCTCAATCAAATTTATTTTTCAGGGATGTGAGATTGTCATTCAATCTTCGGAATCAAATCTTCAATCACAACTGAAGGAGGCTACTGAAAGGTAAATTTAAAAACTGCATATTGTATTTTAGATTAGATGGCAATTTATCTCACAAACTAATATGCTAAAAAGTTCAAAACAAAATAAATTGTAAGTTTTTGAGATCAACAGACAAAGAAAAATCTTATGTACACTGTAGTTAGTAAATGCTTCCGAACTATTATATATTTGCATAGTATAGTGTAAGTATATGTAATCAAACATAATAATGTAATGTAATGCACCTTACATACATGCATGTAACTATGCATCGTCTTTGCCCTCTGCATAATCTGGGGTACCTTCTGAACTCTAGCCATTTGATTAATTGAATGGAATTTCAGTGTGGAACAGCAATTAACAGCAAGTTGGCTTAGTGTTAAGAATCACTGATCAGAGATTTTTGATCTATACTATTTTGAATTTTTCAAATTTGCTTTATAGACTTACCAATATGAAAGGTTCAGATAATGATGAAAGCTTGAAACTTCACTTTGCAACTATGGAAATGCCTTATAAGTACATAGTAACCCCTGGGTGTGCGGTAAGGATACAAATAACAAGTGTCAAGTCACATGACTATATTTTGATATTAAACATTTCTATTTATTCATATTTATAAATGTTTAATGAATTCCTGTACAGTTAAACAAATATATAATCAAGGCACTAATGACATAAACAATGTCAATAAACAAAACAAATAATATTTTTGTTGAGAAATATAGTATATTTTGGATTCTTATTTTTAATTAACTTTTTCAGAGTTTAAAGAAGTTCATGGAAGAAAATCAGAAAGTGTTTCAACTAAAACTACCAAAGGCAGTCATAGACATGAAAATCAAGTTAGATTTGTACAAAAAAGAACATAGAGGTAATTACACTATTGCATGACACTATTTACACTTTAAAAGTACATGTACATACACAATTTCATAATGATATCATGATCATGATACTATAATGACCATCCTCTGAACACAGGCCTCCAGAACTCGTACCTCCTTCTTCCAGAAGAAGAGAAAGAATGAAGGAACTAAGTGTATGACTTCTGGAACCCTGCATTCGGAGGATGTATAATGACAGGACAAGCCAATAGTGTTCCTGTTAGCAGATGTTCAGATTGTAAAGATTCTTTAACATTGGAGTGAATGAGAGAATAAAAATAGAACATAAGAAGTGTTCACATTGAGAGGTGTTCACATTGAGAGGTGTTCGCATTGAGAGGTGATCACACTGAGGGGTGTTCATATTTAGAGGTGTTCACATTATGGATTGTTTGGATTAGAGAGAAGTTTTGATTAGTGCGGTGCTAGGATAAACAGGTTTTTCTGTACATGTATATAAAAGTATAACTTCAATATAAGTTAAATATTTTCTTTTAGATATGAAGTCAGTTCTCACTGGTGATGAACTGAACAGTTTAATTATATCACTGAGGCCTGATACAGACAATGTATCAACAGAAGTAGACGCCAAGATGTACAAAAGCCTACACTACCTTCATTGTATGGTAAGTTATCATTTTTCATATTTTTATGTACATATTTTATGTATGTATGTAACATTTTTCATATTTTTATGTATGTGAATAAAGTCCATGCATTTTTTGTTTACCGAGGGTATAATATTGATGGAGACTAAATAAATAAAATTAAAAAGATTATCCTTTATTTCTCTTTCAATTCAATCGTACTCTAAATAACAAAATGTAGAATGTCAATATCAATCCTGTCAACCAAATGAGAGTCAGTTGTGAAAGTGTGATTATCCATTTATAAAATAGATACTTTTTCCATTTTTTCCAAATTACCATTTATTGCATGTGTTATTCTAGGGAGACATACTGCTGTTCAAAGATGATACCATAGCTGTGTTGAACCCCGAGTTGCTGCAGTCCATCTTAAGCATACCAAACAACTTCACCAGTGTGTGCGCCTCTGAATTTGGTGTCAGTTTTGTTGATGAGAAAACTGATGTAATCCAAGTTGATCCTGCTTTAGAGAAAGAACTACATGTCTGTAATTTGAAATTAGTACATGAACTAATTCAGAGTTGTTATATCAGTGAGGATATAAGTGGTCTTCAAAATGAGAATTCTCCACAGAAGAGAGTTGGTTTCCTTGTTATGGATAGAGTACAGTCATCTATGCCAATGCCTCTGGTATGTTATATATTACAATTTAGATTAAAAGGATTTTCATATTTTAAACATGAGTAAATGAAGTTTATTGCTTAAGCTACTGTTAATCATCATGTATCTTTAACTGTCAGTGATTTACATTATCTTGCCCATTTTATTATTTCTCATCCAATGATTTTACTTTTTGAATGATTAAAACTGCAATAATTTAGTCATCATTAGGTATTTGGTGTATATGTCTGGTCAGTGTTAAGCCTCAGTCACATTTGCCCTACAGCGGGTGTATGGCGCCATATCTTTCCAAAATCAATATAAAAAATCTAAATCGCACTGTTTATCCCTATATTTTATGCTGAATATTTCTTTCAATTTTGGGAAGATACAGCTGATGTATGGTTGACCTAGATCAAATGTGACTGAGCCACTAGTTACACTTGTGCAACTGCAACCAGGTGGTGATATTTTTTGGTCATGTCTTGAATGCCTTTACATCAATGATATATTACAGGAGCACTATGAGTGTAAAGATGCATTTGCCGTACAGTGTGTATATGTTCTACCAATCTGGTACATATGGGAATCTGCGTGGAAATCAGTACTCTCCCAGGCAATGGCCTACCATCCTTCTAACACTGTCTTACTATGGGACAAAGGCATTGTGAAAGAAATTGGAGGTGTGGTACTTGCTGTAAAAAGAGGTGTGTGTGACATCATTTGTTCTACAAAACTTTTGAAATAGTTTTTAGGTGGTGTAAAATATGACAACAGCCGTGTATTTGAAAAAACATTTTGTAAAACTACAATTATATGTGTTTTTGGGTGTAAAACAAAATAAACGCCCTTTAGATAATATAATGCAAAACCCATCTTTAAAACCAATTGACTTGATGTAAATTGACCTAATGTAATTGAACCTATGAAAGTGGAACACCTTCAAAATTTGAACACATCATTTTGAAAAATTTACCTGTGCAAGGGGAACATTCGATTTTCAAAAATCATAGGAAAAATCTTTTACAGTGATTTCTGGGCGGAAATAACTTAGATTGATGTAGTATGTTTGATTTCACTGTTACTCCTTTTTTATTTGACAATTCTAACTTTGAAATTACTCATTGAATTGATTAAAGGATTTAAGCCCAAGACGCAATGCATTGTTTGCTGAATCATACCATGAAGGTGTTGTTTCCAAACCTTTGCATTCCTGCTGTGCAGTCATGCAAAGGTTTGTAAACAACACCTGAATGGAATGAAGCAGCTACAATGTATTGAGTCTTGGGCCTAAATTCTTTTCACACATTGCAATTTTTTTCTATAAATCATCCAAAAGGAATGAAATCACTAAAAGAACACATTTTCAATGAAATTTTTCAAAGACATGCATATATTTCTAAATCTAATCAAATCATTGAAATTGATTGTGTCTTTGTGTTCCATAGATGATGCTCGGATTGTTGTGACGTGCTCAGTTCCATGGATAAAACAGGATTCTGGTAACTCCAGCGAGGCAGACGATGTTGCCCAACCCCTCATGTCAACCTACTGCCAAATGCTGCAAAGTACTCTCCAAAGATTCAACTGTATCTTTAAGGTACTTTTTATATAGTTATTGCCTCACATGTTGAGCCTATGGACTTGCCTACTCATCTCTTGTCTGTCTGTTAGAAGTAACATTTTGTTAATAGCCTGCTTCAAAGAAGTGAATATTTTCGATCATCCAATTGGTTTGTAAACTTGTTGACCGACCTCAGATGATAAAACCTAAATGTTCCCTGGAGTGTGTTTTGCTACATTTACCCACTAGAACTTTAATAACAGTCTTTACATTTTGGTGAACAATTTTTCCCTGTTATTATTCCTTTTGACTCATGTGGTCATACCGTTTGATTGACAGGTAGATAAGTTGGCCAGTGAGAAGATGTCGCAAGAAGTCCCCAAGAAAGCCACTCACCATAACTTCCCAGCTAATTCTGGGGGAAATGCTGGACATTTGGGAGTGACTGGTACAGCATGTGGTGTCTGTGGGCTGACAACCTCACAGCTATCACTTGAACAGGTGAATAGTAATGAATGCTTACCCCTTTCAGATAATTTTCACTACATTTTTATTTAAAAACACTGTCCAAAATTGTTACCATTAAATTGAAAAAATCTACCACTTGCCTTGATACACTTCCTGTCCATAGTGTAACATAACATATCAAACATTTTGATCTATCAGTTTTGTTCATGAGTAGTACACTATATTTGAATAAATCAACCACTGCCCACTTGTACCACAAGTGCATGCCCTAAGACCTGAACTAACCATTGCCCACTTGTACCACAAGTGCATGCTCTATGACCTGAACCAACCATTGCCCACTTGTACCACAAGTGCATGCTCTATGACCTGAACTAACCATTGCCCACTTGTACCACAAGTGCATGCTCTATGACCTAACTAACCATTGCCCACTTGTTCCACAAGTGCATGCTCTATGACCTGAACTAACCATTGCCCACTTGTACCACAAGTGCCTGCTCTATGACCTGAACTAACCATTGCCCACTTGTACCACAAGTGCATGCTCTATGTCCTAACTAACCATTGCCCACTTGTACCACAAGTGCATGCTCTATGACCTTAACTAACCATTGCCCACTTGTACCACAAGTGCATGCTCTATGACCTGAACTAACCATTGCCCACTTGTACCACAAGTGCATGCTCTATGACCTGAACTAACCATTGCCCACTTGTATCAGTTGCTCTATGACCTGAACTAACCATTGCCCACTTGTACCTCAAGTGCATGCTCTATGACCTGAACTAACCATTGCCCACTTGTACCACAAGTGTATGCTCTATGACCTGAACTAACCATTGCCCACTTGTATCAGTTGCTCTATGACCTGAATTAACCATTGCCCACTTGTACCACAAGTGCATGCTCTATGACCTGAAATAACCATTGCCCACTTGTATCAGTTGCTGTATGACCTGAACTAACCATTGCCCACTTGTACCACAAGTGCATGCTCTATGACCTGAACTAACCATTGCCCACTTGTATCAGTTGCTCTATGACCTGAACCAACCATTACCCACTTGTATCAGTTGCTCTATGACCTGAACCAAACATTGCCCACTTGTATCAGTTGCTCTATGACCTGAACCAAACATTGCCCACTTGTATCAGTTGCTCTATGACCTGAACTAACTGGACAGGTTGCTATTTTATTCAAAATTTCATTTGATTAAAATTTATATTTCATTTCAGAATAATGACTGTGATCTTTTACATTTACACACTGACAACAATGCTTCACCTCTAGAGTACATATACTCCACATTCAAAGAAGCCATACCAAAATTTAGTACATCTTTGAATAAAATTTCGGAGGATGCCTCAACGCCAACAAGTTGCATTATAAAGTTTCCTCAACATGAGCTCTCTGCTGGAGATACTTTAAATTTGCCTTCACTGTTTGCATTTGGCAAAAATGAAATTCAGCTCTCAATTTTGGGTAAGTTCAATGTATTACTACTACATGTAAAATAATTTTGAGTTAGAACATTCATGCACAATCTATTTACTTTTACAGAGAATATGGTAATCTAGTTTCCTCAATATGATTTATTATAGATTTAAACTAAGTCTAAATGTATGTCTAGGTATGTATAAACACTACATTCAGTGTTTACTGACATTAAGAACACCCTAAGACAATATCAATCTTTCAGTGTTGTCCCATATTGTGCTTATATTTATTAAATTTTAAATCGATGTCTTCTTTCCCCTTTAATGATGCAAACATAGTATAAGTCTTTTTCTTTTAAATATTTTTAGTGTTATCTAATAGATTTACGTATACATGTATGTATTTCTAGACATATCTCTGGCAGGAACATTTAAGGATGGTGAGGATTCTACAACTATTGATATGTGCATAGAAGCTATGTAAGTGACTAAGCCATGCTGTTTTATATCACAATAACTCTAAATTACCATGGGAAAGCCACCCAGACTCCCAACCTTTACAGTTTTACAGTTTTTCAGCTTTCACACTTTGAAAAATAAATTTTTTTTATACATTTTCTTATTCTTTTTTTATTGAAGATCTGGTGGCAGTAAGAAGTTTGAATTCAAAGAGAATCAGCTTAACATTGGTGACAACCTGAAACTTCAACTACAAGCAGAAGAGGTATATGAGAAATGCCACTAACCAGAAAATATGAGTCAAATTATTCTCAATTTTCATTATTTAACATTCAAAATTTGGCCAAAGTGATTTGAAATCTACAAAATCTAGAAATTTGGTGTTAAAAATTGTTTTTCAGCTTGAAAATTTTAATTCCATTTGAAATGTGATAAATAGGTCAAGCAGATTTTTTATAGAGCCCGTGTTATAAAATCTTGAAAAATTAAAATATCTTTTCTTGTCATGCTTTGACATCTAAAGAGTGAATAAAAGATATTGAGCAGATATTGATTTCTTTTACTGAAATTCTACCAAATTTCTTTTTTTAAATATATCTGGTAATACCAAAAGCTAGAAGGATGTTGTCATTTTAGGAACCTCTATCTCGTACCTTCAATTTGAGGATTTTCCAAAACGGTGTTGAGATAGGACATTTATCATGTGAAAAGCATATTTGTGGGATAAAACTTTATGCCTCAAAACGCTACATGATGGCACTAGACTTGAAAAAATCTGGGGTAAGTTATCATAAGGCCACCAGGATAATTAGGACCTTAATAAGTATGAGAAAAAGAATATAATCAATTTTAATGTTAGTCTGTCCATAGTAATATAAGTTAATTTATTAAGAACCCCAAAACATGCATTTAATTTATAATGAATCAAATAGAAAGATACTGTGCTTTTATCCCATTATCTCATTGGATCTTGTATTGATTGTTCAATGAGGCATTTTATTTTGCAGTATGGAATGGGAAATTGCACTATAAGTGTTGGAATGAGGCTGGAAGCAAAGGATAGGAAGACCCCCAGTCTCATATGCGTGGCAACAATAAGTGAGTACATGTACAAACTCTTCATAAATGTGGTAACAATAAGTGAGTACATGAACAAACTCTTCATAAATGTGGTAACAATAAGTGAGTACATGAACAAACTTCATAAATGTGGTAACAATAAGTGAGTACATGAACTAACTCTTCATAAATGTGGTAACAATAAGTGAGTACATGAACAAACTCTTCATAAATGTGGTAACAATAAGTGAGTACATGAACAAACTCTTCATAAATGTGGTAACAATAAGTGAGTACATGAACAAACTCTTCATAAATGTGGCAACAATAAGTGAGTACATGAACAAACTCTTCATAAATGTGGTAACAATAAGTGAGTACATGAAAAAACTCTTCATAAATGTGGTAACAATAAGTGAGTACATGAACAAACTCTTCATAATTGTGGTAACAATAAGTGAGTACATGAACTAACTCTTCATAAATGTGGTAACAATAAGTGAGTACATGAACTAACTCTTCATAAATGTGGTAACAATAAGTGAGTACATGAACAAACTCTTCATAAATGTGGTAACAATAAGTGAGGATATAAACAAAAAACTAAAAGTCCAATATGTGTGGGAACAATAGTTTAGTAAATATTAGCACATTGAACTGTTAAACATAAAATCTTAAAATCTGCTTCATTGCCTGCTAGCCATTCATGCTATTTAATCATACACCCTCTCCCCCTCTCCCTTGCCTTGTACGATGCCAATTTCTATTTTAAGCTGCCATAAAAGAGGATTCGCCAACACCATATCTTATACACTTTGATGGTTGGAGTACTGGGTATGACTATTGGACAGAGTTTGAAACTGAAGACATTCACCCTATAGGATACCAGAAATACTGTCTCGAAAATAGAATCCCAACATCGTCGCGATCAATCCTTCAACAACCTTCAGGTAACACTTGGTTAATGATCTCTCTTGATAATCATATTACCTTTGTGGGATGCCTTTCACATCTTTTAGATCAGTTCAATTACTATGAATTTTATCAAGTGAAACACTGTCAATAGAACACTTTGTTCGATATTTTCAATTTTGGTTACCATTATATTTTGGTGAGCAATACCTTATTGGTATATTCCTGTATTTTAGGTACACACCACATCCTTTTACATAAGTTGTGGACCAATCAGTCAAACACCCAGAATTACAGAATGCCCAAACGAGTTTGACTGAGCTGGGAATCAAGCTTAGGGCCAAGAAATTATAGTAGTTACCTTGCCTGTGTTAATGAGCCATATTATGTGGAACTTTTTTGTAGCACCAAACACATTAGACTTGCACAGGGTCTGGTGTATTATATTTTCTGAAACTAAACTCTTATGTTTTAGGGAGAAATGATCCAAACTGGACGTGGGAGAGCTATCTTGAATCAATTGATGCTGAGCCTGTCCCCTATGTTTTGTTCTCTGAGGTACAGAATGTGTTTCTTTACATTTCAAATCAAATAAGGAAAATCTTTTCTTAGAATGGTTTGTAACAATTAAGCCAATGTATTTCAGTATACTCATATTTTAGTTATAGGTTGATAATACTCCGTATATATTATACAGTTTCTCAAAAAATGTACACAATTGTCAATATATTTATAATTTTGGCATTTACACTAAAACATGATTGAATACCAAGCAGATTGAAAATCTTCCCATGATTGACTACACATAACGGATTTCATTGACTCATGTAAAATCTGACTTGTGCCAACTTTTCAGAACTAGGGACAAAGAAAAAGCATTCCTTTGACAGTTATTTTGATTCACGATTATAGACATTTCACTGATTAATTCTTCAATTTTCCTATCTGTATTTCTTAATATGGCGGCCATGCCTATCCTTGCAAATATTGGCTCACCTCACCATGTCCTTACAAACATGTGTGATGAGCTCCCTTTCTTTTTGTATCACACTGATCAATTATTCTTTGATAAGGTTCATTCAGGTGGCCCTATGAGAGAAAAACCAGGGAGGTTAAGTTGAATGAACTTGGGGGCCACTCAATAGGGTAAAGGCCCGGTCACACCGCCCGGACGTTGCTGGAGCGTTCCTTGAACGTTGAAAAAATTCATCAACGCTCGTCAACGCGCACAGAATGGGGAAAAAAACAAAAACACGGGCGTTGGCTTAGCGGTGCACCGCTGAAGCCGGCGTTGCTTTAGCGCTGGTTAAGCGGTTGCGAGCGGTAGCTAACGTTTGTTTAGCGGTAATGCGAGCGTTGGTATAGCGGCGTTCTGCGCATGAGAGCGTTGCCTCGGCGGGGGTATAAATAGCAGCAGCGTTGGTTTAGCAGCATATCGCGTTTGACTACTGGGAAGTGTTTAAGAGTAAAGACCTTTATTGGAATTTGTAACAAACATATCACAATTTAATCGTTGCATTTCCATTACTTGGAACCGATTTACGTTCAAATTGCTTTAACAATGTCAAATAACATTTACAGCAAAGTAATAATCATGACGCATGACAAATTTTTGCATTGCTGTGCGCGCATCAACTTTTTGTGTAATACCATGACGAGTGCAACATTTTACAAGCTGCGCAGAAAATTCACAGATAATTTATTGAATTGCTTGACGTGAAAACACTAGGTATATACTATATTTGAATAAAGGTCTCAGTAAAAGTCTATTTGCATTAACATTTAATGAAAAACAAAAATCGCATAATTCACCTTTTTAAAATCCAAAATCACAAACTTTGAGCGCTTAATTTAGGAATTTACAATGCAAAAAATTGAAATGCCAGACATGAATATATATCAAATGTAAAATGCACAAGTGTCTCCACAGTGTTCTACACAGTGGTGCATTTCTCCACGTATTTATAGCCAAATTCTGGTCCCGCTCCGATACCTCTATACCAACGCAAAAGCAAAGTTCATCGCCGCCATGGAACGCTGCGACAAAGTCCGACACAGTTCCAACAACCCCATGTACGCTGATAAACGCTAACAACCGCTCCACCGACGTTTGTGCAACGTTTAATCGCCGCCCGGGCAACGCTGGCGAAGCAGCGGTTGTCCAGCGTTTAAGATTTCTGCGTTGGTCTAGCAGATTCAAGCGTCCACGAACTTGCGTCTAGCGGTGCCAAACTTTGACTGGGTGTTGGTGGAGCGGTGATAAACTTTGCCAGGGCGTAAAATTGTCCCTTTTTCAACGCTCGCAATATTTTGAGCAGCTCAAAACTTTTGGAGCGTTAGGATGGCCACTCGAGAAACATCCGCGTTGGCCGAGCGTTTACAGCGTTGCTTTAACGGATGCCAACTTTTGTTAAACGGTGGTGAACGTTTACGAGCGTTGATGATTTTTTTCAACGTTCAAGGAACGCTCCAGCAACGTTTAGGCGGTGTGACCGGGCCTTTAATCAATGCTATGATCGGATTTCCAAGGAGTTCTGCTATAGCCTTTCACCTGTGAGGAGGAGTGTCATCCTGTTGGCACCACAAATGCCGAAAATGACCATTCTGATGGCGTTGAAATCTTGGAATGCCTTCCAGGAAAGGCATGACATGTTCAACCACTGGGAAGTTGGAGCAAGTCAGATTTCACCATGAGTTCATAAAATCTATCCTGTGTAGTCAACCATGGAAGGATTTTAAATTTGCTCAGTGTCGAATTAATTGAGACAGCTTGCTCTTCATGCATTCAATCATGTTTTAGGGTAAATGCCAAAATTTATAAAAGATATTGACCATTTTATACTTGTAATATTTTTTGAGACACTCCGTAAGAGCAATAAATACATGATGATAATTTGATTTTATAGTAGCTGTAACAATCAGACATGTTTTGATAAAAGAGCCACCACATGTTAATATTCTGTGTGCTTGTAGGCACAGGCAAAGGGATGCCCAGACATTACAGCAGATAGTGGAGGAGTCACATTGATGTGTACAAAACTGAATGGTCGAGCAGAATGTATGTATATGTAATAGTTCATTTTGCATATTTCATAACATGTTGAAGATATAGTGTCCTATTGCGCAAAAACAAAGTTGCTTCATTATTTTCCAGCCCCCTCACCCAAATGACGAAACTTTGAAATTACTTTTACATGTATATGTAATAGTTCATTTTGCATATTTCATAACATGTTGAAGATATAGTGTCCTATTGCGCAAAAACAAAGTTGCTTCATTATTTTCCAGCCCCCTCACCCAAATGACGAAACTTTAAAATTTTCATATGCAATTCACTTGAACTTAAAACAAATCTGCGTTCTTTGATGAAGATATTGTACCCCCTCTGAACTTATTCTGCCTTATTCAAAGGGTTTAGAAATTTCATTTTTATTTAAAATCATTTTACCACATTTATTCAGTGAAACCTGTGAAGTGGAACACCTCTGTAAGTGAAAGACTTCAGGTCTTTTTCAATTCAATTTGCATCAAATTGAACACATTTTTTCAAAATCATCTACAAATTCTCAGAAGTTCGAATCTGACTTTAGATTTGAAATTTGACCTTCAATGACCTTCTCAAGGTCAAAAAGGTCTTTTTTCAACATGCTTCAAATTGACATTTTTTTTCAAAAACGTCTACAAGTTCTCAGAAATTTAAATCTGATTTTTAGATTTAAGACTTAACCTTCAATGAACTTCTCAAGGTGAAAAACGTTTTTTTTTCAATTTGTTAACAAATTTTTTCTAAGTTCTAAGAAGTTCAAATCTGACTTAGATTGAACTCTTAATACTGTGAGCAACTAGGTGGTGACATTTTATCGTGTTAATGCCTTGTTTGTACATGTATTCAGTTTAAAGTGATTTTGTGCCTGGGGTTGAGGAATTCTAATCATCAACACTTTACAATGCTCTATTTCTTTTCAACTTCTTATTTCTTTTAAAATGAAGTTAAGCAATATAAAACCTTGTTGTTGGATAATAAATGAGATTGAATTTGTAAACCTTTCATGTGTTATAGTTCGTGAACAAAACACCTACAGAAATCCTAAAATTGGGTTACGTCAATGTATTTCTGATTTGAAGAGAGCATTACCTCAACCAATCAAGGGAAAAGTGGATGTCTCTTTGGATAGCTCCGCATACCGTCATCATATGGTGACGCCATTGCCTGAGGGGGACCTCTACACTTTATTGATGCATCCCTCGATGTCTGCCATCTCTAGGGCAGATCTGAGTTTGCATTGTTTGTGTAATGAAAATATATGTAAGTATTTTGATTCAAAAAACAAAAAGACACTACTACTATGTCGAGTTGCTGTTTTCTAGTATATAACTTCATTAAGCCTAGAGGGAAACACATCAGGTTCTATATTTGTATTATATTTTATTGTTAAATATGTTACAGCTGAGGTGCATTTCTTGAACAGCAAAGGAGAACATATGTCTAAGAGAACATTCCTTCCCGATCCCTTCAATCTGACCCCCTACAACATGCTTATGGGTATTTCTGCAATGCATCTAATCACAAACTCAAAGGTAGATACTATCTTTTTGTACACCTGTCTGTAGTGAACACTTGTCTTTATGAACACATCTGTAGCAAACACCTGTCCATTTCTCATAAAATTCTTCAGCAACTTCTGTATGAAATACCCCTCTTTATTAGTGTTATAGGTAAATAACATGCGGGAATATAATTGATATCTGAGGTGAGCAATTCCCGGGTATTTCGTTTTATGTTAAAAAGTGTTGAGTTTTAAAAAACCTACAGTTCCTCAGGTAGGTATATTGTATTTCCCTCAGATATACCCTGTATCCAAAACCTCCCATTAAATAACCTCTATGTAGTGAACATTTTTACAGATTCACAGGTTTTCTTTGTTTATTTAGTTTCAATCAATACTCAATACATGTGCTTACAAGGTATTATGATGGAGGACATTAAATGAATGAAATATACATCCAATAATACATATAGTGTCATGAATCTTAAATAATTTAGGTTAACATTTTGCGATGATTTTAATTTCAGATTCTGCTTCCTTCTGTATGCAACAACTTACTTGGAAGCGAACATAAACAAGTTTCTGATACAGTTAGGAGAAAGGTAAATCTCATCAGTTTCATATGATTATATAATATTAAGAATGATAGAGTAAATATAATTACAAATTACCTAAATTAAGATTGTTAAACCATAGATGATGTCTGCGTCGGTGACAGGTCATCTCAACCCCAAGTCATCTCAACCCAGTCCAACTCAACCCCAAGTCAAGTCAACCCCAAGTCAAGTCAACCCCAGTAAAACTCAACCCCAAGTCAACTCAACCCTGTAAAACTCAACCCCAGTAAAACTCAACCCTATTCATTTGTGCAATGTCTAATTTAATTTTTTTATGATGAATAATTTAAGTCATTCATTTCTGAAAATCTAGCATTTTGCATGATACTTTGAATAGAAAGTTCTAAAAGTATTAAAAAAACGGAAGTTGCATCATTTTTTGTCAAAACATATCTTTTTTTGGCTCGCTTATGCCACGATCGGCACCCCCGGACTGAAAATCTGATTTTTTGGGCGATCGCATCCTTCTTGACTGAAAGCTGGCTATGCCCCTGGAAAGCAATGGTCATGTTCCAGTTTTCCAAATAATCACCAGTGTCAACCTCATAGGGATTACAACAAAACAAATGTATGAGCAAGATTAATAAAATGACCCATATTTTGATCCTATTAGTACCATGTTGAGGTTTTGGAGATAAACTCATTATAACTATAATCTAAAAAGGCAGTGGTCTAAGAATGAAAATCACAAACTGAATCATGAGAATTATTTTTATGAATAAACTTTCTTATAAGTTTATCTATATATAGAAATATAGGGGTTGAGTTTTACTGGGGTTGAGTTTTACAGGGTTGAGTTGACTTGGGGTTACTTAACGTAAATGCTAAATTCTGAACAAAAGTTAGTCCAAATAAAAAACCACCTTTTTATTATTTGATATATAATGATAATGAAAATCAAAGAAATATGAAATATGAATCAGTATTGATTCCTGTAAGTTTGTTGAAAAGTTTTTTTAAATAGTTTAATTATTTGTCCTTTTGTTTGCAGTTAGAAGCAGGTATACGGAAGTTATCTCTGTATTTTCTTCACAATTTAAGTCGAGCGTATAACATGATAAAAAATAAAGAAGTGCAGGTAGATATTAAGGCAGAGGAGTTAGAGGCACCTTTACCCATTCCCAGTGATACACAAACCACCTCAGAGCCCTCTGGAGATTATCTACACACGATGTACAAATATGCATGTGCATGTCCTAGTCATATGGGTCAGCTGAATTTAGAAACACTTGGGGCATTGGGGAGTTACACAAACTTCATAACCACATTGAATCTTCAAGACGTTACATTGGAAACTTACCCTGATTCAATCAGAGTTCTCTCTCAGCTTCAACAACTTCAATTGGTCAACTGCCAACTGGAAACTCTACCAGATAATGCCCTGGAGTGTTTCGGCAACCTTAAGTTATTAAATTTGAAGGGAAATAACATGAAGGCCTTGCCACCTTCAATGGAACAATGCATCAGACTTGAAGAACTCGATATCTCGAATAATAAGTTCTCCAGTCTATCAGACAACCTAAGATGTGAGAGTTTGAAGAAAATCAACATCTCTAAAAACTTATTCGAAGCTATACCAGACACACTGATGGCTTTAACACAGGTATGATATATACAGATCAAGCTTTGTTCATTCAATAATGTGTAAATTACATGTAACTTATTTTACTATTTGGTATGACATATTTATGTGTCAACAGAATTTTCGTCAATAATCAAAATTTCTTTTCAAACAGACTAAAATTGAGTCTTGAAAAAATTATCATTTGGATGTAATACCTAAATCCTCAAAACAAGAAGGATTTTGCTTAAATCAGAACATTTAGAATAGCCTTCAACAAATAAAACCAATGAATCACATAGGACTTACATTTGTCATATGCATTTTAAGTATCAATATCATACAACTGTACATATAAAATTTCAAGAATATTCTCTAGTTTATTGCTTTTACTTTGATTGACCTATTTTATGTGACCTTGACCTAAACTGATGGTGATGGGCCCCTGTTATCTTCTGTACTCTTATATGATTAAATTACAGTTGAATGTTCTAATGGCAAACTGCTGTAAGATTGGTAGCATACCCTCCTCTATACATAAACTACAGCATTTACACACACTGGAGCTACAGATGCTACACATAAGAGAACTCCCTGATTCTCTTGGTAAGTTGATCATATATCATATAATGTTCATACATTTGAAAATGTATATTTTAAAAACTTAAGCAATCAAAATACTGTGATAAGGGAAACACTTAACATGAGTGACTTACAAATGTTGAACATCTTCCTTCAGGAACAAAAAATTTCGAAACAAATGCTTCACATATACACAAATATTGAAGCAAATGCTTGACATTTACACAACTTTCGAACCAAATGCGTGACAGATACGGAATTCCCCTGACATTTCCGAATGAAATGGGTTTGTTTTTCTTCGGCGTTCGTTTTTTTATGTATCAGCGTTAATTTTTTTAAGTTCTTCTACAGAAATATTTTTGCTTGACATTTGGAACAGTTGGACGGCCTGAATATTATATCTGTATGTCATGGAATTATGCATGTCCTTATAAAACATATGACATCCTACATGTAAGGAGTTTTATATCTATTGCATTTAATATTCTGTGGTATTCCAGGGGAGCTGAGTGAGCTACAAGAGTTGGATATAAGTGGTATTCCCTGGCTTATGGGATATGATTCAAGATCTAGCACATTGACAATTGAGGCATACAAAATTTACATCAAAGAACATATATCCATACAATTTTTGTCAAATGAAGTGAGTTGTGTTATGGTTTTTTTCTGTAAATATGTATGGTAATTATCACTAGCCTTAGACTTGAAACATCGTATATTGAAATAATGGACACCATTGGTCACCCATGTTCGACATCTGTAACAATTGTTACACTTTTCTAGGTTAATGCTGTGTTTATTTTTCCCAATCTAGGAGTTATTGGCTTTCTTTGAAGAATGTGATCCTGACAAAAAGTTTGTGCTGGACCATAAGCAGATACAGAAGCTGAACGCCAAGCTTTATGAGGCAATACCCAGACTTGGACAGACTACAAATGGTTTGTTATTATACTCTAATGAAATCAGATGAACAATGATGTGTGGATATATGAAAATTCGAAACAACAGTAAAACCTGTGTACAGGGAACACCCACAGAGTCCCTGTATGTATGTGGTCAAATAATACAGAGAGGCAATTTTATACAGAAGTTAATGAGAATATCTGGAGAAGAGTAGTTCACTAGACAGGTGCTCACTAGAGAAAGGTGTTCACTAAGACAGGTTTTACTGTACAGTCCAACCTATTGAAATTCTGTCAGCATTCTAATTCTGACTAAAAGGTATTTTGACTAAAACTGGTAAAATCAGGATGCTCCCTGTTGAAAAAATACTGGGAAGGCCACTGGCTGTATCAATTGGGGTTTCATAATGACTGACAAATTATTTTTTTCCATTTGACAGTCATTGTAAAATCAATATAAAGTCATTTATTAAGTGTTGCACAAATGATATGAACACATTTTAGACTCATACTGTAACCTGTATATTTATTAACAGGACAGTGGCCAGCAGTGTTAAACAAGTTATCTTCACTGAAGGCACTCAAGCTATCCCATCAGGCTTTGACCCTAGTGCCTGATACAATTGTAGAACTTCAACACCTGACACACATTGATGTTTCCCATAATCCTCAGCTGCTTTCACTGCCAGGTAGGTAAAGTATGCTGGGATTTGAATGCAATAATTTTTTTACCAAAACGTACAATTTGAATTAAGTCATGCATTGTTTTCATTTTTGATGATCAGATGGTTTATCAAAGTCCATATTCAATGCAAATGTAATGACCCGAGGGCGCCCCAGGGGAATAACTAATCTTGTGTAACAAGCCAGATAAAGAAATTGAAAGAAAGTGTGCTAAATTCAATGCCCCATGGGGGAATCAAACCTAGGACTCTTGTATCCGAAGTCTGATGCTCTACCGACTGAGCTATAATGATCATAATGATCAGATGGTTTATCAAAGTCCATATTCAATGCAAATGTAATGACCCGAGGGCGCCCCAGGGGAATAACTAATCTTGTGTAACAAGCCAGATAAAGAAATTGAAAGAAAGTGTGCTAAATTCAATGCCCCATGGGGGAATCGAACCTAGGACCCTTGTATCCGAAGTCTGATGCTCTACCGACTGAGCTATAAAGCCTTTATAGCTAGTTATACTATGCTTGTTAGTTAGTCATTCACCTGGGGCGCCCTCGGGTCATTACACAAATATATGAAATCATAATAAATATAAAACATTTAATTGTGAAAGAAAACCAACAAAAAATACATGTGACGGTGGCAAAATAAGAAAATGTTAGCCATTTTGTAAATATTGTGGATTAGGCATTGAGTCCAGTCCATATAATACAAAAATACAACCTAGTATATGATAATATTACTGTTGCAGACAACCTTGGTAAGCTGTCCCTGAGTCAGCTACCACTAAAGGGGTGCCCAGTGCTGAAGACCCCTCCTAAGGAGATAGTATCGAGGGGATTGACAGCCATCCTGGCATATTTCAAACGCCTCCAATCAGGTTCCACTGCCTGTAAGAGAACCAAGTTGATGATGGTGGGACTTGGTGGAGCTGGAAAAACAAGGTATGACTAAAATGTTTGATTGGAAATAAGAACAATGAAAAATTATTTGTATCTGTACATATGAATGTACAGCTGTATAAAGAGCTGTATATATGAATAAATAAATAAATTTTGAAATGCAAAAAGTACATAGAAAATTGCAAGAATCTCTGAAAATATGAGTAATACTTTTGTTTGTGCAGCACACGACAATTACAGTGAAATATTTTAGTTCAGGGCACTGAATCGCACATTTCAAGATTTATTAGTTTTAAAATATCTCCCATTCAATTCTTTAGAAAATCAAGTACAGCACATGTACATGCACTGAAGCTACAGTTTACACTGAACTAAATGCAAACTACCATAGAAGGGCCTATTATCAAATTTTCCCTCACTCCAGTGTGATCTTTGCTACTATGGTTGTACATGTATAATGTTCACATATCATTGTAGTCTAGTACAGGCTTTGACCAGTGGCAATTACCAATCATATGGCACTCAGGGGGAGAATATCACTGATGGTATAGACATCACAACTTGGACAGTTGGACAGGGATCTGGTGATGACAGGTTAACTTATGGTGTTTGGGACTTTGCGGGACAAACTATATATTACAACACTCATCAGGTATGTATACGGTATGCATGTTTATCACATATTAAGGAAAAATTACATATAATATTGCAGTAGCTCACCATGTAAGGTAAAAAGCCTATAAAATTGATATTTTAGGTATTTTACACCAGATGATCCAGAAACCCCTCATTGTATGAGCCCTGTGTTTCTTGTGCACCAGTACACAGATATACAGTACACACCACAGCCTTTTACATGAGCTGTGCACCACTCAGTAACACCCACAATTACATAACGCACAAACAACTTGTATAACACATGATTTGATATTGCAGTTTTTCTTGTCAAATCGGGCTGTGTATCTTCTGCTATGGAATATCAGGTTGGGGTATGAACATGCTGGCCTCAACTTCTGGCTTAACTCCATCAGCTGCCATGCCCCCAAGGCACCTATCATCATTGTGGGGACACATGCAGACCAAGTCGAGAAGTTTGAACTGCCATCTGCAGTTATGAAAGAAAAGTTTCCACAAATTGTGGCCTTCCACAATATCAGCACATACACAGGGATGGTAAGCAATGACCATTTATAAAATGATGTGATGATTTTCATTACACAGATGTTTTAACATAATTTTATTGAAACAGTATACAGTTGAGTTGCCTGACATAATACCAATACAGTACCTATGCTTGATATCAGTAAAAAAAAATACTTGAAAATATATGTCATCCAGGTGTTGAAGCTTTTGCTGATGATGCCCAAATATAGAGAATAAAGCCTTCCAAGGTTGGCTTGTATTGGTTGAAATCCGGAATATTTCATATAATAGTGACATAACCTCTAAATATATGTTCTTCCAGGGTGTTGAAGCTCTTGCTAATGAGCTTATAGAAGTTACCTCAAAAGAAAAGTACATGGGAGAGAAGGTACATGTTGCTATATTTGTATTCATAGCTCCTGAATTAAGTGTCCACCTAGAACGTTGTGTCTGTTTCATAAGTATAAGTCATCCCATAATAATTTACAACAATTATGTACAAATATCACTCCATATTTTTCTCTTGATTTGTGAGTTGGAAAACTATTTTCAGTATGCATCTGAAACATAATTCCATGATCTGACTACAATCAAAATATAAGCTAGTTTTATAGTTTGGCTATAATTACAATATTTCGATAACAGACATTCACCCATCATCATTTTTTAACCTCCAGAATAAACCAAACTGTGATACATATGTACTTCAAAATAAAATCTTCAAATTAGTCATTTTGGCAGTGTTTAGTGTTTACCTTATTGCTCTCTTTTATCATCATATTCATTGTCATTTACATTATTATCATTCATCGTGAGTTTTCTTCACACAGGTACCTGAAGTATGGCTGAGCTTTGAGAAGAAACTTTTAACCATTCGTAAAGAAAGTGTAGTTGAGCTCACCCGTGTGTCGGAAATTGCAGTGGAGTGTGGCATCATGGAAATGGATGAGGTGTGTTTTATTCCTTTACTTTGTCCTATCTGACGCTGACCTGTTTCACCAGTTAAAGGAGTAGTTTACCCAGAAATCTTCATTTTTAGAATAGCTTGAAAGTGAAGCTTAGTAGATAAGTAGGGCAAATGACTCTTTCCTAAAATAACAGTGAAATTAATTGCACACATAAATATGAGAAAGATACCTGAGCATCTGTTTAACAATAAATCATGAATTATCTTATCTTCATTATAATTATATGTGCATGTTTTAGCTCCTTCAAGCAGTTGCCTTCCTACACGACCTTGGTTCCATCGTCTACTTCAACAACAAAGCACTTAGAGACAAAGTTATCCTCAACCCACAGTGGATTGTTGATGTCATGGCATGTGTTGTCAATGTACATGATAGCCCAATTAAGGTAACTGAAGAATATGTGTGCCAATTTGTCTGTTTTTTCTCAAAACTGGTTATGATTATGCAATACATATATGAAATGCTTATTCAATGTTGTGGTCAGATGTGTGTCACAAATGATATTTAATTTACATATCTTAGGTTCAACTATTCATGATTTGTCTATAATAACTGATGGATGGAAGAGGAATCCACATGTAAGAGTTCATCATTGATTGACAACATGTAATGTTGTATAGAGATGTATTAAAAGATACACAAAATATTAGAACATATTCTACAGTATACCACAACTAAACTTCAAACATACAGTACATGAACAACTACCCATACCAGGTCCAAAATCAGAATGGTGAAAAATTGCATGATTTTGAATAATTTTGGCCAGGGGGAGAGGTTTGCTTGCACCCTCTGAATTCCCCGGCTACGAATCCTGACTACTGAAAATACTGAGTTATTTGATCTGACAATAATGTATCATTTTCTTTTAGGATGGGAAACTTCTCCACAAAGACAAGGCTACAATCTGGCACGCCTATCCCCCTGATTTACATGATTGGCTACTGAAACTCACTGAGGTATTTGACCTAACGTTCCCTCTGAACAATGAGGAGGCACACTTGGTACCCTGCCTTCTACCTGAAGATGATCCTCCTGTAAGTACGCACTAAGCACTACTGTATATTTCAGATGAAATTTCCATTTGAAAAATACATTTACTGATATTGTCATCTTTTTTTATCTACAACATGATAATGCAGGTAGTTTATATGAAAACCCTTTAAGTGGAATACAGAATTTTGTTTTATTTCAGTTTGAATGGCCTGATATCTCAAATGATCCTGATATGCACAGAAATAGGATGCTATATAACTTTGAATATCTCCCTGGAGGTCTATTCAATAGATTGCAGGTAAGCAGATATGTTTTATGGTTTTGTATGTGAAACAATAGTTCAACCTTTTCAGGCATGTATGATTTTCTGTTCTGTCACCATCAAGAAACATTTTGTTGTTAACAACCATTTTTGTGACCGCATTGCGCAGTGGGTAACAGGCATCAGTAGTCAGTCGGTCAGCATCTGTAACAAACTGTCACACATTTGTTACTATTTCCAGTGACTTACTATTTGGTGACATTTTTTTCATGTAAATGCCTCTTTTGTATTTCTATTACCATTTAGAAAATGAAGTTCTTTCCATGAACCTCTGAATAATGTTTTTTTTTTTTATTTACTCATATTTATTTATATCAATATAATGTATTTTATAAGAAGCTCCTCAATCGCTTCAGCATTATAGCGGAGCAAGTAAAACAAAAATGTAATACTTATTATTTTTTATGATGTATTCAATATTGAATTTAAACAACTACAGTACTATAATACATTGTTTTGGTTTCTTCATTTCAGGTTCGCCTGTATCAGTTCTCAGATAGTTTTGTGATCTGGAAGAAAGGATCCATCCTGAAGAAACGAAATCACATAGCCCTCATGTCAACCATTAAGTAAGAAAACAGTTGCCTTGGAAATGAGTCCCTTTCTTTTAGTTACTGTTTAGTTTGAGAATTGAAAAGCACATAACCCTTGAATTCTTTTTGCCATAAAACAGTTAGATTTTTTATCACTATCTGTAGGTCTTGTATACTCCTGATCTTTTAAAATCACATTGTGTAATATCAAGTTCTTTATGTGTTGCAAACGTGATATCTCAATGATGCTTATTTCTCATATCTAGTTTATCCAATGAAAACCATATAGTGTTTCTAAAGTATGTGCTCAGTAGAAATATATGTAAACAAATAAATAATGTACTTTATTCATGTTTTCAGTGGAAACACAGTGCTGGTGAAAGTACAAGGGCCTCGACCTGAAAACATTCTGTTTATGATCCATGAGGTCCTAGAGACTCTTATTGCAGAGTCATTTAATGGTGTAACCTATACAATGATGATTCCTTGCATGGACTGCATAAAGGCGGTTAGTATAGTAAAACCTGTCTATGTGATACCTCTAAAAAGTGTTCCACTGTGTGTGAGGTGTTCCACTTATACAGGTCCATTTAACATTAAGTCAGTTGGTCTTGGAACTCTGAAAAAAGTTAAAGTTAAAAAGTGAAGCTAGACAATGCAAGGACACAAATATAGAAACAAAGGAATCTCATGCAATTTGAGAGCACATTAATCTGGGCTACATTTAGTAAACCTAACTTGACATAACCAGTGCTCTAGACATTTATTGCAAGCTCCAGATGTAGCACGGTAACTACTTTTTAGATTTTAGCACTGTTAGATACATACATATTAATATGGTGAAAGAATCATTCTACACTTCAACCATGCAACTTGAAATATTTAACTTCAACTGGACCTCAGAAATGAAAGTACTTTTAATAACATGTTATATTATATAATGCTTTAAATGCTTTGAATTATAGGGGATGTCTGAGCCAACTATGATACCAGTTGGGAAAATCAAGCAAGCATCAGACATGAAAGTACCATTTCTCCAGTGCTATGATAGATTCCATACTCTCTCCATCAGTGAGATTCAAGGTACAGTATGCTAGTATTGTTACTATCCAAATATCTATGTTTTAAAGAAAAATTAATTTGCACATCATTAAACCCAGATAGAAAGGTGATGCATGCTTGAGACTCTTATGGAGCTTGTTTGAATATCTTAATTGCTTACAATAGAAAAATTTAATGAGTTTGAATTACATGGACAAAATGTATTCAATATTCAATTTGTGTTTAATAGGAGTTACTATGGCTAAAAGTACAATTTACATATATAGACATATGAAATATGTAAAATACAATGTAATACATTTTAGGATCTGTACCTCCGGACAACAGTGCTGATTTTGACATCCATCTTGAGCGCTGCCTACATGAGCTTAATGACCTTCGTTATGGCCTCTCAACAGATATATTTATCTCATTCTGTGATAAAAATCTCCCCCCAGACGATGACCCGAATCTTGTGAGCCCAGTACAAATTAAGAAAGATCTGATTAAAGCAGGCTACAGTGTGTAAGTTTCACTTTTGTTATTCTCAAATTATTTCATTATTGAATATTTGTTGTGTAAGTTTCACATTTGTTAATCTCAAATTATTTCATGATTGAAAAAATTAAAATGACTCAAATAAAATGAAAATTAGTGGAATTCACCTTTTCACAGTAAAGCTCCTCAAATTGAAAGCTATCCCTGCTCACACCTAAAACTTTGATTGGCTGTAAACGTTCTTTTACCTCTTAAGTATACATTCTCTCCTCCAGATTCAAGGTTTCTGCCTGGGGAAAGTGGGTCTGAAAACCCCCATGTTAAACTATTGGCAGAATAAAGATTCTACCTATTCATTCATAGAGTAATACATTTCGGATAATCTGATGAAAGAAAACAGGTTCTTTCTAGAAATGAGAGATAAGATGACACAAATAAAGTGAAAATTGATGGAGTTTTAAAATGTCAACATCTTTATGATTTTGGCTTGAAGTGTCTCACAATTTGAAAAGTAAAATGAATGTTGCTTTGTTCTATTGTAGATGGTATAATGACAAGACGAGAGACATTGAAGATGTCACTGTAGCTATGAAAGACTCTAAGGTACAAGAAAATGTGTCTATTAACAAACATCACACAGAAAATGCATAAGAACCATGTATTTTAATTAAATATAAATTAGAAATAACATAACCGTACTAACAGTTCAAAGAAAAAGTTTAACTGAACAAGTTCATGTCTATCGAGGAATTCACAAAACTGATTCAATTTAATGATGTCATATGGAATGTTGGCTTATTGGTTCAAATTCTAAATTTATCTCAAGAAGTACATTGCATATGGTCCTGAAATTTCACATTTGCATGTAAGACGGGTGATACTATATCTGTGATCAATTTCATCTGAAAATAATGAAATAGTTTCCCTTGAGCTTTTTGCAAAACTTTTTGAACAACCCAAATACATAACAGATATCACACCTCATCATAAGACATAAAGTGCAGTATTCAGTTGTCACAAAATTCAGAATATTTGCTACATTCTGTACATGTATATCATAATGTTAACATATATCAATAGTAGATCTACTTTGTAACATGCTTCATCTATTTATTTTCTTTTAGGTTTTTGTAGCACTGATATCAAATGAATATGTGAATGATCCACACTGTGAGGAGATGTTCATGTACGCAACTACAATGTTAAAAAAAACCCTTCAACTTATTGTTGTGGGCCAAGGGTATGAGTGGAGAAATTCCGTTATAGGCCTTCAAGTCACAGATGAGGTATTTTTTCACCAACATATATCTCACATATATTGCCTTGAAAAGTAAAGATTAGATTGAATTCTCTAATGAGCTGGAACAAGTTTAATTTGGTGCCAATATTCTGTTGGAAATTTGACATTTTCATGATTATTCACCATTCATATATCAATAAATTGGGTTGTAGAAGGATTAATATTATTATACCTTAGGTTTTCTTATTGATATGTCAGAGTAAATAAAATCTCAATCTAGCTGATACAATAATATCATGGATCTTTTTAGCTCATTTATTAAAATGTGCAAGCATTAATTCTTTGATACAAATTCCAGAGTGAAATCTTGGATTCATGCATCTAGAAAATTTTAAAAACTTTGTGCATGAAAGCTGGTTTTTCATGTGGTATTGTAGAAGTCATAAATGCACTTATTTTCTTTTAGGTATTTGTGAACATGCAGAAAAAAGAGAGATACCCTGTTAAGATTAAAGAACTTTGCACTACATTGGAGAAACATTTAAGCACCAAGACGGTATATTTGTTTTACTTTGGTAAAATTGCAGTAATTTCTTAGATTGTACTTTGTAATTACGCTTTGGAGAAGGATAGGTCATCTTTATGAATCTGTTTTTAATAACCTAAATAACCTTTGGATCTACTATCTATGGAATTGTGATTTTATTTTTTTTCAAATATTCTCAAATTGCAGTATTGAGTAATGTGTGTAATAAACTTCCTCTCTTTAAATTATTCATATTAGCTTTGATATATAAGTTTGATATACAGTATCAAGTTTAGTTGTATTAAATTTTGAACTAAGTCTCTTTTGTTGGATTGTTCATTTGTGCTATCATGCAATCTTCTTTGAAAGATACTAATCACAAAAACAGTATAATAGGCTAATAGTTTGATATCTTATATATTTTCAGAAAGTTATCCCATCATGCTTTATCAGCTACTGTTGGTCTAACTCCCAGAATGCAATAGATTTAGGATCAAGGGAGAAAGATGGCGCTATAGGCTGGGCAGATCCGCGTGAAATACGTAAAAAACTTGGTGAGAATGACATTGACTGCTGGTTAGACATTGAACAACTTGGATCTGGAGGTGGACTTTTTGAAGATATCGCCAAAGGGCTACGAAATGCAAAAGTCATAGTTGCGTTCGTCTCAGATGAGTATGCAGAATCTAAGAACTGCATGTTAGAATTCCGTTTTGCAGCATTTACCTTGAGACTTCCCATGATTCTTGTGGTTGTCGGGACAGGAAATAAATGGAGGACGTCGGAGTTGGGAATTATTGGCCTCGGCCATGCTGAAGTATCCATGCAGTTTACAAATCCTGGAGGTTTTGAGGAGATATTGAATTTTGTAAAGTCCAACCTTCCTGAGGTCGATGACTCTGATATTGAACTTCAAGAGAAACAAGACCAAGAAGGCAAGCAGATTGCCTTTAAAGAACTGCTGGAGCTGCTACAAAGAAAATTCCTTAGAACTGTAAGTAAAACATTGGACATTTATGGGCGTAACACCACATTTATGGGCGTAACACCTAGTACGCCTGTTACACAGGCATACCAGTTGGTTCCGTCAGATGCTCCAAATACAACCAAATTTAAAAAACTATCAGAGATCATGTATAATGTTCCGCAACATGTTGAACACCTTGTTGTCAATACTGATCATGAAATAAGTTTTCATCGCTGATGATGAACAGTACTGCAGCATATATTTTGTACTTTGTTACCCTCAAAGAATTTCTTTATTTTTTATTTTACTGAAACGCTATTATGTATAGAAACACCGCAATGCTATTCTGTATTCTGTGCTTTAGTTTTTTTTAACAAAATTAATTTCTTTAATATCATGCATAGAAGTTATTTTTACGCAATACTTAAATGCTTTTCCCAATGTATTATCATTGAGACAAAAATACTTTATATACAAAAATACAGACAGAAATATTTTTAGAATTCTAGTACTATGAAGAAGAAAATCATTTTCAGGTGCGTAGTTATGAGGAAGAAATGTCAGCTCAATGGCCAAGATTGATCGTTATAGACACATACAATAGTGTGAGATCTCATACTGGTGGAGGGGATACATCTCAACAAGGTATGTGATTCAATCTACCCTGAACCAAAGGCTCTAGCAGTAATTTCTACTCTCTGATTAAAAAAGACAATATTAAAGTTTTGATGTTGATATGATCTTAATGACCCCAGGAGTATATATAATGGCCTTATATTGGAGTCTGCTATAAAAAATGCCAGCTACTCATGAAAGTATAAAATTCTGCAAACAAAGGCAGAATCAGCACTCTAATATGATTTTAAAACATTGCCCTCATATTGTTTATATTGATCAGGTAATGACAACACTAATGGTGATGGAGCTCCAACAGTTCCAATGGAAGTTGATGATACAGGTGGCAATACTGGGAATGATGTCAAAGCTGATGATGACACTTCTAATTTAGAAATGAAGCTTTTCCTTAAAGCTCTATGTGAACATGAAGGGGTATGTACATTTATTATTCCTTTTTGATTTAAGAAATATTTTTAATGACCAGTTACAAAAAACATCATAGGTGCTCTAAACTAATTGTTTTGTCAAAATAAGAAGATAGAGCTGAGCTAAATTGGATGCACATTTTGCCATCGTCTAGTGATATGTTATGTTTGTTAAACATTAGACTATTCTTGCAATCCCTCATAAATATCTTTTAAATGGGGCCTATAAATCATCCTCAGACCAGAGCTCCAAGATACATGTACACAATATATTCAAGCTCTTATGTCCTCTGCATTTCTGTTAAATCAAACAAAATAATATTGCTGTTTTAGAACTGGCATACAGGTGACAAAGTGATACCTCTAGACTTCAAAAGTGATGATGAGCAAATGAGTTTCTTGAAGAGTTCTGCAGGGTATACATCACGCTTAATAGCCATTTTGAAACATACAAGCATTGATCTTGATTGTTTGACCTCAAATAAGCATGGAGAGAAACTTCTGGAGATTATTGATAAGGTAAACATTTGGCTTATTTTATTCAAATTTAAAAATCATTTACTTTCTCCAACTTTAGAATACAAGGTATAAAATCTATAACCTTTTTACAACTTTGCAGCTAGACCTACATATTTCAAGCAAACTGAAAAAGTGAAAAAGAAATTAGTGAAAACTTGAAATAAAATGACTTGAAAACCTGAATCCCAATGATAGGGCACACTACCTTCTGACTATAATTACAGATGATTTTACTATAATGATAGTTTTTAAGTTATTTAGGTAAGTTTTCAGTAAAAATATGTATTTTGATTGGTTAAAGTTTCATTTAAGAAATTATTGCTATTTTAAAGATCTTAGGCAATCAAGTTCTTCCAAAGGGTCGAATTAACATAAGAATAAAATTTTTGTTGATATTTGAACCATTCAATTATTACACTAAATTACATGCATGTTCTGTACATTTTAGCACTGTGATAGAGACCCTGACTTTAAGGAAGAATACATGATTGTACGGGAGAAAGCTTTTGATCTTGATGAGAAAAATACAAATGGATCTCTTTCAAGGTACTGTGTTGATAATAAAATAGATTAAAAAGATATAACAAAACTAAAACAAAATGCTGATCCATGTGCTTCTATTTTGTGTTCGGATATTATAGATTGTTAAAAACAATGAGGTTTCATGGAAATCCAGATATAGATTCATGCAGTGCAAAATAAACAAGACATATACAGGGTGGTCCAAAAAAAATTGGAACATCTGTTAATTGAACACAAAACCTTTATTTTTCCTCTAAAATGCACCAAAATTTCACTGAGCATAGTTCAGTCGGTAGGTATCAAGACATTTCACCCCCTGGACGTTTCACCCCTAGACTGTTCACCCCTTAGACGTTTCACCCTCTGGACATTTCACCCCCTAGACACTTCACCCCCTAGACATTTCATCCCCTGGATGTTTCACCCCCTGGACGTTTCACCCCCTAGACATTTCACCCCTAGACTTTTCATCCCTTAGACGTTTCATCCCTAGACATTTCACCCCTTAGACGTTTCACCCCTTAGACATTTCACCCCCTAGACATTTCATCCCCTAGACACTTCACCCCCTATACATTTCACCCCTTAGACGTTTCACCCCCATATACAGTTTGTGTACATGTACAATGTCATGGGTTGGGTCATTAGTGAATTCTGACTGAATTTACATGAGTATACCGATTTCTTTTCCAAGTAACATTGACTGGAAAATGTCATAGTGTATAAAACCATAACAATATTGGTACAAATAAGTTTTAAAAAAGGTTTACACTTTGCACTGATTAAAGATGCTAGTCTCTAATTACCTAGACGATCCCTTCCCTTGTTATCAATTGCATTATGAAAAAGCAACAGACTGATGCATTATTATTTTTTAGATTTAGAAAATTAATCCAATTGTTTTTTTAAGTGCAACATGTGAAATAGAAACAATATATATGTACTGTCGGTATATGAAATCTTACTTTTTAAAATTCTTTGTACCTCATGCTTTTGAATCTAAATTTTTTGAAAATTGATGCATATGTTTTTTGCTTGTAATGTTAATAAGGCCAGTCATAAATAACAGTGCTAGAATGGCCAAAAAATGTTGTTTTTTGTATTACTAGCAGAGTTGTTCTTAATTAACCAATTTCTTGGAAGAGCTGCAATAGATAATTAATCGACTGGACCTCACTTCAAAACCCAGAAAACTGAATATGGAAAAACAAGTGAATAGACTAGATGCGAGTAGAAATAATGATTTACGCCATTAAATATTCAAAATTCAGTCAAAGTGATGTCATATTTGAAATCTACATGTAAAGGTACTTCTAGAATTATGGTTTAGAAAATTACTTATCAACTTTGAAAATTTAATTATTTTTGAAAATGTGACTTCTAGTTCGGGCTGATTTCCCATAGACCCCATGTTACAAAATCACAAAAAGTGAAATATATTTTCTTGTATCGGACAGATAACATTTTCTTTTACTGGATATATTTTGATTTGCATAACTATTAGATACATAAGGGTTATATGAAAACTGAACCACTAAAACAGATGCAATTTAAGTTCAAGGGAACTTTCTACTATTACCACCATGTTATCTGACCCGAATGAGCCACCTGGTGCTGAAACTGGTAACTACCTGCTTGCCTCTGCGTTATAACTAGTGACTTACAGTACTTTTTATTTGATTATGCTATTTGAAACACTTGGTAATTAAATTCTGATTTTAATTAATTAAGACCATGCTAAACCATATTACATAAAATCATCTAACTTAAATTCACTGAGCAAAATGTGTCAATGGAATATGTACAATAATATATGCCATTTATACCTAATGTATAAGGTATTCAGTTCTATAAAATACTTGAATGAAATATGGAGGAGTAAAATATTGAGGCTAAAATGTCTAGGGGGTGAAATGTCTAGGGGGTGAAATGTTTAGGGGGTGAAATGTCTAAGGGGTGAAACGTCTAGGGGTGAAACGTCTAAGGGGTAAAGTGTCCAGGGGGTGAAATGTCTAAGGGATGAAATGTCTAGGGGTGAAATGTCCAGGGGGTGAAATGTCTAAGGGATGAAAAGTCCAGGGGGTGAAACGTCTAAGGGGTGAACAGTCTAGGGGTGAAACGTCCAGGGGGTGAAACGTCTAGAAAGCGTTCAGTCACTTATCTCTCTGACCTAAAGTTTATAGGTGCAAACCACAAAGTTAATGCATTAAACTTGTCAATGTTTGATATGACCCCCGTTTATATCACTTACTTCCCTCTTAATTATATGCCATTACCTTAATAAATTGACTAGTCGAAAGGTCTAACACCCCTATTGAATGAACGGATTAGTGAATGAACTCGTCCAATACACTGCCTATCCATGCTTCATGCTACGACCTACTCCATATTACCTTTCGACGACCATCTCGCTACAAGCCTTCAACAGAACTTGGAGCAACTATATTCGTCAAGATGATGAACAACGAGGACGTTTACATGAACACCTCAGAGAAATGTCCTGCTATCATTCTCCAGCAAGAAGAAGGAGAATGCACTGATGGAGACACAGAGCAAGCAGGGATTCAAGAGAGTGCAGACCAGAACTTCAACATGAGTCTGACTGACAACTTTCTCAAGGAGAAGATTTCTGTTCTGATGAACGAAATGCTTCAAAACAAGCAACAAGAAAGCCCAAGGAACAGTGTGAACACCAGGCACAGCAGTCCTCGGAGGCTTCAACAGGAGGCAAGGTCGGACAGACCAAGCTCAGCGGCAAGGAGTGAATTTGTCAGAAGTCCCCGCAAAAGTTACAGGAGTCCGCGCAGGAGCCCTAGCCCATGGAGATTTCAGGACCCCAGAAGCCACGCAAGTCCCAGGAGACGTGCAAGTCCTTCGAGACGTGGCAGCCCCAGGAGACGTGGGAGACATTCGAGCAGTCGGGACAGAGTTTGGAGCCCTAGGAGACCAGAACCCAGACGTTATACGCCGGAGAGAAGAGGTCATCATGACCGTCATGGTGAACACAGTCCACGCAGGCGTAGTAGGTCTTACAGTCGTGAAACTAGTGTCTCTTCTAGTTACACGCCTAGACCACGTGACCCGTCACTTCGTAGCAGCAGAGACAAGCACAGAAGTCCCCATAGGAGACCAAAGTCCCGCTCTAGAAGCAGAAGTCCAGTTCGAACGAGGTCACCTAACCCGGAAGTGATTGCTCCAGTTTCACTTTCGAAAGAAAGTTCAACCAATCACAGTCTCGAACGTCACGAGGGGCCCGAGGATATGGACTCGCCCAGTGAAAATTTTCAAGATGGCGGCTCCAGGATTTCGGAAGAAGAGAAAGTTTTGGCTTCGTACAACGCGGCGGCGATATCACAAGTCAAAAACCTGTTACCAGACGCTAACCTGACGCACCAAGTTCCAGACAGAGCGGTGGTTATCAAGCCCTTGGCATCGCAGTTCTTCAAAAACGAGTCTGAAGGTAATGAAAAATCTTTCTTACCATTATCACCCACGGTGATGACTTGTTTTTCTAACAGATCCTCGATCATCGCGAACGATTTCGCCTTCAAAAAAGTAGGACAACTTTCCCGAAACGACAAGGCATCACGCTTTCCAATTCCTCCAGCCGGAGGACTTGTTGTTTCGAGTATGAGGCCAAATTCCAGCCTGTCAGCGGTGATGTCTGAAGAAAATTTCAAGAAAGCTGACAAGGATTTGACTATCAGCAAGACCCAGTATAGGCTTCTAGAGGAAGGCTTAAGATTCCAACTGAAACCTCTGGCATATGCAGAATGGCTGTTAGGTGCAGTGGCCAAAATTCTCAACGATTCTTCATCCACTGATACTAAGATGTTGTCTGATCTACTACAACCTGCAGCACAAGCCATTGGCTGTCTGACTGATCAAAATGTGAGACTGCTGTCCAACGTAGTTCTACTTAGGAGAGATGGCTTCTTGAAGAACATGACTTGCCCTTCTGCAGCAAAGGAAATGCTCAGAACTCTACCCATAAACCCTTTGGCTCAGGAATTATTCCCACAGGAGTCAGTTACTGAAATTTTGAAGTCCAACCAGTCTGATCTCACCAACCAGGCTTTAACTTCCTTGGCTAAGATGAATGCGAGAGCTGAATCAAAGAAGTCTTCTCAACCAAATAAAAAAGACAACAACAACAACAACAGAAAGTCCAGTTTCAATAACAACAATGGCCCTGGTAAAAAGAACAGCTCTAACTCTTTTCGTGGCAAGGGAAGAGGAGAGAAAAAATCACAGTGACTATCTACCTATATCATCCAGTCCTCCAAGTCTTTGTCTCCCACAGCTACCTGTATGCCCTCAACAGCTACCAGTGGGAGCCAGACTACAGCATTTTCTTGCCAAATGGAAAGAAATCACAGATCTAGGAGGATTTCTACAGATCATAAAGGAAGGTTACCAGCCGAAACTTCACACAAAACCTACCCTTACATGCAATCCTTGGCCTTTCCAGTCATCAACAAGAGACAGAAAAGACCTTTATGCAGCTACAGTCACTCAACTTCTGGAGAAACAGGCCATAGAAGTTGTCCAGAACGTATCCAGTCCAGGCCTTTACAGTCATCTTTTCTTCGTCCCAAAAGAATCCGGCTCTCTAAGACCAGTGATCAACTTGCATCATCTGAACCTTCATCTAGAAGTTCCAAAGTTCAAGATGGAAACAGTAGCACAGATCATGGATGCAGTACAGCCTCAACAGTGGGTAACGTCCATAGACTGCGTAGATGCTTACTTTCATCTCCCAATCAAGCAGTCATTCAGGAAATACCTGCGCTTTGTTGTTCAGGACCAAGTACTTCAATTCAAAGCCCTGCCCTTTGGTCTGGCATCAGCCCCGATGATTTGGACACATCTGTTACGGCCTCTAGCAGCTCATCTTCACTCCAGAGGCATACTGTTTCATTATTACCTCGACGATTGGCTGATTCGAGGCAATTCACCTACAGTAGTTCTACAACATACTCAGATGGTGCTGGAACTGGCTCAGGCTCTGGGTTTCCTCATAAACTTCAAGAAGTCGGAACTACAACCAACTCAGAAGTTCACTTATGTGGGAGTAGAATACGATCTCAGCAAGGGAATTTGCCGTCCCCCTCACGATCGAGTAGAAAAGATATGGAAAGCTGGACAACATCTTCTAGAGAAGGGAATAGCCTCAGCAGAAACTTGGCAGTCTCTACTAGGCCTGTTGTCATCTGCGGAGAAACAAGTGCCATTGGGTCGTCTTCATCTACGACCTCTACAGTGTTGTCTGTTCCAACAGTGGTCTCCTCTATCTCAGCCCCAGTCACATCTAGTTGTCCTCTCACCAGATGCTCAGGGGGCACTCCTATGGTGGCTAGACCCCAGGAATTTACAAGCTGGTCAGCCTCTCAACAGATTTCACCCAACAATGACAATCTACACAGATGCATCGTTGGAAGCATGGGGGGCCCACACACAATCGCAGGAATGCTCTGGAGTCTGGTCCCAGTTGGAATCAAGTCTTCACATCAACTTTCTGGAGTTACTAACAGTCAAGAAAGCTCTGATGTTCTTCAAGGAAAAGATAACTGGACAGAATATTCTGATTTGCACAGACAGCACGACTGTAGCAGCATATATCAACAACCAGGGCGGAACACATTCCCCTCAACTACTCCAGTTAACTCAGGAGATTCTCTTATGGTGTCACAATCAGCAAATTGTACTCAGAGCGAATCATATTCCAGGATCACTGAACAGAAGGGCAGATCAGTTATCCCGGAAAAATCAGATTGTCAACACAGAGTGGTCTCTTCATGCAGACATAACCAAGAATCTATGGGAAATATGGCCAACTCCCAATCTGGACATGATGGCCACATCTCACAATCACAAACTACCAGTTTACGTGGCTCCAGTTCCAGATCTTCAGTCGTGGAAAACAGACACCATGTCACTGAATTGGGACAACATGTACTTCTACATATTTCCCCCAACAGCAATGATAGCAGCAGTCCTGAACAAACTGCAGGCTCACCAAAACACAAAATGTGTAATGATAGTACCAAAATGGCCCAATCAACCATGGTACCCAGACCTTCTCAGTCTACTAGTAGATTTTCCTGTACTGATTCCAATATGGAAGAAACTCCTTCTTATGCCAAGGACCTCGATTTTTCATCAAGGTCCAGAAAAGATGTCTCTACACGCTTGTCTGTTATCAACAATAACTTGCGAGAGGAGGGGTTTTCTGAAGAAGTGTCCAAAGCAGTACAAAAGTCTAGGAGAAAATCTACCAATGCCATCTACGATTCAAAGTGGAAATTATTCTCTGTTTGGTGTTTGGAAAGAGATACCAATCCCATCGAGGCATCTATTCCAATGATTGCAGATTTCTTCATTTATCTCAGAAACACTAAAAAGAGGTCTTTTTCTACTATCGAGGGCTACAGAACAGCTATAAACAATGTCAGGAAATCTACACAATCTAAAGATCTCTCAGAATCACAAGTGATACATGATATGTTGAGATCCTTTAAATTAGAAGATGCAATTCGAAAGTCTACCTTACCCAAATGGGACTTGGTTTTTGTACTTCATGAACTATTAAAGCCTCCATTTGAACCTATGAATTCGGCAGATATCAAATGGGTGACTTTAAAGACTGTATTTCTTCTACTGTTAGCCTCGGGCAAGAGACGTAGTGAGATACATGCCTTAGATGTTACAAGGATACAATGGAAAAATAACAATACAGAAGTTTTCCTCTATCCATTCATTGGTTTTCTGCCAAAGAGCTTGGAAGCAGCAGAGGGACAAGCCAGATTTCAACCTATACATCTGAAATCATTGGCAAGCCATGTGGGAAATGATCCAGATCGATGCTTATGCCCACTTAGAGCACTCAGATTTTATCTTGCTGCTACCAGAGTCTTCAGAGGTACCAGGAATAGGATCTTCATACCTTGGAAGAAAGGGTGTAATAGCAATTTACACTTAAATACTTTATCCAGCTGGATGAAACATCTGATTCTTCTAACCTACAATAATTCCACAGCTGAGAGTAGAAGAATTGGGAAAGTTAACGCACATGAAATAAGAGCGTTATCAGCCTCATATGCAGTACAGTCGAATGTTAGCCTAACAGAAATATTGAAAAGTTGCTCTTGGGCTCACAACAACACTTTTATCGACTTTTATCTGCGTGATGTCACAGTCCTACAAGATGAAGCTAGAAAGCTAGGACCTGTGATGCTGGCTGGAACTGTGTGCGACCTGTAGCAGGTGCAGTAAGTACACAACAACTTTTTTCACCCCACCTATCCAATATGTTACATGCTATGACATATAATTAAGAGGGAAGTAAGTGATATAAACTGAAGATTTTTTTAATTAAATCAACCGTTTATGGAACTTACTTACCTCTTAATTACCAGAGACCCACCCACCTTCCCCGCTTGAGGGAAATTTTTATTTTATTTTTTTGTATCTTCGAGGTCTCTCGGTAATATGAAGTAGGTCGTAGCATGAAGCATGGATAGGCAGTGTATTGGACGAGTTCATTCACTAATCCGTTCATTCAATAGGGGTGTTAGACCTTTCGACTAGTCAATTTATTAAGGTAATGGCATATAATTAAGAGGTAAGTAAGTTCCATAAACGGTTGATTTAATAAAAAAAATCTTCATTTTCTTAAATATACACTTGTCAATTTCGCAACTACTTTTTCAAGTATTCTTTATTTCAAAGCTTTAATGAACATGTTGATTGCTATACACATTTTATAAAATCATATTTATTTGACATGAGGTATTAACATCTATGGTTTACTGGAAAACAACTGTGTTATTGTCAACTTAGGAATACCCCAAATCATTATTTTTAGTTAAGAGTAGGAAAGAAAGAACATGTCAGAGGTGAGTGATTGCATAACCCATAATACAGCTAGTAAAGTGACAAAATCATTGTTTCCACTTTTCAGTAGAGGGGAAACTGACTAGTTATTTACAAAGCTTTATTAAAGACCACCTCTAAGCACACATAATATAATATACAAGTATCATTTGTGTTCTGGGAAACTCCTTTATGATATTGATATATATATATTGATATATTCAATGAATATTATTCATATTAAAACAAGAAAGGGGAGGGGGTTCATTTACCAGTCAAAACAGACTGCCCTGACCTCTTTCTGGAGAATATTCAATCAGTTATATATCCAACAATAGCCATCAAAATATGCTTGATACCCATCAATTTGGGTAAAAAATGTTGAATATGTTCAAATATTTGATCTTCCAAGGCAAACATATAAGTAGTTTGTTCAAGCTGAATTTTTATTCAAGATGGTTTGGACAAAATCAAACGAACAGAAAAGTGAATGAATCATTTCAAAACGGAGTCCCAGGCTTCAACGTGTAATTCTGGAGAAAGGGGGTCATCTCAAACATTCTCTAGTTTAATGCATTAACTTTGTTGTTTGCACCTATAAACTTTACATCAGATAAATGAGTGATTGAACAATACTAAGTAAAATTTTGGTGCATTTTAGAGAAAAAATAACGATTTTGAGTTCAATTATCGAATGTTCCAATTTTTTTTGGACCACCCTGTATAATGCTTTTAAGCCTCTATTATCCATATTGCTATTCAGATCTAAAAATGTTCCATAAAACATGTTGTACATGTTGAAAAACAATTAAGATATCTGATTTAATAGAATGAATGCCACTAAGACATATGGATTCAAATGTAAAGATTTCCATGTATACCAGTTCATGTAGATTATATACACATAGCTCTTACTTTTGTCAGATGTCACCTCCATAATGGCAAAGTCAGTTGGTTATGTGAAGAACATCAACTTGCGTCCCAAGCAAGCACAGTGACATCTGGTGAGACTGCTGGTCATGCCACGTTAGAAGATGACACTGCAATGATGCTTGAACATCTTACTATAGGCGGTAAGTTGCAGACTAAATGAATTTCATGTCACCACCTAGAAATGCTGACATATTGTTCATGCCTTCATTTTTTGTTTTTTTTGCGTCAGTTGTTAGTGTCTATGACAAGTTTTGACATTTTTATTACCATTTACATGTGGTGAAAATCGTTGTTATGATGCCTTTGACTGAATATCAACAGTTTATAGCAAATGTTTATTTACTGCAAATGTATCATTAGTAAAAGACCCATATTAATATTTGACAACTGTCTAATAAAAACAATGTGGGTCTAAGAATTGATCCCTAAGGATAGGAACTCATTACCCAAAATCAATGAGAATTATCATAGAAAAGCCATTTTCCATCCATACGATTTTAACTTTAAGGAGTTGAAGAGAATTTATAATTCTCAAAAAATAAAACTAGTTCCAAGTTAGGATGTTGATTACAGCCATTAATTATTGTGTATTAATGTATTTTTACAGACAAAGACAAAGTACAAACTCAGAATGAAACCTCTGCTGCTACAAAGTTCAAAGGAGCAGTAGTTGGAGCTGCATTGGCCAATGCAGGCGCAACAATGATAAAGGATCAAAAGAAAGCAGTTGCTGCATCTGTACTCGCTTCACCTGCAGAACCTACGTTAAATAAGAAAGGAAGCAAAGCATGTGTAGTTATGTGAACTATACCAGGTGATGAGGTGTGGTTAGTTGGAGTAACCAAGAGGCACCATACTAATAATGGACCAGATATAAACTAAAATGATTCCATGTAATATGGAACATGGATTATTGGACTACCGTATGGTGCCACAAGTAGTTAAAAGTGTTCCATTTATGGAAGTATTTTACTTTTATAGAGATGTTCTATTTGACAATTTTAACAATGTAATGCTAAATGTGAGACAGCATTTAGAAATTTGAGATTGAGTAACCAAAAGCAGAGCACCAAGCTGTGATATAAAACTCATTGCAGTAATTTGTACAATTATACAAAATAATATGATGAGATACATGTACAATCTCATATGATAGGAAAATCAGGTGAACAGTTTAAATGATAATGACTATTAAAGATAGTCAAAATCATAAAAGAGTCATGTCAATTATGTCTTTGTATTGGAAAATGATGCAAAGTGGAGGCAGAGTCTCAATTCCGATCCACTAGCTCAAAGATGTAAAGCAACAGAAGTTAAGCATTAGATCTGAAACCAATGCAGTTTTAAACATTCCAGCTTTTCTTTTTATGTTTGTGTGCATTCAACATTTCTCATAGCTATGAAGCTATTCCTCTGTAAAATATGTAATAATAGACAAGGTGCGAGTAGAAATAATCTTGATTTACGTCATTAAATATTCAAAATTTAGTCAAAGTGATGTCATATTTAAAACCTGCATGTAAAAGTGCATCTAGAAATATGGTTTCGAAAATTGTTTATCAACTTTGAAAATTTAATTTTTTTGAAAATGTGACTTCTTGTTCGGGTTGATTCTCCATAGACCCCATGATACAAAATCACAAAAAGTGAAATATCTTTTCTTGTATTGGATAGATAACCTTTTCTTTTACTGGACATATTTCAGTTTGCATAACTATTAGATACATAAGGGTTATATGAAAATTGAATCATTAAAACAGATGTGATTTAAGTTTAAGGGAACTTTCTCCTATACCCACCATGCTATCTGACCCGAACGAGCCACCTGGTGGTGAATCTGGTAACTACCTACTCGCATCTGCGTTATTGCACGCAAATCCAAATGTTGATTGGTTTAGTAGGTTGTAAATTAAATGTTCAGCTCTTACATGCTTTTTCGTGCATAAAACAAGTAAAACGTGAAAGGCTTCATCCATTGAGAAGCAATTCAGGCACATTCTACCTCAGAATTGACAACCAGCCATGACTGGATATTTTTTCAGAATCCAGCTGGGATATATAATTTAGGATTTCAAACATGTTTAATAACACATATTGCTCAAAAGTGTCATCCTTTCAGATATTTCATATAGGATTCCTGTATAGTCTCATAAAAGTCATCAATAGCAGATGCTGGACAACTGATGCAATATGACCTTGACCTTTAGTCAAGTGACCTTGGCCTGGAAATCCTCACCCAATAGGAATGTGTTTATGTAAAATAAGTTGAATCCTTATGGTAGATGTGCATTTTCCCATGACTAACTTACCTAAAACATGGTTAAACTTACTTTTAATCTGCTTTCTGTCTGGTCTGTTTAGATAATATTTACTATATTTAGCCAGTATTAAAAGTTAGGCCTGAATTAATTAAATGTTTAAAAGAAATTTCCAATAACCCCTCACATATTCTAGTAAAGAAGCTATGATATACAGTATTGAACAAATAATAAATTAATGCGACGGGCCTAAGTTTATCCTATTTTTGAAAGGACAAATTGCAACCTTTAACCAAAGACATCATTAATCTAGCCAATGTATTATAGATTCTTTTATGCACCAAATGGGCAGGGTTTATTGGAAAGCTATATTTCTATGGAATTCCTTTTCGAATCCAATAAGATTGCATCCGTAAACTGATAGCCACATTTAGAATTCCTAATATTGTTTGTAGTAATGTTTGTCATTTGAGGGTGAATATTATATTCTGACCTCGTGCAAAGAAGGTTCTATCATATCACTATCACATTATTGTATGGAAGTTATTAGTAGAAATATTTTTGATATAGAGCAGGACTAATTCTGTGTTTTCATTGACTTAAAATATAGTTACAAGTATATTTAATTCACAATTTTATCATGCTGTAATGCTTAATATTTGAAATTGTTATTGTGTATAAATATTACAATTCGTGAATCCATCCATGCTGAACAGGGTTTTCTTTACAAATATATAACAAAAAAAACAATTTGAAATATAATATTTACTATAGTTTATTACATACATTTTACATCTTTTCACTTACTTTTAGACATGTAACCAACTTGTTAAACCATATTATTTACATAATGTACATATATAACAAATATACAGATATTGGATATTATATAAGCATATTAAAGCACATGTACTATTGTATGTAATTCATGATTTTATCATTTGTGACTCACTATTAGACGTGTAACTTTTAACTTGTTATAATATTTACATATATAACAAATATACAGATACTGGATAAGCAATCTTAAGTACTGTTGTATGCATTTTATGATTCTTTATCTCACGACAAAAAAGTGGTGACATATTGTTATGGTCTCCGTTTTTTGTGGTTGGTGGTTGGAGTCTGTAACAAATTCTTACAACTTCCAATAGCTTAACAAATACTGTTTAGACTGACATCAATTTTTTTCAAAACCATCTTTAAGTTCTCAGAAGTTCAAATCTGACTTTAGGTTTGACTTACAATGACCTTCTCAAGGTCAAAAAAGGTCAAAAGGATCTTTTTTCAACTTCAAATTGACAATTTTGTTTTTCAAAATCATCTACAAGTTCTTAGAAGCTCAAATCTGACTTTAGATTTGAGATTTGACCTTTAGTGACCTTCTCAAGGTCAAAAAGGTATTTTTCAAAGTTCACTTTAGATAATATTGTGAGCAACTAGGTGTTGACATTTTGTCATGTTAATGCCTTATCATTCATGACTGCACATAGAATATATACATTTTATGATATCTATGATCAACAACATTTTGAACTTAATTGACCAGTTTATAAATAAGTTGCACAAATCTTTAACTCCAAGTTCTTCCACAGTAAAATTCAATTCAAAATCCAATCAACAATTTTAATATATAATCATAAGACTTGCCTTTTTGTCAAATGATCAATATATGTCATAATAAGCATTTACACAAGAATAAGCTCCATAGAATATGACTTAGAAAGCAAAACAAATTTTGCAAGTGAGATCCTCTGTTTTACTGGTAATTCTTTTGATGCTATGATACTGTGAAATTTTTTCTCAAATTAGCATAATTTATAGCTTTCTAGAAGTTTGTGTCTTCAGGAATGTGATGTATTTATTCTCATTCTTTTTATTGCACTCTTAAAAAGTGCTATAGAGTTATTGTCTTGTGCTGCTGGCTGGGTGCCACATATAGGTCTTGTCATCGAAATTCCAGGAAAACTGCTTATCTGTTCAACTTGTAATGCAACAACAGATGCAAGAACAGGCTAAGTACAAAGATCTGAATAAGATTTGGACATGCTGTGTTACTTACATGCCAGCCATTTATTTTGCTCTTCAAAGTGCAATATTTATCACTGTGTTTCCCTTTTCAATTTTTTAGAAATAAAAATATGTAGTATTTAACCTAACAACCTGGACTCAGTACAGTATAATATATTAAGGAAAAAGATCTTAACAAGCTCAGAAAAAGTTTCCAGGTCCAATTCCTCCTCCTGAAAATGGACGTCTAGATGATGATCCATCTCTGAATCCTCCTCCTCTACCTGGTGGAAATCTCTGAGTAGGCAATGGACCAATTGGGTCAAATCTTGGGCGAGGAAATACGCCAGGTTGTCTGGCACCTAATGGACCAGGAATTCCTGAAATTTGAAAATGTACAACTGTCATTTGCCTTTTATCAAAGCAAATTCCAAACCATTTAATTTTTCACATGCAATTTTGAAATTAATTTGTCATCTTAGATCATTACTCTTTTCTGCCCATTCTTCAGTTTCAAAGTACAAGAAAAATTAAACTGCTTACTGAGACACGTTCAAATTATCGCACTCTCACTAATATTGGACATCATTTTATGATAATCATTTGATTTTCAAGGTAACAATAGTTTAAAAAAGAGGATGTCTCCTTTTTCAATTGATCTTAAATCTTCCATATTTTTTAAGTATGATCGTTGGCATTCAATTGAAACGATTGCTTCAAACATTTTGCACTCTTCTCACTAATCTCTGCTGCTACTTTACAAACAATGATATGGTGGCCAAATTAATGTGTTGCTTTTTCTTATTCATCCCTAGTCAGATGGTTTAAAGTAGCAAATGAATGATATAACATAGGAAAGCAGTACCTTGGAATGAAGGATCACGATCATATTCCCCACCAATAAAGCCTGGTGGATAGATGGGTGTGGCAGGAAGAGGAGGGTGGGGTTGACCAACATAGGGGGGCCATCCAGGAACAAACTGACGGGATTGTTCCAGAGCTCTCCGCCTCATTTCTCTTCTTAGTAGGTATGTATCTTTATATGCTGACTTCCAATCTTGATTTCGATCACTATCACGTTTCACTGAAATCAGGAAATACACATTAAGTTTCTATTTTTCTGACCAGTCACATTCACCTTAAACTTGGTACTTCCATAATAAAACGTTCTGTCAAAATGTGCTATTAAATCATCATGTACACTTTAAACCTTGTATAATGTTCATATTGCACATCATTTTAAATAATAAGATATGGCATGTAATTAATAAACATTGCAATATGTTTAAAAGTTGGTTGTATACCTCCATATGTGCGTATATAGAGAGATCTCCATAACTGTGGCCTCTCAGACAGCTGGTTCAGAGATCTGCACACCCTCCCCATATTGCACAAGTCCTTGGCTGGTAGCTTGCTCAAAATACACATCAATATCTCTTCCATCAGACCTAGGAATCCACTACTTTCTGAATGGTTAAATTCTGAACACAAAAATGTAGATTTTTATTCAAAGAAAAAAGAAAAGTGAGCATTCGCAGAAAGATGTTTACAAAATAAATAAGTCAAGAATACAGTGCAATCAACACACATTTGACAGTGTTCACATAATGCAGGCATTCACATTTTAAAGGTTTTGTCATGAGAGATATTCACGTAACAGTCTTCACATGTGATTCAAAGATATTTATGTCAAACAGTCTTTACATTGAAGGGACTCTCAGAAAAATATTCTACATTAAAGAGATTAAGAATCTATATCCGAGATGTGTTCATTTAATCGGTGTTCAGAGATTAATCTGTCCATTTACCTGATTTACATTGCTGTAGAAGTCTGTAAGCTACAGCATCTTTAAACAGGCAGGATAATCTAGGTAAGTTTTGGTAGGTTCCAGCAGCATCTGAAAGAGAGAAAAGAGAGGAAATATTTTAAATAGGACATATTTTATATTTTAAATACTCTGAAACATGTTAAAAAATAAGAATTTTAAAGCAACCTTACCTGGTTTTAGAACAGGAATGAAATCTGATATTTTTAGGTTAAGTTGGTGATCCACATTGGTGCCTTTAACAGTACCATGGATGGCAATCTTTGACCCAATAGAAACACATGTGATACTGCACTGCATGTCTGTACTGTCTCCAATTGTGTAGCTGAAGGTGCAGACACCTATAGGTTGTGCTGTGAAAACAGGAAGTTGGTTGCCTTGGTTACAGGAATTTAAAGATGAGGCTGTTGCTCCTTCACTGACGTCTTCATTTGTTGGAGGTATTAACTGAAATAAATTTTTCAAAATGAAATTATTAAGAATTTATAATAAAATGGTGGAAAGGGTTATCCAAAATAGGGAATGACTTAAAGTTTGTCCAATTTGAAGCATTTTTCGAATACCATGATGGCTATCATGATGTCATCCATAATCCAAGAATATGGGCATGGCACATCAGCAAGTTTTAACTGTAGTCAATAGGACAAAATGCAAAGTGTTTTCAAGTACATGTAGAGCGCCATTTTTACACCTTTCAACCCTTCGAATTAGTAAATGAATTCAGAAATAAAAAATGCAATTGAGAGTTTAAAAGTATAAATAGTATACATTGTGAATATGATTAATTACATCAATTACCTGAAACCCACTTTCTATCATTAAGGTATGTAGCACAATACATAAAGCATCCATAGGATTCCTTGGAGAGCTCTCATTATAGAACATCTCAAGCCTATATGGTACTGCAGAGTCTGTAGCATCCCTACACAACATTGGTTCATTCAGGTATTTATTCAGGCCCACATTGTCCTGGGTTGGGGCTTTGATTTCTGAATCACTATTGTTATTTGAATTTGCTCTGCTGGCATCTTCTACCATGTTGACATCTTCGATATTGTTGACAACTTTAACCATGTTGACATCAGTAGAATCATCTGTTCTAACATTTTGTGAATCTGGCTGTTCTTTATTCATTTTATTTTCATCTATGATATCATCCTTTTCTGTTTGGGGCTTTAAATGTTTGGTATCTTGAGCACTTTTCACAACTGGATTTTGTGTCATAACTTGAATCAAGTCGCCAGACACTATACCAAGATCTTTCATGGATAATCCATCACCAGTTAAAGCATCAGTACCATTCAGGCTCAATGTAAGAGGGCTGAAATAATAAATAAATGAATATTTACTACATGTATGTATCAGGGGCGGATCCGGGAACCAACGAGGGTATGTTCGAACGGAATGCGTGACATATATGGGATTCGCGTGAAAAGTCGTTTTTTCGGCGTTCGTATTTTTGCTATATCGACAAACTTTTTTAGAAATTTTTCTACAGAAATATTTTTGCTTGACAATTACCATATAAAATGCGTATTTGCATGACATTTTCTGTGATGTCACGCAAATACGCATTTTACCTGGTAATTGTCAAGCAAAGATATTTCTGTAGAAAAATTTCTAAAAAAGATCGTCTACACAGCAAAAATACGAACGCCGGAAAAAAAACGTACGCATTTCGTTCAGACTTTTCACGCGAATTACGTATATGTCACGCATTCCGTTCGAAATTTTCCGTACATACCCCCCCCCCCTTGACGGATGTTTGAAACGCGAGCGTATGGCAAGATGTAATAAAATTTAAACCAAGGTGTTCAAAATTTGGACCAAGGTGTCCACATTTTGAGGGGAGGTGTTCAACATTTCCAAGTCACTCATGTTAGGTGTTCCCAAGTTGACAGGCCTGAGGTCGTTACAGAAACAGTAGAACAGAAGATAACTCTCCGTGGCTGTAGTGTTAGGGGAATCACTCCTGAATTTTTGTATGACCAACTGATTTTTATATCAATTACTGTTTACGAAGAAATGAGATTGAGAAAAACAAAATCTGGGAGTCAAAACTCTATTATCACCCATCCTTTAATTGCAAGTCACCTTGATTCAAATTTAGTCTCAGCTTCACGCTTAACATCCTTCAAACGAACACTGGATGGGTCTTGACTACCGAATGCTATCAATTCCCGTCTACTGCCAAGCTTCAGTCTTAATTTCATCTTGAAAATGGCATTTGTCGTAAGCAAATTATTTTTTCTAAAAATAATTATGACCTTGACCTAGAACACAGTCTAAATATTTATTAGCATATTTCCCGATATTGTATATTGTAAAATTACAAATGGACTGTTCTATCTATGATTCATCCTGTTTTTGCTCATGCCACTTCGAATGAGACAGTATATGTGAAAATTATCATTAAAAGTCGGAATGATTTCATCACATATAAAAATTCGAAGGTGTTCTACCATTGCTTCTGGAGAAAATCAAGAGAAAATCATAAATTCGCTCATTGCATTACGGTTTAGAATTGTAAGTATCTTGTAATATTGTGATATGCATTTATTAGGGCAAACATTTTTCTCTTTTGGTTCTTGTTTTGGGTTTTTGCTTTTCAAATCGTGATTGTGCCATATTACAGATCTCAAATTCGAGATTGACACAAGTGCAATGAGTTTTTTACACAGGTAAATACTGGTACATGTTGTGGAAAGACCATTTCAGGTTTCCTATTGGTGTGTAGGCGGAGCCGCTTTGTGATCCGACTCTGCGACATTCGTTCAAATTTCATCCCTGAACAGCTTGTAGTTTAGCCCAGAGAATATTTGGCCAAGGTGTTCGTTATTGCCCACTTCGGCTTCTGAATGGTCTCCATATGACTATTTACTTATTAATGAATATTTATGAGGTTGAAACCCTGATTGGTTGCAAGCAATGGCACTGTATAAAATCAAAGCTACATTGAGGGATACAGGCCCAGGAAGATTTAATTCCCCCCCCCGAACTCTTGTTCCCGTGTCTGTGTTGACAGGTTGAGGGATATTCTGAAATTTTAGTCTTATAATAAGGAAACTTATCATGTCATTGCTACACAGAGAGTGGGGGATTATGTTCAGGAAATATTTTTGAATAAAATTCTGAAACAGTATTAGGCATTTTTGTTGGCTTCTTCGTTTCAACATTTACTTAATACAATGCGAGGTGTCATGTCATAATGAAAATAATTAACGACCTCTGTCATGTTCTAGGCTACTTGTATGACTTTCTGATACTCTTTACCATTTCTTCCAGATTTATAATGGAGGATATATCAGGCCCTGATATCTCAATGAGAGCTCTAATACAGAATCATCAGAGAACACAAAGCAACCAATTCAGTCATAAATCACAGAACCATTTAGCTCATCAATGCATAGGCTCTCTCCAAAAACACAGACTTTCATATACAATGTATAGTCAGTTCAGACGGATGTTTGCAATCCCAACTGTATATGCAAGGGACAATGATGACAGAGGTGATGAAGGGATGCTGCATGACAGGATGCCAGGATTGATGGAGAAAATGAGCCAGAAGATGGAGCCAAGTGGATCAGGGTTGCAACTGTCAAGGGATTATTCAGTCTCAGAGATGGAGATACAGGCTTTTATAGCAGGGGAGACTGGCATGGATAGGCTCAGGGAAATGTACAAAATGGATGGGTATGTCAACATTTTTTCTCCAACCAAACAAACTTCCTTGATTTGTCTATGCACTTGTCTATTTGTCAGGCAATACTTCAAATTCATTTTTAAGTGGTTGTGCTATAAGCATAATCAAGAACTCTGCTCGAAAATTAATATGAAAATGACTCGTACATTATTTCACTCATATCACCCCAGCTGAGATGACCAATCTAATAGATACCATAAGTCTCTTGAAAGCCCAATGTAGAAACCTAAGAAACAAAGAATAAAGTTTCTAAATGAGACAATTATAGATTAAAGGGAATCTTGTTAATAATGATTTGCATTTATTCTGTTAAGGGATCAGATGTCTGAAATGATGCAGATCATCACAGCTATGACAGCTCAAGGCGCAATGATGACATTTGTGTGCGCATCAATTATTGGAGGTTGGGAAGCAAAGAATAAATTTTTGGAAACCAATCAAGCTACAAGATTTGAAACAAAATTCAAGGCAATGGTAAAGCTCTTAGATATTATTCATTTGATAAAATATTTAAATATGGTTATTTTAGTGGTTGATTATAATTTAAATAATGGACAATCCTTTACTAGGGACTTGGTATGTGCCTTTTTTTATGAGAAAGTATATGCACATATTATTTTAATTTATTTGGGGAGGTGTAAATGGCCTTATTTTTAAAATAAGTGATTATTATTACACTTAATGTTATCATTTCAATGTCCACAACTAAGAAGAGGGTGGGGGGGGGTTTGATGGCCAAATTACACATATTTTACAATTGAAATTTTGATCCAGCACTGTAATTTTGGAATTTTTTCTTTGTAATTTTCTCAGAGTACTACTGCTATAAAAGTGATTGTCAAATAAATAATAAATAAAAAAATGAACTTCTTATTGTTTTTAGAGAGCATTCAATGATGCTATTTTCCTTAGAGGTATGAAGGAAGGTTTACGGTGGTCTTTCAAAATAGGATCAATGACAGGATTATTTCTGTAAGTACAGTATATCATATTTTAATTATATGTAAAACTGTTGACATGTGTTGAAGTGGAAGCAAAGAGAGTTAAGTGTTGGAAGCAATTTTTCCCATTTTTAGAAAAAAGAGTGAAGATATCTGATGAAATATGGAAGTAATTGAATATTTAAGACGCACAAATGTCCACATTTCATTAGAATGAAAAGAGTGATCTTTTAGTTTCATGCTAGATTGAAAGGATTATCCTTCAGATTTGACATAGGTGAGGAGAGCAAAGAATATTGTAAAAGGACGATTCTCGGTTTGGAGAACGAAGTTCATCAATCTAAATGAGCATTATCCCTGCTTCGGACAAATTTGATATTTTTACATAATATAGATTTGAATGTCTTCTTTTGAAAAGTCGTAATTTAATTTGGGTAATATTTCTAGATTTTTTCGCAAAAAAATATTAGCGCAGTACACTGATGAACTCCTTTCCCCAAATCGAGACTTGTATTTTATTGAATCGGTCTAATTGAGCATTATCCCTGCTTCAGACCAATTTGTTATTTTTACATCTTGTAGATTTAAATGTCTTCTTTTGAATATTCATAGTTTAATTTGGGTAATATTTCTATATTTTTCATGAAAAAAATTATTAGCCCAGGAGACTGTTCTCCAAACCGAGAATCGTCCTTTTGACTTTTTTCAGAAATATCTCTTAACTCATCTATTGTCTTTGTTGCCCCTTTGATTTCACTCCACTCCTGTTAATTCTATGTCATTTCTTGATCTAATCTTTTGCTTTCTGATGTTTCTATACAATTTGCTGAGTTTCTATTTTATCTTTGACATTTTCTAAATTTTTGGGGTCTAAAATTTTGATTCTATATCCTACCTGTTTATTTGCAACAGATCTGTAGTAGATATTGTTCTCATGGCATTCTTAATTTCTTATTTTAGGTTAATTTCCCAGAGTATAGCTACATATCGTAACAAGTCTACTCCACTGGAATATGCTGCAGCGATGTCTGTGTCAGGTTCATTGTTTAAGATTAACATGGGACTCAAGGGTATGTTCGCCTCTGGTATCCTGAGCTTTGGAATAGGGTAATTCAGAATTTATTTTAATTTATGATCATGGATGTGTTTGAACTGCTCCATATTAGCAATTCTTTGAGATGCCCATATACTATACTGTTCCTGATTTTGTTAATAATTTCAATATCTCTTGCAAATCATTGAAATCAGTTTATACAATATTCATTCCAACTGTGCTAATTGCAAGAAAACTGATTAATTCTTTCACATGACCTAAACCCTTTTTAACATAGTATACTCTCTGCATCACATTGTTATTATAAGTTTCTAGATACATGTATATGTATTATAAATGGAATAATAAACTTAACTTTTCTCCCTTTGACTGGGGTATAAGAAATGATGCCATTCGGAATAATCCTCATGATTATATCTCTTGATGAAACATTCAATTCTTCTAAATAAAGTTACATCTGAAATTGTCATATAATTCATTCATGAAGAAAGTGTAATATTCTTTATTTTCATTGATCAGATGACATTTTTCATATAACTGATCACATGAACTGATTCAAATAATACTTTCAAACTCTGAAAAGTTGGATAATTATTGGTTCACTGAATCTACATATTTCTATTCAAGCTTAGGGACGTCTGAATGCCCTACCATACAAATATGTGTCTTACCCTAGTGGGTAACCTTGTATCAAAACTAGAAACTGATTTCTGGCATTTAGGTTGTTAGATGATCTGTTCAGGGCAACCATGTGTTAATTATTTCCCATTTATAGTAGGATAAGGCCATAAGAAGTAGATTCTTTGTTTTGCATCCCCTTGCTTGCACGATTTTGAGTAAATCAGAAACAAACACATTTAGGTTGTTAGATGATCTGTTCAGGCCAACCATGTGTTATACTGGCATATAGGTTGTTAGATGATCTGTTCAGGCCAACCATGTGTTAATTATTTCCCATTTATAGTAGGATAACATGCGCTTATTGCTTTAATGTTGTTTTCCAGGTTGGTTGGTGGTTGTTTGATATATGGTACTTTATGGGTAGGAGGTCTTTTACAAGAGCAGAGACATGCTTGGCTAATAACGGAGAGGCTCAAAGAGATAAAGTATGTTTTATAATCCAGTCTCATATAATTTTTCGTTTGTTATGTCACCACCAAAGTGGTGACATATTGTTATGGTCTCCGTTTTTTTTGCGACGGCGGTTGGTGGTTGGCGTCCGGCGGTTGGTGGTTGGCGTCCGGCGGTTGGTGGTTGGCGTCCGGCGGTTGGCGTCCGGCGTATGTAACAATTTCTTACAACTTCCTATAACTTAACAAATACTGTTTAGACTGACTTCAATTTTTTTCTAAATCATCTACATGTTCTCAGAAGTTCAAATCTGACTTTAGATTTGACATTTGACCTTCAATGACCTTCTCAAGGTCAAAAAGGTCTTTTTTCAACTTGCTTCACATTGACTAAATTTTTTTTCAAAATCATCTACATGTTCTCAGAAATTCAAATCTGACTTAAGATTTGACATTTGACCTTCAAATCTGACTTTAGATTTGACATTTGACCTTCAATGACCTTCTCAAGGTCAAAAAAGGTCAAAAAGGCCTGTTTTCAACTTGCTTCAAATTGACTAATTTTTTTTTTCAAAATCATCTACGTGTTCTCAGAAATTCAAATCTGACTTAAGATTTGACTTAAGATTTGACATTTCACCTTCAATGACCTTCTCAAGGTCAAAAAAGGTCAAAAAGGTCTGTTTTCAACTTGCTTCAAATTGACTAAGAAAAATTTTCAAAATCATCTACGTGTTCTCAGAAATTCAAATTTGACTTAAGATTTGGCATTTGACCTTCAATGACCTTCTCAAAGTCAAAAAAGGTCAAAAAGGTCTTTTTTCAACTTGCTTCAAATTGACTAATTTTTTTTTTCAAAATCATCTACATGTTCTCAGAAATTCAAATCTGACTTTAGATTTGACATTTGACCTTCAATGACCTTCTCAAGGTCAAAAAAGGTCAAAAAGGTCTGTTTTCAACTTGCTTTAAATTGACCAAATTTTTTTTTCAAAATCATCTACGTGTTCTCAGAAATTCAAATCTGACTTAAGATTTGACTTAAGATTTGACATTTGACCTTCAATGACCTTCTCAAGGTCAAAAAAGGTCAAAAAGGTCTGTTTTCAACTTGCTTCAAATTGACTAAAAAAAATTTTCAAAATCATCTACGTGTTCTCAGAAATTCAAATCTGACTTTAGATTTGACTTAAGATTTGACATTTGACCTTCAATGACCTTCTCAAAGTAAAAAAAGGTCAAAAAGGTCTTTTTTCAACTTGTTTCAAATTGACTAAATTTTTTTTTCAAAATCATCTACATGTTCTCAGAAATTCAAATCTGACTTTAGATTTGACATTTGACCTTCAATGACCTTCTCAAGGTCAAAAAAGGTCAAAAAGGTGTGTTTTCAACTTGCTTCAAATTGACTTAAAAAATTTTCAAAATCATCTACGTGTTCTCAGAAATTCAAATCTGACTTAAGATTTGACTTAAGATTTGACATTTGACCTGCAATGACCTTCTCAAGGTCAAAAAAGGTCAAAAAGGTCTGTTTTCAACTTGCTTCAAATTGACTAAAAAAAATTTTCAAAATCATCTACGTGTTCTCAGAAATTCAAATCTGACTTTAGATTTGACTTAAGATTTGACATTTGACCTTCAATGACCTTCTCAAAGTCAAAAAAGGTCAAAAAGGTCTTTTTTCAACTTGCTTCAAATTGACTAAATTTTTTTTTCAAAATCATCTACATGTTCTCAGAAATTCAAATCTGACTTTAGATTTGACATTTGACCTTCAATGACCTTCTCAATGTCAAAAAAGGTCAAAAAGGTATTTTTTCATCTTGCTTCAAATTGACTAAATTTTTTTCCAAATCATCTAAATGTTCTCAGAAATTCAAATATGACTTTAAATTTGACATTTGACCTTCAATGACCTTGTCAAGGTCAAAAAAGGTCAAAAAGGTCTTTTTTCAACTTGCTTCAAATTGACTAATTTTTTTTTCAAAATCATCTACATGTTCTCAGAAATTCAAATCTGACTTTAGATTTGACATTTGACCTTTAATGACCTTCTCAAGGTCAAAAAAGGTAAAAAAGGTCTGTTTTCAACTTGCTTCAAATTGACTAAAAAAATTTTTCAAAATCATCTACGTGTTCTCAGAAATTCAAATCTGACTTTAGATTTGACTTAAGATTTGACATTTGACCTTCAATGACCTTCTCAAAGTCAAAAAAGGTCAAAAAGGTCTTTTTTCAACTTGCTTCAAATTGACTAAATTTTTTTTTCAAAATCATCTACATGTTCTCAGAAATTCAAATCTGACTTTAGATTTGACATTTGACCTTCAATGACCTTCTCAATGTCAAAAAAGGTCAAAAAGGTATTTTTTCATCTTGCTTCAAATTGACTAATTTTTTTTCAAAATCATCTACATGTTCTCAGAAATTCAAATATGACTTTAGATTTGACATTTGACCTTCAATGACCTTGTCAAGGTCAAAAAAGGTCAAAAAGGTCTGTTTTCAACTTGCTTCAAATTGACCAAATTTTTTTTTCAAAATCATCTACATCTTTTCAGAAGTTCAAATTTGACTTTACAAGTTCTCAAAAATTCAAATCTGACTTAAGTTTGAACTCATAATATTGTGAGCAACTAGGTGGTGACATTTTGTCATGTTAATGCCTTGTCTAAATTCTGTTTCTGCAACAGATTGACAGGTATATAATCCATATGAAGGAATAAATCCTATCTTTTAAAAATGATTTTACATATATGCATTATAATCATGATATCTGTGATACAAACATATTGTAACTGTACTGTTGTTAAGAACAATTGTCCCAACCAAACAAACTTATTAAATCCAGGAACATTCATCATGACAAAAAGATGATATTGTCATACATTTAAGGTTAATTCAATTTATCTGTTGTGATACTACAATCAAAACCACCCCATAAGTATGTTGAAACTTTACACATGATGTTGAGGTTCTTCCCATTCTTCCCATTCTTCCTCTATTTATTTAAGTAAGACTTCACACAGACCATGCTTACACTTATTTGACTTCTACTTCAGGAAACACCAGGCAATTCAGGATGCTGCTGTACAGGCTTCCATAGAGAATGCAAAGAATCGAGCAGAGTCATTATGAGGAATATCAACTACTTAAAGCAATTTAGGATCTGCAGTGTCTGTCCATGTAGGACTCTATATTTGGGAGCTTTTATGGACTTCGACTTTGAAGGATGAATGTGATGATGATATGATTTATGTATTTGCCATTAAATGGTATGGACTATAGAACGACATGTTGTGACCCATTCACATAGTGGAAATAAACCTCTTAAAAATTGCAATGTATAGAAGTTTGTTGGATAAATTGTGTTGATACTCGCACATTTAAAAAGGCTGAGATGTCTGACCATAAAATGCACCAAATTTTCAAAAATCATGTTATCATGCACAAACCTTTTCTGTAAGTACTACAGCCTGAAAGAATTGCTTAACTTCATTGTTAGTTGTTACAAAATATAAGTGGCAAAAAAGTTGTAAAAATATAAGAAAGACATGCACAGATTATAAAATATGGTTTGTCTTTGTCTATCTACAGCACAAGCTATAAGTTATTCAAATTTTTATGTCACCACCACAAATGTTGTAGTGTAGTCTCCAGCATTTTTGTAGATGTGTTTGATGGTCAGTTCCTTAACAAATTGCAGGTGGTGACATTTTGCATGTTAATGCCTTGTTTAAAATCTGGTGTAATTTAACAATCAGATTCAGCCCTTTTGATGAGTAAATAAATAACTAAAAACATTAATCAATTGTTTTTTACAATGTTATTTATTTTACTTTCCATTTCTGAAAGACATCGTTATGCTTGTTTCTTTACAGCAGTTTTAGGATTTTTCAGAATGGTAAACATATTTGAGCCTCTTGCCTGTTCAAATTATTACATATTAACATAGGACTTTTTTCCCTTAAATAGTGAAATACATCTGTATAATAACACAATGGCCATATTCTACATTGAAAATGAAAGTGGAGTTGAATAAGAGTTTTGTTAAGTGAACTTGAAATCTCTAAATGAATCAAGTTCAGATTTTACAGATGAATAACATGTAATCGGCATGACCAAAATGATAGTACAGGCAGATACGTAATTATTAGTAATAACTAATAACATACATTTATCAAACATTTTAACTGATCCTTGTCATTGGGAAATAATTCCATCTTTTTGAGACAGTTAAAAGTACTAATAAATACAGAAGTATGAAATACTTATTTTCTTGATGAGACCAGTTCAAACTCCAAAGGCATTGATTCTGTTCAGTCCTTCATACTGGCAGTTTCTGCTTCTCTCTCCCTCACATTGCTTCATTTTCAATCAATATATAGGGAGGGGGTATGTAGATCTTACAATCACTAAGAGAATAACGTAGGTCTATAGGTGATAGGATTTCTTGGTTTTATATGTGGTTTTCATGAATGGTTCACATTTTACTTATTTTCTCCATGAATAATTTTTTTTATATTGTAAATAAGTTATTAATCGATATGATATACAACTTCCATTTCAACTTGACCTGTCTTTTGTCTATACTGTCTGAATAACTTCACATACACTGTATGTGTAATCTCTTAGTTAAGAAACAACTGTAACAATCCAGCTCCTGAGTTGGCATCCGGATTTCACAAATGGGATCAATATTATATAAGCTAAAAATATATATCGCCGCCTGCGCTTACTGATTCAATCGTATATAAACTGATATTCAGATTCTACTATTTAACATTTATATTTTGGTTTATTTTCTCCCTGTTTCTATGTTTTCTCAATATTTACATCTAAACTTATAAAATATTATATTGCATATTTTGAGACTGTTGTTAATTTCCGTTCCCATTTGGGTTAGGTTTAGTCATTCGTTTAGGTCCCCGCCCACCAGGACCCTTGGGGCGTGCAAACTTTTGTTTTGCAACATTTTTCTTTGGGTGGACTTCGTCCTGTAAGAAGTCTTCTGTTAGTTCTTTTCCATCATCTATTTCAATCTGGAATTATAATAGAGGACATTTTTAAGATATAACAACATCTTCCAACATTTTACACTTCCCATTCAATGCTGCCACTTTAATTGAGGAAACATTACATTGTCACACTCAACATACCTAAAAAACCCAAAACACAAGAAAGTTAAGACACTAAGAAGTTAAAAGGTACATTCATTAAGGTCTTGAGCATTACAATTTTAAATGACTTTACCTTTTTGGCTACTTCAAGTCCTATCTGTTCAATGAAATCTAGAAACGGAGCCCTGCCACTGGAGTATAACATTCTCTCCTTTATTGAGCATGAGTAGCCAGGCATGGAGTAGATGAACACTGAAGAAAAACATGAACCCATTGTAGACTCATTTATATTAAAGAGCTATCAATAGCTGTAGTTCTCATTCCTAAATAAATAAAATATTTTTAATTACATTCTGATATGTTTATTAAATCTGTATAATCTGTGTAAGCTACTTATCATTATGAATACGGACCAACAAGATGCCATGACATTTGCGGCAGAATCTGAATGGCAAAATCTGACATAGCCAGCTTTTGCCAAGGGGGTTCACTTTTCAAAACATTCCAGGGGGGTTCATATTTGACAACTTTGGCCCAAAATAACTTGAAAAGTGCTCAGAATGATGAGCCCCCTCTGGCCGTGGGCCTCCAAACACGAAGTTAAATATATTTTCATCACTTTGCTTGCTTACCTATACTTTCCATATAGTCACCCTCATGAGTGTGTTTAAAATTAAATAGATGGTATCTTGCATGATCAGTAGGAACCCTGGAGGGTAGGGTGGCAACAGTGGTGTCATCTATACTTTCAAGCTCTATAGTTTCTTTCTTGAGATCCAAACTCTGAAATTGTAGTGTGACAATCAGTGTGTCAATCAGTCAATGTGTACATATCAGTTGTTCTCGTTCGCTTACCATATATAAGCTTTTTTAGACATAAACTGTTCACTCCTTAAATCACTTTTTCACATTTTAATATACTGTACCAGATTCTGTCAGATTTCATATTTGTAAATATGTAAACAATCTTAAATATGATCATCCAAGAATTGTTTTTAGTTGAAGCTAAAACTGTGAATTTTTGCCATTTGTGCAGAAGTCAGTAAGGGAAAATCATTGTAGATTGAATGTTAGTCCTTACCAACTGCACATAATTTAGCTGACCATCCTTCAGTTCTAGTAACCGCTGCTGTGCATCGGATGACACTGGGAAATGTACTCCTGACATTGTCTGGTGCTTTGTGTCAACACTGATCTCAGCCTTCACCTGGAATGCACATGTACAGTATATGTCAGAAGAGTTTGCAGCAATTCATTAGATGGACATCCTGTTAAACCATCAATATCTCTTTCTGAAATACGGGATCCACTAGACTTATCGAAAAGTCTTAATCCAAACAAGAAGTGGATCAAGCGATCAGCTCAGAATCAAAACATACTGAGCATCCAATTGAACCAATGCTTCATTAAAATTCATTGAAGTTTAGATCAACATATACCTCTAGACTCTTGATTTCTGCCAGTTCCTCCTCAGCAGCAGTTAGAGGAGCAGGTGCATCTTGGTGCAACAGATGGCGTTTGAAACCATTGAAATTTACATCAGACTGAAAAACAATTAAAAGACCAGATTGAACGTTAAATAATATGACTCGACAATTACAAGAATAAGAATATTTTGAGAAAAGTCTAAAAGGAAAAGTACATGAAATTGTCAAGTATGTTGACAAATAAAATACACATACATGAATGTTTCTAGAAACAACAAATTATGTTCAATAATCAAAATTGAGATTTTGCGACTACTTACAAGCACAGTTCCATATATTTCTTCTTTAATCTGGCCACCTCCAAACTCTGACTTCAATGTCGATCGGGTTGAAGCATACAACATTTTCTGTCTTACCTATAAACACGGTGGTCATTGATATGTAGTAAACATATTAAATAACATTTATTCCAATGCTATGTGCATACAGATTAAATAATGTAAAAATGCCACCATTCAATGGGCTCACATGGCGAGGAATTAAACATTATGTTCAACTTCCTGTACATATTGTGACAAATATGATATTTTGGCGACAAGAAATATGAGGTGAAAGTAGGAGCCAGGACCAATGGTGTATTACCAGTATGGACATCTATGGAATGGATATGACCATTATTTCAGACAATAAGCGCTTTTATGTCCATACATTTTTAAGGAACTGACATGCGGCCAAGTAGGAAATTCAATAGGCCTACTTTGTGGGCCAAAATGTATTGTATTGATTTAAAAACATAAGACGAATATACTTACATGTGAATTATCTGGACTCCAAAGTAAATACACCCATTGATAGCCCTGGTCATTTTTGGAATCAAGTCTGTAGAAAATATAGCAGGGCTGTTTCTCCTGTAGATGGGGCAGAACAAGACTGTCATAATGTAGCCAGTTAAGGTAAATAAATGTTAAGCATTAACATGACATAATAGAGTGATTTTGCAACTCACTTATAGCATGCTTATTGTTCCCGTATAACTTATAAAGCATTTGATTACATCATCATTTATAGCACAGCTCTATACGTCAATAAATGTGATATTCTCATGAATTGTTGTCTACACATAAAGAGCTGTGCAATAAATGATGACATATCAAACAATTTATAAGTTATATATTAAACATGAATAATAAACATGCTATAAGTGAGTTGCAAAATCTCTACTGTCACCATCTGGTAAGTATTGCAAATGGTTACAAAGTGTAACAATTTGTTACGTGCTGAATGTTGAATATGAATGCCAATTAAAATATTTTATGTTTAAAAGGATATCTTCCTCAAAGCTATTTACAGGGCCATCATGGTGGTCCAACTCTAACTTTTCTGCAAAATAAAAAAAATTATGCAGAATTGTTGATCCAAACTATAACATGTTTTCTACAATAATTTTTTCCTAATAGTTTTAAGTAAATGGATGATCCTTGCATTTTACACAATGCATAATCTGGAGCAAAACCTGACAAAATCCCCAAAATTTGATCTCAGACTTTTATTTTTACTTATTCAGGGTACAAAAAGTTTGGGAAAAATAGATTAATCCTAATGCCTAGCATAAACTGATAAAAGTAAATCTATTCTTAGTAAGGCATAAAAACCTGAAGTCCAAAATCAAGTTTTGGGGTGCTGAGATGACATCTGAATTCATTCCATAACAGAAAGAAATAAATTGCTCCAAAGCCAATGCAAAATATCTCTCATCACACACAGAAAAAGTAACATACCAAATAACAAATGAACATCAGGGCCATTTAGGGGTAACATCAACAACAGGCAATTTTCTGTGGCTGTTTTTACTGAATTCTTATTTTGAGGAATTTTAAACTGTATTCATGTATCGTTACTTTTTCAATAATTTTGCATGCATGTTTTCCATTCATTTGCCAGTTGTCAGAAACTGTAAAAATATTCTTGTATATTTTTAGCTGAAATATTAACTATGTCACTGCATTACTATATTAAGCAAACTAGCACACACGAGTCACAACTACAATTTTGTAATCCAATAGGTATATGGATGCATACTTTGTATTATATTTATAAATATTGTGAAAGCATTAGTTACAAGATTTAGTAAAAAACATAAATATACAAGCCATCCAGAAATGGAATCTTTTTCTTTGTCATTATTCTTTCAAAACAAGTTCATGCTTTTATACATGTACCTTTTTTTGAATACTGAAAAATATGATCACCATAGTAATAAGTACATGTATAATTAAAATGTGGAAGCTTGGCATCTGGCTGTAAATGAGGAGTGCTGAAAAGGGTTATTTTCTTTGTGTGTTTCATAATTTTTTTTATTTACATCATCATACTGTTGGAAAATTCTTTCTTTCCATGCTACAGTATATCTTCCATAGGTTACTGTTTGCAATGGTGTCATTAAAGTGGTAGCCTCACATTCTGCTATAGATGGAGGTTTTGCAGTGTGATGCATTCATTCATTCCTGTGTTTTCTAATTTTTTCTTTATATTTCATGTTTCTACATTATATTTCATTCAAAGATCTCCTTTTAATAAAGGGCAACAAATAAATACACACAACATATAGGCCAATTTCACACCAATATTTTTCTAATTTCTCATGATCTACAGATTATAATAATCATAAATCACTAAATCATGATAATAAGGTATCAAAAAATCCTTTTCAGATAAGCTTAAGACAAATGGAAAAAAAGTCTATTAGAATAAAATGTTTGCTTACCATCTTTAATTGCAATTTTTATAACCCTGACGCTTCCATCTTTCGCTCCAGCTAGGAAATCTCTTAACTCTTGAGAGGCTGCAATGATAAACACACATTTATTAAGGAAATCCTTCAACTCTTGAGAGGCTTCAATAATAAATGAAACATTCAGTTAGGGTATCCCTTAACTCTTGAGAGGCTTCAATAATAAATGAAACATTCAGTTAGGAAATCCCTTAACTCTTGAGAGGCTGCAATGATAAATGAAACATTCAGTTACGAAATCCCTTAACTCTTGAGAGGCTTCAATAATAAATGAAACATTCAGTTAGGAAATCCCTTAACTCTTGAGAGGCTGCAATGATAAATGAAACATTCAGTTACGAAATCCCTTAACTCTTGAGAGGCTTCAATAATAAATGAAACATTCAGTTAGGAAATCCCTTAACTCTTGAGAGGCTTCAATAATAAATGAAACATTCAGTTAGGAAATCTCTTAACTCTTGAGAGGCTGCAATGATAAAACAAACATTTATTAAGGAAATCCTTCAACTCTTGAGAGGCTGCAATGAAAAAACAAACATTCAATTAAGAAATCCATTAACTTTTGAGAGGTTGCAATGATAAAACAAACATTTATTTAAGAAATCCTTCAACTTTTGAGAGGTTGCAATGATAAAACAAACATTTATTAGGAAATCCTTCAACTTTTGAGAGGCTGCAATAATAAAAGAAACATTTATTTAGGAAATCCTTTAACTTTTGAGAGGCTGCAATGATAAAAGAAACATTTATTTAGGATATCCTTCAACTTTTGAGAGGCTGCAATGATAAAACAAACATTTATTTAGTAAATCCCACAACTCTTGATAGGCTGCAATGATAAACAAACGTACAATTAAGAAATTCCTTAACTCTTGAGAGGCTGCAATGATAAACAAACATTTAGTTATTAATAGGAATCCCTTAACTCCATATAGTTTGAAAATATGGATTTTATGTGTGCAGATAAGCATGCACACATTATTAAACAACAATTATGAGCAGACAACAGATTTCATATTTAAAAATGCATGTTAAAATAGACGAAACACTCAAGCTGTTACCATAACATTTTGTTTAACCTACTATGAGGCTGGACATGTCATGTATTTAAATCAGTTGCACATTTAACAATAAATGTTAAAGACTTCTTATAAAAACATCAGTGTCAAGATTTAGGGACATTTTTAACCCTGATTGATATTGATAACCCTTAACTCCATATAGTTTGAAAATATGGATTTTATGTGTGCAGATAAGCATGCACACATTATTAAACAACAATTATGAACAGACAACAGATTTTATATTTAAAAATGCATGTTAAAATGCATGAAACACTCAAGCTGTTACCATAACATTTTTTAACCTACTATGAGGCTGGACATGGCATGTATTTAAATCAGTTGCACATTTAAAAATAAATTTTAAAGACTTCTTATAAAAACTTCAGTGTTAAATAATACTGATGTAAAACTTAACCCCTGCTTAGCCCCTGTGTGACAGATTCTACAGTAATTCTAAATGATAATCATTGGTTGGAAGTCTAATGTGCTCATGTACACAATAAAATGGTCTTTAATGTATTCAGAGGTTGATTTACTAATTTATAAATGATTGACTAAAATATTTGAGTAGCATGATCCATCCATTCCCTATGTGCCAATAAATCTTAGTTCACTACCAAAAGCCAATAGAATATTTTGATTAATGCTCTGATTGGGTACCCCAAAAGACAATATGGCTGACATGAAACTAAAAAACAATAAAATATCACTAGGGGCAATCTGCGGGAGGTTTCATATTTCGGTTCATTTTTTTGCGATGCACATTCACTCCAGCAATTTGATTAGTTCAAATCATTTAGATGCATGCACAATTATTAATTAAATAACAACATATATTTTTAGATAGATGTCACTTGCATTCATTATTTCACAGTAGTCCCTTCCCATTATGCACCTGATATTGGGGGAATATTTTCCTATAGGGTTAAAAAAAATAAGTCTCAACCCCAACGTATGTTTTCTATTCCTTGGCAATACTGAATATTTGGTTTCTAAATTAAAACCGAACAAACCGCAGAAAAGCAATTTGAATCATGGGAATAAATTACTTTCATTTTTGCGCATACCCGAAAAACCGAACCAAGTAAAAATGGCCTCGACTATTGACATATTAGTAGTCCAAACAGCTATACTCCAAATTTTTTGTGGCTATAATATTTCGTGAATTTTCCCCCTATTTCTATGTTGACGCAAGTGGTGGTGACACCGCAATCTAAACTATGATGTCATACTCTCTGGTCACATGCATTGATGAATCAGATGATTGCGCTTACTTATCTGGCAGAATTTGTCTTTATTCAATGATCTACTGTACCTGTAAAGTGGGAGACAAAAATAAACCCCAACCATCAAAAGTTGTCACAATGAGCTAAATTTGAAGTTTCATATCTCAAACTCTCCCAAGCGGTAGAAAAATAATTCCTGTTCACTTTAAGTAGCACAATAAATGAATCCAAAGCTTTATACCTGCAAATGATGGATAAATCCCTACCAAATCAAACGAATGTTTTCATGAATCGCAATGTTTGTTATCCAAGGAGGACCGACTCCAAGAATGCAGCATCAGTTAACCTTATTACTCGTGACAGATTTCAAAATGGCAGAACGGCATTTTGAAAGCTGGCACGTGTCATGTTGCATTCTGGGAGTCAATCCACATTGCGGTGTAATTGGGCTCCAAAATCACCTCAACGATTTTAAGAGTCGGCATTAACATGTGAATATCCACTTCAAATTTTTAAGTTCTTATTTGTCATTATGGACACAAATTCCACTATATCTGGACTTACTAGGACGGAGAAAATAGAGCACTGAATATAATGAGGTAGAATTTATTACATTTGTGACAGCATGTAATTTTCATAGCTTTTGTAATTCTTTATGTTCCACACTGTACATGTGAATTTATCCCGTACCAGGACTATAGTCCTGTAACGAGCGCATTCTTTTGCCTGTACGATTACAACTTGGGAGAATTATCTACGCCCCTTACACTTAAGAAACCTACTTCAATAGATTCCTGGGTATTTTAGCATTCTTTTCGTGTAGTTGAATCCACAATTGTTTGGTATCGGCAGAATGGGAACATTTTTCTTTTTCATCGAGAGATATTCCATCACTAAAATACCAAGGAATCTATTGAAATAGGTATCTTAAGTGTAAGAAGCGTAGAAAATTCTCCCATGTTGTAATCATACAGGCAAAAGAATAAGAGGTTCGGAGGACTATAGTCCTGGCACGGGATAACATGTGATTATTTTGGTGAGACAAATTTGGTCGAAATGTCACCATATCACTGTATCTCTATGCTGGGCCTGATTGACAATGAAAGCCATGAAATACCCGGATCCAGATGTCATGATATTAGTTATAGTAGAGTTCAAATTACAAATAAGGAAATTGAAGTTAAAATCCTAAAAGAAAATAATACAGACATTTCAAAATGGATCATCATCAAAATTGACTTGATATTGTAAATTTGCTCATACCTACGATACCAGATTGATGGGACATCTTGCCCAATGCAAAGACCGTGTAATCAGCTTCCAATCAGATCACGTTTTGTTTAATAAGGGTAATAAATTAATCAAATACGATATTACTAAATAAAAGCATCCAAACTAGGAAGTGACACCCTCCTCCTGAGAAGACAGTTCGGCAATTTGCAAGAAGAAATTTGATTGGTTAAGATGTTCATGAACCAATCATTTTGCGTCTTACATACGTGTTTGGGACGACGTTTAAAAATATTGAAAATTTCTACAAATTCGTGATGTTTCCTCTTATATCTTAGAGAAGACTTGTTAAAACGTCATGATGTTTGGTGAGCATTAATACAACTATGGCTGCCTCACACATAGCACATAATATAGGAGAACAGTCCAGAACTGGTGACGTAGCAATCCAAGAAAATGTTGAATTTTCAGGCATGCTTTTATCCCATGCAGTTTTGCTTGGTCTAAAAGAAGCAGGCTTTGAGAGGCCCAGTCCAATACAGCTTAAAGCCATACCACTTGGAAGATGTGGCTTAGGTAACTATTGTTTTCAACTTCATTGCATAAGAAACAAGTACATTTTTACAGATGTATTGTATTTTACATTTATCATGCTACTGTACATGTAGAGACTTCTCATGCGCTTTCCATCTGAATCCATTTGTTATTGAAATGCCACACACGCAGAGTTCTCACTAGGCTAATCTTCGGAGTCTGATGTCTTAAAACCCTCTTGCTTCAGAGTCTAATAGCTTTTCCTGAGTCTAAAGTGTTTTTTCCGGAGTCTACTACTTTTTGCAAGGCCTGACTTCGTCGCTAACATGCTAAATATAAGAGTTAGCTGACGTTTGGGAGTCTGACTTACCTTCTAAAGGTTAGAACCCGAATCTTAATGAAACCATATCACCTTTGTTAGAAAATGTAATTTTACATTTTTGTCACATTATTTGCGGTAAAACTCTTGAGAAAATACATAAAATTGGATACAAACAAGGAATAGGAAGTCAGAAACCTTTTAGAAATAAATATTGAGATTAAAATAGCAACATAATCAGAAGTATGTTGAAAAGTATACAAATAGGATATCTCTGATCTCACAAAGGGGAGACGTAGTCACGATTCGCAAAAAAGTAGTCACAATACCACTAAAAATCCGGGGTCTAAAAATTGACACGAGTAACTCTGGTTCAGCCCACCCAACATTATTATTCAACATCCGATAATTTTCTTCACTATCTTTACACATATTTCTTACCTCAATCAAATCTAACATTCATTTCCTACTTTGTCTACATGCAGGTCACTATTCAGAATCTTGAATTGCAGAAATGTTCACTTAAATTTTTGACTTCAATTCAGTAACTGGTATGGCTCATTTAGCAATTACCTATTATCGAGTTCCAATCCCATCTCTATGTTTCTGAAGTAAATTATTTGCTTATAATTGGTGTTTATTCCAGATCTGATTGTTCAGGCCAAGTCTGGAACAGGGAAGACATGTGTATTCTCAGTAGTTGCCTTAGAAGGTCTGCAGATGGACAGCAACTCAGTCCAGGTACGTTCTCATTCATTACATTCCTTGTTTGAAATAAGACGCTTTATATTTTTAAAGGATTATACAACATAAATGTCATCATTAAGAAATCAATTTAAAGGACTGTACTTTGAATTTTAATTCATCCAAATCAACGTCTCGAACCCCCCTGGCTCAGGCCTGACATACATGTGCTTACCTGTAACCTAGTTCTAAAATTGTAATTTACTGAATGTTTGTAGGTGCTGGTCCTTGCTCCTACCAGGGAGATTGCTGTGCAGATCTGGGAAGTTATGACATCACTGGGTCGCCACATTGAAGGGCTCAAGTGTCACATGTTCATTGGAGGATTACCAGTGCATGAAGATAAATTAAAGCTAAAGAATTGTCACATTGCTATTGGAAGTCCAGGTACAGTGAAGGCCTAAGTGAAGCACTGGGTGATGTATTTATTGTAAAAACTTCATTGGTCACAATAAAGGATTTAGGATGTACATGTTTATTATATTTATGCATAGTTCAAGACATGTTCATGATTACTATATCTAGTAATCGGCCAGCACTTAATTGATACTATTGTATAACTTTTGTTACTAAAACAATGTATTTTTAGGTCGTATAAAACAGTTGATTGAAATTGGTGCTATTAACACTGACAGTGTGAGATTGTTTGTACTAGATGAGGCTGACAAATTGCTAGAGTCCAACTTTCAAGAGCAGATAAAGTAAGGTGCTATACTGTATACATAAATGCCAACACTTCACTCTCTATCAGGTCCAAATTAATGCTGGTATAGGTATAAATTGCATTTAAACATGACCCTGACAATATTGTGTAATAGCATATTAGTAGTGGTTTATGTCATACATTAAGTACAAATGTATTGACTAAAGTTGAATATTTAAAACTATACAGGTTACAACTATTTATTTGCTTTGTCTTCTTAATTTTGTCATTGATAGATTTACATATGAATGACTCTTGTAAATGACATCTTAAGAATGTTTATTTATTTTTAGTTGGATTTACTCAACTCTTCCTGAGAATAAACAGATGCTAGCTTTGTCTGCTACATACCCAGAATCCCTCGCACAACACTTGACGAAATATTCCCGGAATCCAACATTTGTTAGACTGAATAGCTCAGATCCAGCTTTATTAGGTACTACGCCTAAACCAGATTTAGAAAAACAGAAAAATAGTAAAATATCTTATAAAATTACATCGAGATTTAATTAATTCAATGTCATTCAATATTTGAAAAAGCTAGGACATGTATATCTCAAACATCTTTCGCTTTGATAGAAATTAGATTCAAGCAAAATTGTCACCTTATATTGCATGAAAATAAAAAAAGGTATGCGAGTTCTATATATTAATAATAAATATATAAGATTATACATGCGTGTATGTATAGTTATTTTGTGAGGATCTGTAGAAACTAACTTGTATAATTTAATCATTGTAGGCATTAAGCAGTTTTTCCAAGTCACCCCCTACCACCCTATGCAGCATGTGGTATATGAGGAAAAGGTGAAATATTTGCTGAAACTTCTCACCAGTGCCACATTTAACCAATGCCTGGTCTTTTCTAACTACCAGACAAGGTAGGTACATGTATATGAAGCTGTTATATATTCCCAGTGATAGGTATAAATAACTCTTATGTTAGCCTATGTATACCCTGTACTGTGCTGTACAAATTGTATCGAGCTCAAACTTGACTCCAAAGTAGTATCTGCATTCCAGTGTTTTTTTCAAGCAGTCATATCATGTCACCACCTGAAGTGGTGACATATTATAGTCTCCAACTTTTTTTATGGATGGTGTTCGGCGTTTGGTGTTTGACAATTGGTGTTTGGTGTGTGTAACAAATGGCAGGTGGTGACATTTTGCATGTTTATGCCTTGTAGATACTGCTTGTTTTTACCATTCTCTTATAAATATAATTTATTGTGTAGTCTTAAGTATTATGGCAAGGTTAAGAAACAGCAATAATTGTGGATAGAACATAAAATTAAGAATCCATATCTGCAATTTCAGAGCTGAGAATTTGTGTGACGTGCTGAACTCCAGGGGTTGGCCAGCCACCTTTATCTCTGGTAGTCAGGAGCAGCATCTCCGCCTTGAGGCCATGGCCAAACTAAAAGCCTTCCAGTGCAGGGTCCTTGTGTCTACAGATCTGGTGAGGAGATATTGTTTATGTGGTACCCTAAAGCATGTTTTAAGCTTCAGGCAACCATCAATTTTCTCTCATTTTACCAATGTTACCTGTTGTTTTAATGAAGTTTGCAACTGTTTCAACTTTCAATGTTAAAATTATAATATCCAATAATTTTTTTCCTTTTGTCGGAAATTGTAATAAAACACCAGTAAAGGATCAATTTTCAAATGATGCATGTGTTGTGTTGTGTTATTAAAATGGGTATTTATAACATTATAGTGTTATAAATACACCTCAAAATTATACGCTTCAGCCACAAGTACAGTATTAAAAGATAACATGATGAATAATGGTTTCAATTTTTGTAGACATCTCGGGGGATAGATGCTGACAAGGTTAACCTGGTGGTCAACATGGATCTACCTAGGGACCATGAAACATACCTACATAGGATAGGCAGGGCAGGAAGATTTGGTAAGACGACCAGTCAGAAAGTTATTTAGATTCAACATGTTCAGTTGTCATGTTATATGATATCACCATAGTTACATTGCAACAGAGAAGAGAATAACAGGACAGTCCCCAGTGAATTCTCTAAATATGAGCACATCTTTCATTTACTGATATTATGTTTATTTTCTCATATGTGCACCGGTGACCCAATATGAACATCTTAGGCAGTTAGCTCCAATATAGAATTAATTTACTATATCTGTAATTGTGATTGTGGAAAAATACAAGAAGCTATAGTGTATGAGAATATTTACAACTGGTTATAAGGTTAACAAAACTCAACCTTTTGTATTTCATGTAAATATTCATATCATAATTCTGTAAATGAATTTTACACTAGTATATTCTGGTTCAGGTACCTATGGGGCTGCAGTGACCTATGCCAGTAAAGGCAATGAGCTTGAACAGTTACAGGCCATAGAGAGAAAGTGTAATACCACCATGAGACAACTACCAGGTAATGGTCTATTTCATAGTGCTAAAATAAAATTTCAGGTCACTGAAGTAGTAAAGTACATGTACTAAACTTTTTTTCTGGATTTTTAAGATTTAGTAGTTTTGAACTTGACTTTATTACTTGCTGTTAGAGTGGATCTCATTCTCATTACAGTATTTTATGTGGAAGAAATGTTAATTTCATTAAGTCATTTCTCATATCAATGTTTGTCTGTTTTTTGAATACATCATCAATAAAAGAGACATTTCAAGCTCTAGACTACTAGGAAACACATGTAGATTTACATATTATTTTGCAGATCCCATTCCCAATGATTTGGTAAAGAGCCTTGGGTATATAGATGTCAGCCATCTTGTTACGGCAGAACCTCTCAATAAGCAGACGGACTTGGCAGCCATCTTGAATGAACACTTGTCTGACACTAAAGCAGCTGACCCTATGACATTTGAAATTAAGAACAAAATTCAGGAAAACATTGATGAGAGTTGTGCATATAGAAATGGGCATGATATTGAAGAAGCAACCATTACATCAGTAAATGGAAACAGACTTAGTTCTGAACTAAGTGAAACTAATACTGGATCTGTATGTAATGGGCAATCTAAAAATACTATTGTGAAGCCAAAGAAGGACCTCACATTTGATTCAAGATGTCTTGGTAACTACATTAAAGAGTTTCAGATACCAGATGAGGATGCAACATCAAAGGAAAATGAAGTGTCTCCAAATGGTGTTGCAAGAATTGAGGACCTGACAACAGTTTCGTTTAAAAAAGCTGGGAAGAAACAAAATGGTGAAATAGAAGAAGATGCCGCAAAATGCATCAAAGCAACTGATCCAGAATCCAAGCCTGGAAAATATCGTCATCCTTATGGAAAGTGGAGCAGGATTGAAAAGCCCAAACAGGAGAAACAACTAAGGCATGATGATGTGAATGCTATTGAGAATAATGATTCAGGACTTGACAAAGGACTTGACACAGGATTTGATGGTAATATTGGCTCAAGAACTTCTATCCAAGATTTTGGCTCAAATATCACAGACTGCATCAATAAACCTGAATTTCATTTAAATACACAGTGTAGCGTAACTTCAGAAATAAAAGCTCCATTTCTCATCCCACCTCTCTACAAAAGAATTAAACCCAAACCACGCTTTGCAACATTTAATGATGCTTTGGAAAATTACAACTCATTTATGGAAGGTTCTAAAGATGAATTGTGTGATGCAAACAAAAAGGAAATTGATATGGACAGTGGAGTAGATCAAGAGAAATCTGAAGGGATAATAGGTGAACAGTTGATTAATGACGTATCTGTTTATCTTGAAAAGATCTCACTTGAAAAGGCTCATAATCATCAAATTAACTTAATTAAGAAACACTATCCAAATGCCCGTTTGATACAAGAAACAAATACTAGACGTACAAAAGCAAATACAAACACCACTTCAGAAAGGAAAAGTGATGCAGTCCAAAACATTTTATCCCACCAAAATGTTGAAAATAAGTGTATCAGTGAAGCAGCAAATTCTGACATTCATAAAGATAACAGACACAGAGATGAGGAGGCTCAAACAGAAAAGGCTTATGAAGAGGAATATGAAGATGACTATACAGAAAGTGAATCCAATGACTCATATTCTGACGATGCAACTGATGAATCAGATTCTGAATCTGATGATTCTGGTACTGAATTTGATGAGCCAGGCTCTGAATTTGATGAGGATTCAGAAAATGATGACACTTCTACTCTAGGTGACAATGCCACCATCCAAGGGGATATCTATAAAAGTGCTCAGTATATAAATCCAATGGTATACAGCCCACATCCATACTTACCTTATAACTATAGCAACCCTTGGCAATCATGCCCATGGCAACCTAGTTATTACTATAGCCACTTTGCTTGGTCTCCATGGCAACATCCAAATCTCTCCTATCCTTACCAATATTCACAATTAGATTGGGATAGACAAATCGAGCAAACATATAAGGCCCAGAGTGACTATCTTAAAGCAATGTCCAAATAATATAAAGAAATGTGTCGTTCTGATAATTGTTAATGAAATGCATGAATTTAATTTTGTGAGCATGCTAAGCTTATTAAATTGTGTATTGTTATTGATTTACATGAAGTATGAATAAAAATATATTTTTTGAAAATCTGTATTTATGCTTAATAAAGACTAAGAATGACCAACAAGGCATTAACATGACAAAATGTCACCACCTAGTTGCTCACAATATTATTAGTTCAATCTTCAGTCAGATTTGAATTTCTGAGAACTCAAGCAAGTTGAAAAAATACCTTTTTTTACCCTGAGAAGGTGAAATCTGACATCTGCCGATTGCCAACCACCGATCGCTGCCACAAAAAATGGAGACCACAACACTATGTTACCACATTTTGGTGGTGACATAATAGTACTTACTGAGGTACATGTTGGCTTTTGAATGTGTCGGATGTTATCTTTAAGTGTGTTCAATGATCCATAATGAACTGAGGCTCTGACAATCAACTGCGTTTGCATGAAAGCACTCAATCACTCAGATGCGAGTAGGTAGTTACCAATTTCGCCACCAGGTGGCTGATTTGTGGGAAATAGTATAGCAGGGTATTACAAAATTCCCTTTAACTTGAATATTCATCAGTTTTAGTGGTTCACTTTTCATATTACCCTTATGTATCTAGTAGTTATACAAATTAAAATATGTCCAGTAAAAGATATCTGCCCAACACAAGAAAAGATATTTCACTTTTTGTGATTTTACAACATGGGGTATATGGGGAATCTCCCTGACCTAGAAGTTATATTTTAAAAGAAAATTAAATTTTCAAAGTTGATAAACTCTTCAAAACCACATTACTAGAAGTAATTTTATATGTAGATTCCAAATATGACATCAGTTTGACTGAATTTTTAATGACTTTAATCAAGATTATTTCTACTCGCATCTAGGATATTGTTACAGAAATAATTATTCAATTTTGATGATACATGAAATAAATTCTGATTATTTTATAGAAATATAGTAGAATTGAAAAGGAGCCTTTAGTTAGGCATGGTGTCTAGTCATCTATAATCATGGAATATCAAAGTTAGCCTTGTTAGGGAGGAGGGGGTAACTGATGGTTCCGTTAGTGAATGGTGTTGATTTTTATCGTACCTGAAGAAAGGTACAATATTGTCGTCAGCTTGGTTGGTGGCGGGGAGGTGGCGTCTCACTTTTCTTATCATCATGATTCCAGAAAAACCACTCAATGGATTTACAGTAAAACCTGTATATCTGAACACCTGGCTAATCCGAACACCTTCCAATTTGAACACTTTTTTTCGGTCCCATTTTTTCCTCCCATTGACTTCCATGTTAAAAAAACCTTAAAATCTGAACACCTCCTAATCTGAACAGTGAACAACCAGATTTGAAAAACTGACCTGTCTAATCTGAACATTTTTATCAGAAATCAAATGTCTGGACATTTCAATAATAGCCACATATTGAGTCAATGTTATAGTTGTTATTTATCTTTACATATGCAATGTAATCAAAGAACCAATATTGTCCTAATTAACTTATTTAAGTCTCAATGACATCCCTAATTGTGGAGAACAACAGGATGATTTGGAAAGGTGTGAATACAGGAGTTAATTGGTTTATCCTATTAGAAAAGAACTGAATGTTTTATGTTTGGATTAAGAGAAAGGTGAGAATCTGGGAGATAATTGGTTTATCCTTATTTTAAATTAACTGGATGTTTTTGATTTGGATTATGAACAAGTCTTAACTGTTTTATATCCCATGGGTCTGTTATGATAGCTAGGATTCAATCAGTAAATGTTTTATAATCACAGAGACAACACAGACACATTTGCAGACAAGATTATAATTGTTTTATCATTATTAGAAATTACCTGGATGTTTTTGATTTGGATTAAGAGAAAGGTGAGAATCTGGGAGATAATTGGTTTATCCTTATTTTAAATTAACTAGATGTTTTTGATTTGGATTATGAACAAGTCTGAACTGTTTTATATCCCATGGGTCTGTTATGATAGCTAGGATTCAATCAGTAAATGTTTTATAATCACAAAGACAACACAGACACATTTGCAGACAAAATTATATCACGAGAAAGAGAAAAAATTCAACTTCGTAATATCCTATCATTAAAATGCCTCCTAAAAAGGCACATCTGACATCCTGAATGCCCTTGATATTTTGAAAGATTATGCATCATCTAAGATAAGTCATTTAATAAGCATAAGATTTCGTACAAGACTATCATATATTTATTCAGTGTATTACAAAGTTTTTGCCAAAATTAAAAGAGTTATTTTTCCCAAAATAATGAAATTGTTCAAAATGTAAATAAAACATAGCATATACATGTAGGCTATAGGCCTATTGTAGAATAAACTCATCAACAACATGTATTGTTTCCTGACTAAGTATTAAGTGTTCAATATAGTGGACTGAACAATTTAAATCCCCCCCCCCCGAACAACAATATCCTCGAAATTTGAACACCTGCCAATTTGAACGCTTTTGGCTGGTCCCATGGGTGTTCGGATTAGACAGGTTTTACTGTACTTCCAATTTTCACACATGTTACATGGTAAGAAGTTCTGAAGCTGATTAACTTTTTGGTGGCCATTTTGGATTCCAGTGGCCATCTTGGGAGTTTTTGGATAAATCTTGTCAACAGGATTCCAGGAAAATCACTTTACGAATTTTTTTACACATGTTACATGGTAAGAAGTTCTAGAGCTGATTAACTTTTTGGTGGCCATCTTGCATTCTGGTGGCCATTTTGGAAGTTTTTGAATAAATCTAGTCATCACGATTCCAGGAAAACCACTTTGTGGATTTACTTCAAATTTTTACACACGTTAAATGGTAAAAAGTTCTACAGCTGATTAACTTTTTTTTTGGGGGGGGGGCATCTTGGAAGTTTTTAGACAAATCTTGTCATCACGATTCCAGTAAAACCACTTAACGGATTTATTTCAAATTTTTACATATGTTAGATGGTAAGCAGTTCTAGAACTGATTAACATTTTGGTGGCCATCTTGCTTTCTGGGTCAACAAGCCCACACTGCTGTTTTAGGTACGATATTGTCCACCCTGTGCCTTGTTTAATATTCAAGTGAAAGACAAATCAACAACTCTTGGACACCATCCTTAACCAGATAAAATCAAAAATTGAAAGATTATACTGAAATAAAGTTGGACAGAAAATAGGCATGACAAGGGAAAATATTTTAAAATTATGACAATTTTTGAAGCCTACTCTCAACTCTCAATCCATTCTTCTTTGTTTAATAAATAAACCAAACAAATCAAAATGTTTTAATTTCTCCCATACATACTACAATTATATATTTCCGACCAGTTTGTCATTTACATGGCAAATATAGCATAACATAAAGTAATTGCATAATGCAGTTATTTACAAACAAATTCAATTTTGCTTAAAGAGTCACAATCTGATAAATGAAAATAAGCAAATCAATGAAGGCACTTTCAAATAACTTAATTATACTTTTGGAATACATATCAAAGATATGTATTGCACAATTACTGTACTTCTTCTTAATTTGGCGGATCCGCCAAATTCAACGTTTCAAATTTTAAGTGTAAATGTGTATGGTATTACATTTAAATATTGCAAGTGCGCCAAATTAATTAGTTGCCAAATGTTCAAAACAGCAAATCCGCCAAAATAAGTAGCACCAAATTAAGTAGAAATACAGTATTAAAGTGAAATTGATCTGCAATTCTGCATACTAGTAAATGATAGATAAGATCATCGGAATGTGCCTCTTTATTCCAACAAAAACGTGTTATTATATAATAACAATTCATACATATAACTGTGTACATGTAAAATATAAGTTTAACATAAACAGTATCAATGCCATTCAACGTGGCATGGCACAAAAGCACAGAACATGTACACTGTACAAAACAAATCAATGAGATCTAGAAATCAACTCCAAATGTTAATGATTTTCTGTCATGATTTAACACAAATACAATTCATATCAGTAGGTAATATTAATGGGGCCTGGTTTCAATGTTCAGAGACATACATAAATTAATCATCATGTGATGTGACAAGGTTATGCAAATAAACTTCAAAACTTGATTAAAAAAAGAAAAATGACAAGACCCTTTAACCCACCTGGGACTAGGTCCCTTAAGAGTTAAATAGGATAGCATCATCAGAAATATGTTTTATTTTTTATTCACATGAAGAAAACCACTATATCCCCATAAACAACACTAATTGCATTTAATATGAATTCATACAATATGATATGAATAAACTGTACAGTATAATTAAATATATCTAATGTAATACATTTTGAATAAGCTTCCCTAAAGGATGGTGTCCAACTGTCAACAGTTGTGAAAAATCAAGCAAATTTTGTTATTTTAACCCAACCCTCCCTTCCCCTGCTTTACCCTCCCCTCTGCTCTTCTGTATAAAAAAACAACGTTGAAAGTGTTGCTTTTAAGTTCCATTGAACAAAATTGTTATTAACTTCATTCTTCAAATACTGTTGGCAATTTGACAACATTCCAAACACATATAATTGAGCAAGAAACACATATTCAAGACAGCATGGAGTAAGAAACACATATTTAAGACAGCATGAAGTGTTCAACTCAAACTGGTTTAGAAATAGTACAATGATATGGGTACTGAATAGTTGAAATAAATAGTCAATCTATTGCACACATTTCATTCTCAAGATACAAATGGGAGGGGATTGACCATTAAGAGATTTTAAACTTTACATGGGGCCTTTAACTCTTACAAATAATTCTCAGTGTACTTCTCAGAAGTTTTCAACGGAAGGCAAATGGCATCATCGATAACCATGGCAATCTCTTAATTTGTAATCAAACATTTGGAAGAGAGGACATCCAATGAGTATTAGAATGGTCAAATAGATTTCCTAAACTTTGTATGATTGAAGAATATGGTCATTGTTCAACTCACTGGGTGCATTGCCAGACAATTCAATGCTGGGGGAGTTCACACTCTCCTAGTATGTAGTAATGAAACATTTGGAAAAGTTCTTATATACATCATATGAAATACAACTATGTACATACACAGATATTTTGTTCTCCAAATACAAGTTATATGTACAGCAACCATTATAAACATGAAACACCACTAGAAATCCCAAAACTACACAATTATGATACAGGTTTTTCCGCATCCTTCATAGTCTCTTTCGGTTCTTTTAATGCCTTTTCTTCACTGGGAGTATGAACCTGTGGTTCCTTGGTGTCAACTTTCACCGATGTCAATAAAGGACCACTTGTATCTTTAGTAGGACTTGGGGATTCTGCCCCATCCTCAAGAGATGGCCAGCTCTGTTGCGAACTGTCCGTTTTGCTCAGTCTTTCATTTAGAGCTGTTAGTGCCAATTTCCTGAAAAACAAGCACATTGTAAAGTTCAGTTTTTTCTTAGTAAGGTTTAATTTAGAGATCTGGGGGTCATTAACAGAAATTTCGTAAAATTACGAATTGGTATTTGTTGTAACCATGGATATAATAAGTCACAGTTAAAGAACAATGGATTTTACAAATTCTTAACTTTACGAAGTTTCTGTTAATGGCCCCTGGAGAAGAAGTATCAGCATGTTTGATTCTCATCATTTGAATTCATGCTCTTTTATATGAACATAAGACTTATGGTGTTACCAACTATCTTGAAACTCTTACAGAATACACATGCAAATCATAAGGGAAACATACAGGCAAAAAATTCATTTACTTCATGAGCAATTTTTTGTTCTTTAAACTGTATCATTCACAGAAAAGGAGATATCTATCAAAGTCTACTGAGGATATAAGTCATGAGGTTTTTGATTTTTTAAAATGTTGATGAAAGTTAATGATCAGAGTTAGAGACTTTAGATGAACATACCTTCTTCGTTCAGCATCTAAGGGGTCTGTGCCTGGTAGACTAATTGTAATGGTTGATGGGGAGCTGACGTCATAACGCCTTTGGGGCTTTTTACACACTTTGATCTTCACTAATGCACTGAATATTGTGTTGCAAATAACAGCTATGAAGGGCTGGATAACATCTGGGAAGAAACTGGAATTTATAAAATTTGTAATTTTAATACAGAGCATTTGCAAGCTAATTTGATAATTCAGGTTGAAGAAGATATCAATTTCAACAATACTGATTTAAGACATGTAAGAGGTAATAGATCTTTCCAATAAATGTTGCCACATTTTGGTAAATAATCCCATTGGGTACTGCATTCATAGACATACAGCCTTGATCTATCTGCCAAAGGAATCCACATTCACAAAAGTACAGGATGAACAAACAAGTCGTAAAAGAGCATGTGTGGTTTCAAAATATTGCAGGTATCCCTTGGCAAGATATATCGGCCTCTGGATAATCCCAGTATCCTGAACCTCATTAAGTGTAAATTAATCTCTATTCATCCTAATGTTATTCATCTCATATTTCAGAGTAAGGTTTCAGAAATAAGTTACGTTAATTTTTCTATCATAATTTTCACAAGTACATGCAATTACAACTGGTTAAATATTTTCAGTAGCTCATGTACCATAGTATTCTTCAGTATTGAATTCATATGGTTTATCCTACCTTTGACAAATGGGTATTTATTGCTCACTAACTTATAACTTGGCCTCATCAGTTCTTTGGGAGACATAAAAGTAAGAAATATTTTCACCCTAAACTTCAATTTGTATAAGAGGATATACAATACAATACTAGGATATGGAGGCAATGTCATCCACACAGTGTTTATCAATAGACTTATAGTCTTTAGAAGATTGCACTTATAAAGCCTCGTCTAAGGTCTGACACATTACCTTCACAGGATACTATTGCCTCCATGTACTCAATATACTGTACTTTACCTTGCAAAACTGAAGCTTTCTGCCATATCACCTCGATTCCCATTACTGTGCTTTTGATAGAACCTCAAATAAATCCAACTGACAAGAATACCAGATCCAAACATAATCGGGAAAGGGCCGTCTAATCCTCCGAGAATTCTCACAAAAATTGTAATCATAAGCATCAAAATCGGAATGTGACGGTTGCCCAGCTTGCCAAAAGGTGAATCTACAACAACATGATCCGGCATCACCTGTTTAACAGCAACTGAGAATCCAGCGATATATCCTGCTAGTCCGTGAATGTGTACTTTGAACAAATATGCATCATTTCGGCTTATAACGTAGATGCACAAGTACACGAATGAAGTAATGACTCCGACACCAAAGTTCACAACTAGGAAGAATACAAGCATTTGTAAAGCACCCCATAGTGGCTCTAGAAGCTTACCATACAGTACTATGACTACAACATCAATAATAACAATCCATATATGAGTTTCTATGAAACTGTGTGTAAAATAAGTCCAGATCCAAAAATTTGGTGGAATAACATTTCCTGGAATTACTGTTAAAATTGAGAGAGCTGTTTCACTGAATGTCAGAAAGTAGCTGAGAAATACTAGTATCCCTACACACTTCACTACTACGCTGCTGTTACTGAACGCTGCAGAAAACTGTTCTTTAAGAAAAGGCAGATTTTTTTTGATGGTGGCTGCCATCTTGCCTACTTGGCGATGACGTCATCTCGAAAAGTCCCGAACTTCATTTGCCGAACTGTGATCGTTGTGTCAACCAAGATGGCGGCGATCGTATTTTGACATTTTTACAAATTTCAATTTTAATTTTGCTTTTATTCCTTATTATAGATTTTGTATGAACTAACCTTAAGTCCATGGGTTTTATAAAGGCTACCTTTTTATATAGACTATATCCTATTTAGTCTGAATTATATTCAGACTATAAGGCACCTATGTTAAAGTTTGGTAATTTTTATTATTTGTTTACATAGGAAGTGCTATTCAAAATGGCCGATTGGGTAAATTTAATTTTCACATTTGTTACTTCAACTAGCTTTATTTCCACTTGACAATATGCTGTGTTACTTTTTATAGCATTTAATTGTTCCTTACTATTTAATTGAAATTTTGTAATGTTTATTTTATTGAAGAAATTGTTCCTCCAATTTATAATTTTGTGCAAAATATTTCACTGCAATTTCCACAGGAAAGTAGTACATCATAACAGACTGACTTCTAGTCGGTCTGTTGGATACATACTACCTTTTTATATATATTCAATGGAAACGGTTAAAGATAGTAGCATGGCTACTGAGATAGATGATTCAGTTCTCCAAGATTTGTACAACTGGGTCGATCAGATTCCACTATCAAGACCAAAGAAAAATCTGGCAAGAGACTTCTCTGATGGAGGTAAGTGTGTATTTCGAGGCTGAGAATCCATTTCATTGCACCCACTGAAATTGAGAAAAATCATGAAAAATAGGCATATTTTGACCAAATTAAATCAAGAATTTTGCACCCACTTGAGAAAAAAACTTGGGGAGAACACTGGGTAACGGTGGGTTCTTTTTGAGTCCAGGATTCCTCTTTTTTATTTGTCTTATGTAGGCCTACCAACTCAGTGACGAAGCTTAGCATACATGCTGAAACAGATTTACCCGGGCCAAGAGTGAATATGTTTATGTATGTCACAAGTCACTGCAGTTCATTTTTCATAGTAGACTATATAACCAGGTTACATATTATGAAATTATAACAAGTGTTTTTGTGGTAAATTTCCATCAGTGTCACAATATAGGGTAGCCATTTTTGGGTTTTTATTTTGTGCTACTTTTGGACTTAAAATAAAATTTAAAATGACCAGGCATTTAAAAAACATACAGTTCAGTTCAGCATATCTATAGTTTTTCATACCTTTTTTGAAAACCAACACAAAAGGCCAAAAGTAACACTTTTCCAGAAAATAAACAGAGTCCAGCCTATTGATAGATTTTCATACCTTTTTTCAAAACTAACACAAATGGCCAAAAGTAACATTTTTCCAGAAAATAAACAGAGTTCAGCCTATCGATAGATTTTTATACCTTTTTTTCAAAACCAACACAAATGGCGAAAAGTATCACTTTTCCAGAAAATAAACAGAGTCAAAAAACACAAAAATCTCTACCCTATATCGTGACATATATCTAAATTTCAGTATGTCTTTCGACATGTTTCCTACTGCCACTCGACAGCTTTGTGTGATGATTAGGATAACTTTTGCTGTGAATTTCTTAACTCAATAAGTTGATGGGCCCATTCCTTATGTTTTATCCAGTTAGGATGCCTTGTTTGATATAACCCATCCAACTTCTAAAGATTTTGGAAAAATACCATAGGAATAAGCTCAGTACCTTATCCCAGACCTACCTCCTCAGTCTTGACTATTTATTATTTTCTAACTGTAGTTATGTGTGCAGAAGTTGTCAAACATTTCTTCCCTCGCTATGTTGAGATCCACAACTACGCCCCAGCCAGTTCACTGGAAAACAAGATGACCAACTGGCGACTCCTCAACAGGTTAGTTATGAAATTTATCTCAGTTAGTTATGAAGAATTCCATCATTACGTTGAAGATTGAGGCTATGTGGTTTTCAATTCAGTTTCATTACGCTATGACAGCTACAGTATGTCAAGGTTCATCTCAGTATTTCACAAGCATTATATTAACTGCTGAAAACTTGTAAACACCTTTTTGTTAGCATAAAGTCTTTGGAGTTTCAGGGAATAAGTAGTCATACTCAGATCCCCATTGAACAATAGGGTTAAAACTTTTTAAACAATGTTCTCAGTGGTGAATACATCCTTTATACCCCCAGAAGTGTTCATGTTATATTTTACAATTGAGTAGTATACATTGGGTGTGTTATATGCAGGTAAGATTTTAAATAATTAAAAGCAGATGCGCACTTGCTGATAGTAAATAGGTAAGAACTAGCTATATGTCATCTAAATCTGTGTGACTCTTTCATAATGTTTCTTCTACTTCTTTTTTCTTGTGTGTAGAATTGTTATGTTGTTAAAATTCTAACACATCTTGCGACCTTCACACCTTTTATAGCTGTAACTAAATTATCTCTGTTGCATACATTGTGTAATCATTTATATTTCACTTGCATGTAGCTTAGCTAAATTTCACTTGCATATTTAATCAGCATGTAGCTCTGGCCAAAGATTGTGTCACCCGTATTATTACATGCATGCAGCTTGACCTAGAGAGTAAAGACTGTACTAATTTCTTTAGTAAAATGTAATTTGAACCAACTGTTATTTCATTTGCATATTTTATCTCATTTGCATGTTGTTACAATCAACCGTTTGCATGCAGCTTGAGCCATTAGTTATTTCACCTTAATTTGCTTGCTTGGTTCAACCTCCATATCATTTGCTTTGTATGTTTCACTTGCATGTATAGCTTGGTTCAACCTCCATGTCATTTGCTTTATATGTTCCACTGGCATGAATAGCTTGATTTCAACCTCCATATCATTTGCTTTGTATGTTTCACTTGCATATATAGTGATGGTGGCTGAATTAGTAAAGAAGTATCTTCCTACATTTGTCGAACTTCACAACTACACACCAGCAGCTGGAACCAAGCAGAAAATTGAAAACTGGTATTTATTGAACAGGTTCGTATTCTTTAGATTGACAGTTAGGGGTATGCAAATTTTATGGCAAGAAAACTGACTATAAAGATTGGCATTTGTAGGAGAGAAATGATATGGTTAAGTGGTATTTAGAATTTTTCTTTGATATACATTTGCATCATAAATATAACTCAATAGGTACCATTGAAAGATTACAGGTTTAAGAGTTTATCGATTTGTTTATCATGTCTCTGTTAATCCATTTGTCTGTTAATTAAATAATCAGGTTTGTTAAAGCCAGGAATTAATTTTAAAAAGAAGGTTTGCAATTTGTTAGGAATTTTTTATCATTCTCAATGAATGTCATGATAGGTTCTTATAATTGCCTTTCTGGAAAAATAATTAAGTAAGTTAGTCATTAGAATTTATGGAGAAATCAACTCAAACGCAAGATACCAATGAATCACTATAATAATGTTTGAGAAGGTAAGTCAATCATTTTCAATATATTATGACCCATTATAGTGTTAACATCTGAAGTATGGACAGCATGAAATATATAAGAATTTCCAAATCTCCCAAAAGGATCAGTTTAGCATTATAAGTGAAATCCATTGTGAAAACTACAGAAAGGTGTTTACAAAAAATGTTCATGTGAGCAGCACAGATTTGTTAAATTGTATGCGGCTTTTAGTCACATATGGTACATTTTATGTCTTATATGTATGTCTTATAAAGACAAGACAAGGATTAAGACAAGGATTAAGACAAGGATTAAGATCTAGCTGGTGTTGATATTTCATCATATATATTTTTCATACCTTAAAACTCAGTATTTTTAACTAATTTACAGGAAAGTCTTCAAGAAATTGTCATTTGAACTAAACGATGATGTTATTCGTGCAATCGCGACATGCAAGGCATGGACAATAGAGCGTGTGCTCTTGATGCTACGTACTAAGATAGATCGCGCAGTCTATGACCAACAACGGGCCAAAGAGAATGTTATGCATCACATGGGGAGTGATAAACCAGAAGCTGATCAGAACACAGGAAATGCTAAAGGTAGGTTCATACAAAAATATTGAATAATTAAAGCTTGAAACAGAATATGTGAGATTTCAAGAATTCATCAATGACAAGAATCAAATGTGTTCAAAACCCCCAAAAACGAATATCATGTTGAAACAACCAATTGACTGTCGCAGAGTTCAGTGAACCTGTGTAAGTGGAACACCTTTCATACCTTTAAAAAGTGTTCAACTTAACATCAAGTCAATTGGTGTTCCACTTACAGAGGTGTTCCACTTATAGAGGTGTTCCACTTACAGAGGTATTGCACTTTGCAGGATTTACTGTATTTTGGATGATCTAGTGATAACATGAAGAAATCACTTATTTTATGAAATGTATTTCTTCAATAAAATGATTATTTGAATATTACAGCTGCAATAGATTATCATGAATCTGTTGAACCAGATCTTTTGCCCAACATTCATGAACGGCCAGGTACTATCAATACATTATTATACATTCACAAGTAGCTAGTCATATATTATCACTTACCTTCTATTCGTGGATGCAACTAACGCCTGTCGGCTACCTGATTAACCTAGTATTTTATGACAAACTCGTTAAATATGAATGGAATAGTGGCAGGTACTATTCATATTTAAATGAGTTACCCATAAAATACTAGGTAAATCCGGTAGCCGACAGGCGTTAGTTGCATTCGCAAATGCAAGCTTAGTATAGCCATCATAATCTGAAATGCTAATGCAATATAATGCATGCTTATTTTGTCACCATGACAATATCCAGGCATGCATTACACCCTTGCAAAATGATGTCATTATACCCTTGTAAAATGTTTGCCAGTTGAATTACATTTTCTCTGTTTCTACATGAGTGAAAAGGATTTAAGAACAAAAACCTATCGATTATATCTGAAATGATGTTTGTTGATGATACCTTTAACACATGTCATTTCATTTCATTTATCATTGGAGTAACAATTATCTCATAGACACCATAGGGCATATACGTGTGATCATACACACTTGTGTTTACCTGTGTATTATTTTATCATTTAATGAACAGGTTCTTGTGCTTAAATGCTATACTTTATCAGGCCCGTAGCAAGGATTTGCCAAGGGGGGTTCACTTTTTGAAAAATTCTAAGGGGGGGGGGTCACTTGTGAGAATTTTGGTCCAAAAATGTCCAAAACCACTTAACAAGTGCTCTGAATAGTGAAAACAGCATGATTTTGAAATAATTTTTGGCTAGGAGGGGGGGGGGTAGCTCGAACCCATTGAATCCCCCCCTGGGTACGGGCCTGTATATACACACCTAAAGCATGCTTACTTTGCATATCTAATATCTAATAGTGGCTCATTTTAAGGCCAGGGTGCATGTTCGGAATTTTGCTGCATTCCTCAAATGAGTCACATGCTATTTTTTTCAAACAGGAATCACTCCTTCCCCACATTGTCTACATCTTCCAGTTTTGCACAAAGAGTGCACTTATGTGACTAGAAAAGACTGGTGAGAAGATTTCTTTTGTAAAATATATAAAAAAACAGAAAATTCATTGAAAAATTTTTCTGAATTTTGTTACTGAATTTTCTTGTTATACATTTTATCAAAACATTCTTCTCTACATTCTTTTGTTGGTACATTCGTGTACTCGTTGTGCAAAAGTGAGAGATGCAGACATTTAGGGAAGGAGTGATTCAAATTTGAAAAATAATATGTGACCTTATTAAGGTTGCAGCAAAATTCTGAACATGCACCCTGACCTTAAAATTTGAGCTACTTTTATAACCAAAAAAACTTTATGGCTTTTTTTAAAAATATATTGGTACATTAAAAATGATATCACATATTCAGATAAGTAAAGGCTTTACAGTACCTACTCACTAAATAAGATCAATTTTTAGCCAGATGGAATATCCTCCACACAAGCACTGCTTGGTGATCACTTAGGCAAAACAGCCCTAACTCACGTCACCATACTAGTCAATAGGAATAAGGGCAAATGCCTGATTTTTTATCTCAAGTTATGGATTTATGTGGCCCCACTGGCCTATCTGAGGTTCAAAAGCAATGTCTAAGCTACATTTTGACACTAAACTCAACAGGGGTCAAACATCTACTTTTTGAAATAATTGGTCAATTGCGACACTACCCCCTCTCTCTGCCGTCAGAAACTGAAATTCACAAAAAATGAAGACGAAATTAAAATGCCATTTGACTAAAAATTTTCAGATTACCCAAATAAACGTATTTTCAGAAGAAATGGCATGTTATCATTGCAAAAAGATGACAACTGTACCTACATACTAGCTTACTGACTTGTCATGATCACAATTGTGTTGGGACTACATTCATTTTTTAATACTTCTTTTTATTATCGCACTTTACTTCTTTTTATTATCGCACTTTGAAAAAGTGCTATATTGTCGTCGTCTTGTGCTGTTGGGCGGGTGTGCGGGCGGGCGTGCGGGTGTGCGGGCGGGCGGGACATAAACCAAATCTTGTCATCAAATTTCCAGGATAACTGCTTACCTGTTCAACTTTAAATTTTTACAGATGCAAGAGCAGACTAGTACCAAGATCTGATTAGGTTAAGGGCATGCTGGGTAAACTATGTGGCGGCCATTTTGAATTTTTCAACAAATCTTGTCATCAAAATTCCAGGAAAACCACTTATCCGTTCAACTTGAAATTTTCACAGATGCAAGAACAGACTATTGCCAAGATCTGATTAGGTTTTGGGTATGCTGGCTGAATTACATGGTGGCCATTTTGAATTTTTCAATTTGGCGGCCATTTTGAATTTTTCAACTTGCTCCAAATTGACCAAATTTTTTTTTAAAAAACATCTACAAGTTCTCAGAAGTTCAAATCTGACCTTAGATTTCAGATTTGACATTTCGTTCACCTTCAGTGACCTTGAAAAGGTCAAAAAAGTTGATTTTCTAAATTGATATTTTGGATTTAAATTTAGGTCAGCTTAATTACAAAACACCTACTGAGGTCTGAAAAAGTTAAATTTTCAAGGTCGAAGGTCAAGGTCATTAAACTAGGTCACAAATGATGTTATCCAAGTTTCTCAAAGTTTGAGACTACAAATCAATTCTTGTCATCAAAATTCCAAGAAAACCGCTAACCTGTTCAACTTGAAATTTTAACACATGCAATAGCAGACTAGTGCCAAGATCTGATTAGGTTAAGGGCATGCTGGGTAAACTACGTGGCGGCCATTTTGAATTTTTCAACAAATCTTGTCATCAAAATTCCAGGAAAACCACTTATCCGTTCAACTTGAAATTTTTACAGATGCAAGAGCAGACTATTGCCAAGATCTGATTAGGTTTTGGGTATGCTGGCTGAATTACATGGTGGCGATTTTGAATTTTTCAATTTGGCGGCCATTTTGAATTTTTCAACTTGCTCCAAATTGACCAAATTTTTTTTTAAAAAACATCTACAAGTTCTCAGAAGTTCAAATCTGACCTTAGATTTCAGATTTGACCTTTCGTTGACCTTCAGTGACCTTGAAAAGGTCAAAAAGTTGATTTTCTAAATTGATATTTTGGATTTAAATTTAGGTCAGCTTAATTACAAAACACCTACTGAGGTCTGAAAAAGTTAAATTTTTAAGGTCGAAGGTCATCAAATTAGGTCACAAACAATGTTATCTAAATTTTCCCAAAGTTCAAGACTACAAATAAATTCTTGTCATCAAAATTGCAGGAAAACCGCTAACCTTGTCAACTTGAAATGTTTACAGATGCAAGAGCAGACTAGTGCCAAGGTCTGATTAGGTTTTGGCCATGCTGGGTAAATTGCATGGTGGCCAGTTTGCTCTTCAAAGTGCGATATTTATCACTGTGTGTCTTGTTCTTTTTTTATTGGTAAACAACAGATGCAATCACAGTATGTCTGTCATCTCTGGAGCTATGGGGCTTTCCCTCTTTGTTCAACCTGATGAGTTCATACATGATAAAATGTGTTTTGTTTGGTAAGAGTTGCCTGCCTGGGGAGATTTGTAATGAATTATTAAAATGGTTTAAGGGATAAATGGCATCAGATACCAACACTACAAACATTATTAAAATCAGGCTATAAATTGCATTTTCCAATTGGTTTGTCTATCAGCAATTATTTCATTTTTTGTGTTTTACATGCTATTAACTAATGGAATACAGATTTCTATACCATCAGTCTATTGTATTATGTAGCATAGCAACCCTGGAATACGAGGGTCATTCAATAAATGCTAGATTTTATACAAATGCTCTCAATTCCATGTTTACGAAGGAATTGACATGACGTTTTCATGGACTGACCTCAATGTGTATGAGTATGGGATACTTGGCCATTATTTGGCATATACATTGCTGGCAATCTCTGAAATTCCTTCCTGATTCCTTTTTGACATGAAAGTAATATTTGTATCACAACTTATTGAACAACCCAGAGTCAGTTAGAAAAGTAAAATAAGATAAAAGGCTATGAAGGATCATTACTAACAATCCTACGTTAATTAATAAAAAAGAATTTTCAAGTTATGGTTTACAGAGAAATTATTTAGCATATATAAAACCATTTATAAGAGATATAACTGTAAAAAAAATATCATGAATGTGGAGGATACCATTGATGTGATATTTATTATACTAACAGCAACTGTAGGAATACCGGGGAACATTTTGATAATCATCGCTATTATTTATGACAAGAAGCTTCGAGTGTTACCTAACATATTCACTGGAAGTATCGCCATTGCTGATATCATTCTACTAGCAACTGCGAATCCAATAATGGTAATCAGTGTACAAAATGTTGGAAATGTATCAGATACATTCTGCCAGGTGGGCGGAGTTATGGTCATTCTCAGCTGTGGAGTGTCAATCAATACCCTTGGGGTTCTTGCTGTGAACCGCTACATGTACATTTGCAACAAAAAAATGTATGAAAAATACTTTAATAGTTTAGTTAAATCAATGATGTTTGCAATAGCTGTATGGATATATATTGCTTTATGGATATTGCCTAACTACATTGGATGGAGCCAGATTGCTTATGGCCACAAGCAGCACCTTTGTACAATTGATCACACATACAATGTCTTATACACAATACTTGTATCCAGTGTGGCCATTGGCCTACCAGCAATCATGGCATTCATCAGTTATATGAAAATATTTTTGGTGGTTCGCAAAAGTTCTAAATCAGTTGGAAGTCACAATGTCAGTTCATCAACTGGTAATAATGCCAATAAAAAAGCTAGACCTGACAGACAATTACACGTAAGACAAATTTTAGTTTTCTTCTTCGTCTCTTTTGTATTTGTTATAGTTTGGACACCCTATGCAATTTGCATTCTGTTTGATAAAAATGATAATGTTCCGATGTGGGTAATGAGGCTGGCAACAAGGATGGCAAATGTGAACTCTTGCATGAACTGTATCATTTATGGAGTCATGAACAAACATTTCAGAAATGCCTACAGAAAGATTATATTTTTCTGGAGAAAAGCAGATTCCAATGCGACAGATTCGATTTGAACTACTATGGAACTAAACAATGACTGATATAACTGAACATTTGGATATGAGTGCTTAATAAGACCATATACGATATGCTATATGGAGAGTGGTGGTCTGTAGACAGTCCTTTTACTTACTTTTAGACTTAGTAGATCTAAATAGACCCCATTTGACCCATGTCTCCTGTGTTACTACACAAATATTGAAATACATTTGAATAAGAACCACTGAGACAAAGATATGTAGTGTGTTTCATAATGACCTTAGCTTGTCCCATAAAGTTCTAATCCCAGATAGTATACTACACCGTATATGCTATGAAAGTTGACTTACTGATACAATTTTGATTAGCTCAACAACATTTTTTACAAATTGATCCAGATCTTTACAAAAGCTACCCATTTGACCTTTAATATTCAATCTGAAAATGCGTGACATATACTCAATTCGCGTGAAAATTCTGAACGAACTGCATTCATTTTTGGCATTTGTTTTTTATGTTTCCATGTTTGGTTTTTTGATGTTCTTCTCCGGAAACATTTTTGCTTGACAATAATCAGAAAAAATGTTTATTTGCGTGACATATTCTGTCACGCAAAAGAAACTGGTGTGACATCAATTTCTTCCCCAAATGAGTGACAAATATGCAAATTGCAGGACATATGGGTATCATGTCATATCATAAGAGTAGATTTTGCCAAAAGGAGACATTTGCTACCATCTGGTCTTTTCTATCATGAAATATTCAACATGCAATCTATTTTGTTTGGACGTTTTTTTTGACTTGAGGAGTTGGTGCTCTTATAGTTTATAAAAATCGTGATTTTCTTTTATCCTGCTTTCTCATCCTTGGATCCATTTTTAATTCCCTGGTTCAAAAAAACTGATGTTGCTGTTTTAAGAATGTTGCGTCAGTCACATTTTTAACTACAGTGTACATGGTATACCTATCCGCGAGTTTAATGATGTAACATATTTTCAAGTTATAGTGGCTATGACCCCCCAAGAGGGAGTATTGGGTGCCACATAATGGTATTCACAATGGTTTGTGATATATTCTAATATGATATGTTACGTCACACTAGCTAGAATAATTGATTTACTGGTCTATATTGGAGTATGTATGACCGCTAAAATTCTTAAATGCAAATAGTTGTGTTTCTTGTCTATTTATCATATTATTATCATATTAGAATCGTAACAAAGACCTCGAATTCATGATTTATGTTAAATATATGACCTCAAAATTTATTCTGGGCATTGCCAAAGACCTCAATCGCTACGTGATTTTGGTCTTTTAATTTTCGGTCATATATTTATTATTTATTTATTTTGATCTACACTTTTGAAACAGTGGCACGCTCTGCAATGCAAAGGTGCGTCAAATGTACATATTAAGATAAAACAATTATTACAACTTACTAAAAACATTCATTTTGAGTATTTAATATAAACTGATTTTAAAAACCTTTTAAAACATTTGTCAAACATTCTACCTTGTTCTTTCCCCCAAATTTCAAAGACATCATCCACTAACATGTATTTTAGCTTCTCCTCAGGAGAGAGAGAGATGAATTCAGCTACTAAAAGAGCGTCACATTTTGAAGTTACATCATTTATAAATTGTAACCTTTCATTAATGAACTTAGGGCATACAATGAATCGGTGAATTAAATCTTCAATGTCATTACTTTAACAATGAGGGCAAATTCCATCACTTTTCTTCCATCGTTTATTATCCTCCTCCAAGTTAAAGCACCCAGTATTACGCCATACATCATAAAATCTCGATCTTTATTCCTTAATTATAAGAAATGCACCTGGAATTATGTGAAGTAATGGCGAAAATAAAGTGTTTAATGGAAATGGTTAAAGGTCTTTTTTACAATAACAGGTCCATAACAATAAAAAAAATGTGAAAAGTAACAGAATATATAACTTCAAGATCACATTATAAAAATAGTACGACATGACAACATCTGCTGAGATTTTACAGTATACAGTACAATTGTAGACCTCTCTTGAGGAATTAATTCTTGGGATTAAGGAAGGGGTACCATTTACACAATTTGAGGAATCATTGGCATACATGAAACCTATTTAAAACAGCATTAATATTATTCAAAAGCGATCATAATAATGATTCTTAGCCCTCTAAGTTTGAAAAATAAAAATACCTGGGTGATAATCCATAGATACTCCTTGAAAATGAGAAATATTTTTTATGATTATATGGTGTAATCTTATAGTCAATAAAATGTTTTAAAGTGTATTGATATTTTAAACACAAGCGAAATGCATGAAAAAGCTCCCCAGATTCATTCTACAAACAACTCGTGGTCCTTTGTCATTAAATTCTTTGGGTTATTCATTATGTGAACTGCTAAATAGCCACTTTTTGTTAAATAAAGATAGAGACATTTTCTTTTAAAATATATTGGTACACTAAAAAGATTTCACCCATTTTAAATAAAGTAAAGGCTTTTCACTACCTAGAGGTACAACAAAATCAATTTTTAGCTTGATTAAATATTCACCACAAGCGCTGCTAGTTGATCACTTACTGCTTACTGGTGATTGACACACACAAAACTTTGCATGATGTGAAAAGCAAGACAAACTTGAAAAAATTGAGAATGGCAGAGCCGGAAATAGGTGTTATTTCCCTTTATTAAAAACTGGAAATTGGAAGATGAAATTGTAAAAGTTTCCATAACTGTATGTCACCTAACTGTCAATGATGGCACTTGAAAATCGATTGTCAGCCATTCTGATTAAAGGATATAGCCAAAAATTGTTTTGTGTAGCAAAGCAACCCTGGAATACGAGGGACATCCAATAAATGCCAGATATAATACAAATACACTCGTTTTCATTGATATGAAGTTTTCAAGAATCGGGGCAATATATGAGAAATTGTTTGCTACTCTTAATACTGGCCAAACATTATGAGTTATATTTGGTACATGTATTTGTGAAAGAAAAAATTTAATATGTAATGATGAGGAAACTCTATCTCTTTATCTGTAGCCTGGTATTTGCTATATCTTGATCTACTACTTGATTCATCTTTAATTTGGCGATTTTGTGTTTTTGGCCTATTGGTGTCTCATGGCTTAAAGCAACACATTTCAAATTTCCTGAAAATCAAATCTTCATATAATCCTCTATGATTACTTTATAAACATGGAAATAAGAATATTTGTATTACTACTTATTGAACAACCCTTGTAAAGTCAGCTGGAAAAGTAAAATAAGATAAAAACTGTAAGAGATTGGTTCTGACAATCCTACATTAATTATTTAAAAGATAATGTTCAAGTTGTAATTTACAGAGAAAAATTATTTAGCATATATATATAAAACCATTTATAAGAGATATAATTGTAAAAAAAGATCATGAATGTGGAGGATACCATTGATGTGATATTTATTATACTAACAGCAACTGTAGGAATACCGGGAAACATTTTGATAATTGTCGCAATTATTTATGACAAGAAGCTTCGAGTTTTACCTAACATATTCACAGGAAGTATCGCCATTGCTGATATCATTTTACTAGCAACTGCGAATCCAATAATGGCAATCAGTGTACAAAATGTTGGAAATGTATCAGATAGATTTTGCCAAGTGGGTGGAGGTATAGTCATTCTCAGCTGTGGAGTATCAATCTACACCCTTGGAGTTCTTGCTGTGAACCGCTACATGTACATTTGCAACAGAAAAATGTATGAAAAATACTTTGATAGTTTAGCTAAATCAACGACTTTTGCAATAACTGTATGGATATATATCGCCATCTTGATATTGCCTAACTACGTTGGATGGGCCCAAATGGCATATATGGACAAACAACACCTTTGTGTAATTGATCACACATACAATGTCTTATACACAATACTTAAAGCAAGTGTTGGGATTAGTCTACCAGTAATTGTAACTTTCACAAGTTATATGAAAATATTTCTGGTGGTTCGCAAAAGTTCTAAATCGGTTGGAAGTCACAATGTCAGCTCATCAACTGGTAATGATGCAAATAAAAAATCCAGACCTGACAGACAATTTAAACAAATTTTAGTTTTCTTTTTCGTCTCAATAGTATTTGTTATATTTTGGACACCCTATGCAATTTGCATTCTGCTAGATATAAATAATAGTGTTCCAATGTGGTTAATGAGGCTGGCAACAAGGATGGCAAATGTGAACTCTTGCATGAACTGTATCATTTATGGAGTCATGAACAAACATTTCAGAAATGCCTACAGAAAGATTATGTTTTTCTGGAGAAAAGCAGATTCCAATGCAACAGATTCGATTTGAACTCCTGTGTAACTAAACAATGTTTGATTTAACTGGTCATTTGGATATGAATGCTTAAGACCGTATACAATATGTTAAATGGAGAGTGGGGGTCTATGGACAGTCCTTAGGGTTATTTTACTTACTTTTAGACTCAATGGATCTAAAGTAGACCCCATATGACCCTTGCCTCTTGTGTAACCAAACAAAGATTGAAAGACAGTTGGATAGGAACTATTGAGATCAGGATGTGCTGTGTTTCATAATGACCTTAGCTTGCCCCATCACGTTCTAATCCAAGATGGTTCACTACACCGTTTGTTATGAAAGTTTATTCAATTGTGGATTTACTGATACAATTTTGATTAAGCTCAACACTTTTTATGTCACTACCACAGACCACAAGTGATGACATACTCTTATTTTTTGGGAGCAGTGGTTGGTGTTAAGTGGTTGGTATCTGTAACAAATGGCAGGATGTGACATTTTGCATTTTAATGCCTTGTTATCATTATACTTGTGTTCAATCTGTGACAAAGAGATAACCATTGTATCCATTGTTCATATGTTGAAAGGAAATCGACCAGATTTAGCTGAAACAAGAGCCAAATTTTGATTTCTGCAGAGGAATGATTGATTCAGCCATTATTTCTGCGTGGGGTGGTTTGTTTTGTGTGAGATAAATTATAACCAGCTTTTAAATTAAAAAGTGAATTGTGTAAAAAATCGTATGCTCAAGGATGAGTAATCCACGAGTCGATATCTCTAAAACAATCTAGTTTTGACCAATATCTAGAAAACTTTGTCGCAGATTGTTTTCTAAAATGCTTACTTTGTCACTATTAACCCATTTATGTTTTACAATGTATATAAGGATTAATTCATCTATAATTGTTGTACTTTAAGTCATCATGGTCAAAAATATAATATTTTCTGTCACAGACCTTGAAAATAGGTAAATTGTATTCTTTTCAAAAGAACTAGAAAAAAGGAAGAAAATGAAGTATTTAGCTGTTATGTTTTTGAACCAATATACACCAATGATCTAAGTGTTGTCCATTCCATTGCAGACACACTTCTGGATTCTGCTGGCTAAGTTTTTGACCACATTTGCCTGACATAAACCCTCCAGATCTTTTAGGGCACTTGAGGGATCATGCGATGTAACAAAGTCCCAAACCATAAACACTTGAAAACATAGATCACAACAATCAAAAAAGCTCATGATCACAAGAATGATCTGTGGAGGAATATGTTAGGGTTGTCAATAACTTTTCCCATAGAATCCAGGGTCCCTGACATATAGAGCACATCTTATAATGCATTCAGTTGAGCTAGTTATCTGAAACTTCTTGTGGAGTTGTGGGGTCTAGTTTCAATGTGCTAAAGAACAAGTCACAAATCAAGCAGACAAAAAAGTACTGCATTATTATGTGGATGGCACATTTTCTCGTGTCACCCTGTATTTGCAGATTCTAGTTCGATGTTAAATTGTTGCATGCATACAACAAATATGTAATTAAATATTAAGTACTATTAAATATTAACTACTATTAACTGCTATTCTCAATGATGACACCGATACAATTGTTAGAAAGGAGTGGTATCGATATGGTGCACTTTTTGAACACATGTTTCTCTTAAACCAGTCATAGAAAATCTAAAAATTTAAAACATCGTCAATTTAATGGTCATCTTTTGAATGGTAACATATTTCATTCTCAAGAATTGGTAGAAAGGAGCAAAAACAATTGCTCTCAAAAACAAAAAATGTTAACAAAAACAGTTGTATAAAATATTTCTAAATAATTTTCGCAATAAATTGTTGTCAATCAGTCAACATTACATAAAATACCGTGTTTTTGTACAGAATGATTTCCATAATTGATTTAAGAGAAAAACATTGTTGAATTCAGTTCACCATATTGATACCTATCCTTTCCCAACATCTATACAACAAACGCCCAATAGGAACATTACTACTCGTATATCATAAGATCACAAAGATTAATTAATAATATCAACTTTAAAGCATTTAAAGCATTTGTCAAAAATGTTTAATAACAAATATTTCAATTTAACCTCTCATAGTCATACATTCATCATAAAGACTACTCCATTGTGACAAGTACATTAGTTAATAGAAAAACAAGTTTCCATTACATATATTTTATAAACAAAGGAAAGAACTTACAGCATACCACTCAAGGATTACTCTTTCATGTTTTTATTGGAAAGTTTTACGTGTTGATTATAAAAGTTTTTTTATCTTTGATAACTCACGTACCAGATTTGGTTCAAATTTTATACACTGATGCCTTATGGCAACAGGACCTCTACTCAAGAAGGAATTTCTCATATATTAATATGATGTCATATCATAAGCAAAGATTTTGCCAAAAGGAGCTATTTACTACTGTCTAGTCATTTCTATCATAAAATATTCAATAAAAATAGGTTTTATTTGGTGGGATTTGTTCCTGGGATTTGTTACCCGAGTTGCTACTCTTCTCGTTAATAAACCTTGATTCATACTTCTTCTATTCTGTTTTCTCATCATTAGATCAATTTATAATTCCTTGATTCTTAAAAACTGATGTTGCTGTTTTAAACTGTTGCATCAGTCACATTTTGAACTACATCTACTGATATGCCCATTTTTGAGTTTAATAATGGAGTTGAAATCTTTAAAGTGAGGAAGCCTTGTCTAGTTCTCTGTATATTTATTTTTTTAGTCTTCTCCTTTCCATTGATATATAACATTGTGTGTGGGTTCATTTTAGGTGGTGGTGGCAGTCCATACTTGAAACAGCCTGCAAAGAGAAGAACTTCAGATCCTAAAGGGTAGGTTCATAATCAAAAACATATTTCATGATATGAGATTAGAAATATATATTTGCAAATTAAACTAATTACTGAGATGTTCACTTAAATTGCTCATATGAACATTGATCTAAAATTGTTCCGCATGTTTCAAAATCTGTACTTTCTAGTGTCCTTCTAGGCATTTGACACACCTTCTCTGAGTATTGTGTCTTCTAGCAAAAATCTTTAATACACTGTATTTCATTTTTGGCTGTGTTGTAAGAATCCACCATAATTTCTAACAAATAACTACAATTTTGACAAGTTAAGAGATGATAATTTCATACTATCTTCTTGTACTTGTAGGCCAAGTATGAAGACTACAGTACACAATGTTGGTGGTGCTAGCAGTGCTGATGTGGTGCCAAGGATGGTGTTCGAAGAGAAAGAACAAGAATGTCTGGCTAAAGAGGAAACAATACAGGTATGCAACAATACAGGGCAGTATTCTTACAAGATATCCCTCAAAATATATAATATAAAATAAGAAATATTCATCCATCGAGTGTGTATTGATGATATTTAAAAAAAACATTGGATGACAAAGTGAACGTTTGAGATTAATGATTACAAAAGTAAAAATGAGTGTGGAAAAAAGAAAAAGGAATTCCCTTCATAAATCTGGAAATTTTTCAAAAATTTAGCTCTTGTTCTATTTAAAATGCAAATACATGGTGAAAAATTTAAATCATCAACCATCTTTTGATATCTGAAACATGTGTGTTAGATTTTTGCTAAAAAATGATATATTGATCTGCATATCAAATATATCCTATCAACTATGAGATAATGATATTTCCAATTTTTAAAGAAGAAACATGAACAACTTCTAGAATGAAAAATGATGGCTTTATGACTAAATTGACATTTTAGAAATTCACTTGTAACTTTCTGTTTCAGATATTACAGGCCAAGATAAGGCGGTTAGAACATTTAATACACTTGAAAGATGTACGCATAGATGACCTGCAGCAGAAAATGGAACATTTGAGACCAACTGGGGGAAGACGGTGATTTATACTAAAAGTATGCAACACTTACAGGGAAACCAGGTTAAGTGGAACACCCCTAGAACTGGAACACCTCTGTCAGTGGAACACTTTTCAGAATCCCAAGATCAATTGACTAATGTTAGATGAACATATATAAGAACAGCCCCTCTATATAATAAGCAATTGATAGCAGAATGTAAATATTAACTTGTAAATATGAATATTTTTTCACAAGGTGCCACTAGAGATATCAGCCTATACAGATTAAATGTATCACTGTTGAGTGTTGATACATATCAGGTATTTCTTGACAAGATCCAGACCTCAGGACATGTCATATATTGAACAAGAATACAGAAATGTTCACTTTTTGAATTCACAAGAACTTGAGTTGACAGGCTCTAGTTTTGAAATTTCATTTCAGTTTGAGTGGTTTTCATAATGTAGATACTGTTAATATTCCACAGATGTTGTATTTTATTTTCATAAAGATGAATGTACATTTTACATGGAAATAAAACCAGATACATTATAGGACATTATAGTAGAATGAAACCTATCTCTCAAACTCAAGTTATATTTAAACATTTTGGCCTTAGCCCCTCAAGAAAATGGAGAAACAAATGAAGAACAAAACATATGTGTGAGATGCACACAAATATGACCAGAACCTCTCGAGTTCATAGTCTCAAGGCAGTGCAATATTAGTATCCCATAGTACAAAATTGTACAGCTTCTCAAGTTAACTCATCATTCAAACACAGGCCTCCAGAACTCGTACCTCCTTCTTCTGGAAAAAGGAACGCATTCAGAAGATACAGTTAACTCATTTGTATAGTTTAGCAACTCTAAGAAGTTATTGTAGCATCTGGTAGTGGTAAGGCAACCAATTTGTATCTATCACAAACCAAGTTCCAAATTTTGGCAAACCTGATATTGAAGCAGTCATGTTTTCAGTCAATGTAAGAGGCCTAAAAAGTGATAATCCTTTTCACAATACTTGTTTGTTCAGAAGTTAAAGCTCATGAATGTATAAATATTTTATGTTGGACATCAGACTCTATCAGTAAGAACATATTTAAGACATTCCTTTCTCAATGTTTGGCATTTAATTTAGAGCCTAATTGTGAAGTACCTTTTTTTAATAAATAATTCACACATAGCTAGGTTTTGTATAAGGTTTAACATTCCAGCCAATCAGAAACACAGCAATACATTATGCATTTTATATTTAACAACAGATAAACTGTTATTTTTATATTCATTGAAATTGATTACCCTTATCAGTTTCATATTTTTCATATAAGTTAACCTTGAAAAAAGCGTTCTCGTTGAATTTCATTCTAATTCTCTTTGGTGATATTGTACAAAATCTTTTGCTTGTGAAAAGACCCATGACTCAAAGGATTGTGGGTGGTTTACTGCTCTTGTGCTTGTGTCTTATATACTATCCTTGTACTTCATTCTCCCGCCCTCGTTCAAAGTCTCATATTAGACCATCATGCATAAATCGTCCACAATTGATTGAGTCCTTGGATATTCTTTACCCTCAAATATGACCAGATTTATAAATGTATCATATTAATGTAAGTTAAAAACTGTTTCAGTTACATACTGTTTATTTATAAATAAAAAGTTTTTTAATAGATGGTGAAAAAGAGTCAATTGAAATTCAATCCTTTTCAAGAAGACCTACTCCTGTAATGAGTCATGTAATAAATTTTATGTTTTTAGAGTTTTTCAAATTATTTATGGAAGCACAATATGTAAAATAATGTATTTGTAAATATACTAGTATTCGATGTAATAAAAGTTTAAAACTTTAATTTAGGTTTTAGTGCAATTAAGTTATGTGTACTTGTACACTTAATATAATTCCATCTCTTTCAACTTATATAAAGGGACAGCAGGTGACACAGACAATTTCAAAACTTATGAAAAACTCCTCTGATCCATATTTTCAATTACATGTTCCTCCATTACATATTCAATAATTAGATCAGATCTAAAAATATTTTTCAGATATTAGATTTGGGGTGTTGAGAGACACACTGACATGATATTATTACCCTCTATCCCATTAGATATTCTGAGTACTAAAATAGTTCTCATTTCATCATATTAGTACTAAATAAGCACCAATTCAATGAGTTTTGATTTATTGCATTTTGTGTACTAAATGAGTACTCATATGAAGAGTGATAAAATAGCACCAATTTCATTGATTTTTTGATTACTCAATGAGCACTCACACTATGAGCACTGATTAAGTGCATGTTTTAGTACTAAATGAGTAATCATATCATAAATTAGTACTAAATTAGCACTTGTGGCATGAGTGCTCATGAGAGCGCTTTTGCCAGAGTGCTAATTTAGTACTAATTTTGTACTATTTTATTACTCAACATATCTCCCTATAGTCTAGATTTTTAAAAATATTCAAGTTATTTCTTAAGTGACAGCACTGCCTGGTTGTAGTTGGTTCAACATATTTAATTAGGGCAGAATGGTCTGGAAAATGAACTCAAAGTCACTCCAATGAACACAAGGAATGTTTGACTATTTATCTTTCTCCAGGATCGAAAAACAAAATGCAGGTACATGCAATATAAAAAAAACATTGTTTTGCTGGTGGTGAATGATGATTTCGTCAGTGAAGAGTTTTGATATTTTTAATATTGAAGTGATTGATAAATTTCATCCTTTTAATATTTCGTATGTTGAGGGGATGGGGAACCATAACAAATCAATTGTTTCTCCACGACTGTTGCATTTTCAATAGTTTTTCTTCAACATCACGGTGCTTAAATATACATATGTTATAAAACATAAACAGAGAGCCATTTGTACTACCAAAACCCCTGAGTCATATGTAATGTTAAGAGATACCCTGGGAATGTTTATTAGTATCATCTTCCTATTTTGTATTCAAAGCATTCAACTCATATAATGTCAAAAAACATCCTTATTGACTCAACCACATATGACTGTGCATAAAATCTAGTAGTTACTGTAAAATAATCTACATGCATTTTGAAAGTTTTGGAAATCACATTGAAATACCAATTGCAAATCTTGGTACAATTTTCCATATATTGCATTGCCAAACTGTCCAAAAGTCACATTATTGTGATCTAAGCATAAAGAAAGAGTGACATTCTTGTATAAAACTGGCAAATGGCACACTCGGATGCTCACTGTGGTGACATTTTGAGAATACAAATTGTTCCAGTCATGAAATATCAAAACTCAGAGATAAACAGTAAGCACTGATGATAGGGCATATAAAAATAAAGTTTTTTTTTCGCTGAATGCTTTTTATGTCGAGTCATGATGATATAAAAGTTCCCATTGAATAATATTAGAATTTAAGAAAAGAAGTTATTCTGTTTTTATTGTTGGAATCCTTTTCTATTTTGATTTATTATTGCAATGACACGGATCCATCTGAAAAGACTCGGTGATTGCATAAATACCCTCGTTAAAAGAAAAGTGAAAGATAATTTATTTTACAGCCACTGATTCATAATCAGCCTGGCTCTTATTCAAAGTGGTAAAACATTAGTAAATAGCAAATGTATGTCTTAAAGGGCATTGCTTATTCTATGGTAATCAACTCTTGTTGCAGATCCTAGATTTGAATTTCAATGGAGCCATATCTTTATGTTATATATCAAATGAAAGAACTTCATCAGAATTTGTTTATCATACGCATCATGGAGTTGCAATGCTGAAGCAATTTCATGACAAGTCATTAACATGCAAAATGTAACCACCTGCCATATGTTACAGACATCATTTGTTACAGACCCGAAACAGTGTCCACAAAAAGTTGGAGACTATAACAATATGTCACCACTTTTGGTGGTGAAATAAAAAAACACCTGAGATAAAAATAAAAGCCTTTGAGTCTGATGCTCACCCCTGCTTATATATATTTGGGATCTTGACAATCTGTGACCTGATTAAACTTTCTATTAATAGCAAAAAGTGCTTATTTTTTAATTTCTACAATTGTTTGTGAATAAGAATGAGGTTTAAATAAAATTTAATTAAAATCGTATACCTTTGGCAAAAAAACTTCTTATAGTGAATATATTATATATTTGAAATATAAAGACAATATTCAATGAATAAGATCAAAATGAAACCTATTCATATTATAAGTTACCAACAGTAATTGGCACAACTATCTCTTCCAAAAATATCTGAAAATATAAGGATTCGTGAATGACATGATTTTAATCCATTCATGGATGTGATATCTGCAAAAACAATTAACCCTTTCCCATAAACATGGAAAAATAGGTGGCATTATAGGTGTTGGTAGGGCTAGAATACACGGCAGCCTATAGCAAGAGTCACTTAATTTCTTGATTTAACCATTGGAATCTACATGTGGATTGTGATTTCACATTAAAATTGTGATTCCTTTAAGATTAAATGAACTTTTAAAGGTTTTTCAACATTTTGTCAATGGGGATTTAGCCCAACCTTTTTTAAAACACTTGAAAATCTTAAAAATTTGAATAAATGTAAATAACTGTACAAATCAAAGTTGTTTTGATAGAAAATTACACACAGAATTCAAATATGCCATCAAATAGAAGCAAATGTTAGTCTTTAATGGCTAAAAATGCAGATCTTCTAAAATCTCATTAAAACTAGACTTTGACGAGATTTCAAAGCTATATGGAAAAGACTATCTATTGATTGATCAACTTTCCAAACGATAGATTTGATAGAATGAATTTCATGGTTTAAATGTTATATTCTATAGTTCCGTGAAAAGGCTATAAATATGATATTTTTCCACTTGGTTACAAAAATACCATTTGTATTCTGTACATGATATCCTATAAATACTTTCCAAATTATTGTTACATCAAGCAACATCCTTTAAGGATATTATTCATAAAGATATACAGTAAAACCTGCCCGATGGAACACCTCTCTTGTTTTAAGAAGCGTGAATTGCTTAAGCCCATATCTGATTATGATAATCCAATTGCTAACAGGATGGAACATCCCACCACTGTTAATTACCTCTATATTGTTATTATTATTAATTGCCATGACATTATTCTTTCTAAAACAAAACTTGATTGGAACTGACCGGTTGAGATAACGGAATCCAGGGATTGACACAATCGTTTTTTAAAGATAGGAAAAATGTATTTGTGTCATGTTGAGCCAATCTCTAAAGTTTTTCAATGATCCTTGCACGGATGAAAATGTTAACTTATAAAGCTTAATTCAATTCAATCTTATTTTCTTCGTAATCAAAGAATAAAATGCTCATAACAATAAATTTGATTCAGAGTAGGAACCCTCTCTATATGGACACCTGTCAAGAAGGAACAATTTTGTCCAGTCCAGAGACTGTTCCTTGTTTACAGGTTTTGCTGTATTACTTTTTTTTAAATAGCATTTACACAAAGAAGCTTTCAAGCTAAAACATTTAAAAAATGATATTTCTTTATCCAATCAGATTGGTCTAAGGATTAAATCACTACCATATAAGGAGTTGATTCTTAAGTAAATTGGTGGGGTGTTTGGCTGAAAATTCAGAAGGTGCTTTAAACGTTAAAGTGAATGCAACAACGATACCGGCAACACTAAAGTAGCTCATAAATTGCTATTTAAACACCTTACACAATGAAACCAGATCTTTCAATTGGAAAAGAGGAAAAAGGTGATGTGCAAATCTTCACATCTGGCCATGTAAGTAATTGTGCAATAGTTGCATGTTGATGCATTGATTGATTTACTTTAAAAAAACTTAATATACTGATATAAAGTAATTGTGTTAAAGTAATAGTTGTTGATGTATTGATTGATTTACTTAAAAAAATGTTATAAACTGATATAAAGTAATTTTGCAATAGTTGTGGATGCATTAATTGATTTACTAAAAAAAACTTAATAATTATATGAGTACCAATATGTACAAAATACTCAATAATAACAATATTCTAGATGCCTCAACCAACACCAAGTGATGCCCCTAAAAAGAATGGAACAAAATATGTTTGTGTGGCTGTTACTGTTGTCTTAGTTGTTGGCATGGTGATAGGAGGATTCTTTGGAGCATCTTATATAATGCATCACACAACATTGAAGGTAAGCATTTTTAATATTTAGAGCTGTGTATTCATTTATTAAAATAATTTTTTTTATTATTTTTTAAAAATTATTTTGCAAGTATTTCTGCAGTTCTATATATAATGACAAATCAAATTGAGACCAATATATGATACACTGAAAAATTTTGTATCAGATAGTTAAAATTGTTTCGGTTAAAAACATCCATTTAGACAATGTAACCATGGTAATTCCCCATTGGTCACTGACCATAGACTAACCTGAGATAACCCAGAGTACGACATTTACTTTGTATGGTACTTCTGACCATCTTATAAATTTTAAAAATATACCATAGATAGATCTACTATGATCTGACTATTGTTTTACCATAATGTTGACCACATTCATAATTTGGACCAAAGCGATGTTGATTAGTTGACCAGTGTATAACATAGTTAAGGCAAATTAATGTTGATCATATCGCCATAGTACTAGTATGTAAATATTCAGATTTAGCTTCATTTTTAAACATCATTGACAGACAATTGAAACAACCATGAATGCTGCAGGCAGACACATAAAAGAGAAGATCCAGATTGATGAGGATAAAGAGACCACCACATTGGAGGGAATTGATGATCAAACTCAATATATGCTCATCATGGACTACAAACATGTAAGTGACAGAAGCGTGTTTCAGTACAAGATAAAAAAATCTACATGATTTGATGCCATACATTACATTAATTCTATAATAGCTATATAAATATAAAAGATGAACATAAACAATTTTTAAGTCCTTGGAAAGATGTTATCAGACTGGTGAATATGTTATCAAAATCAACATATTGTACAGAATTAGAAGGACATATGGGCCACCAAAGAAAAAGTGTAAACGTATCAAAACCATGAATGTTGTCAAATTGTCAAATTAAAATGAGCTTTGTGTTCTATTAGATTTTCATCGTTGTAATATATTTGTATGTTTGATGAAACACAATATCTATAATAACAGAAGATAATTGGGAACTTTGATATCATAAAATATATCTCTACTTTGGATGTAATCACTGTACAGTTTAATTTTATAAATGTTATGGAAACTATTGTTAATGGTTACCCAAGTGTGATGTGAAGAGTACCTTCTTTCCAGCCAAAAGTATATATATAATAATATTTCATGAATTTACCACGATGCACTCTTGTTATGGCAATGTTAATATAATATGTCTTCAACATGCATGCTGCTTAAAGGGAAATTACAAAACATAATTATTTGAATGTTTTGATTGAATGCACTTTTTGCATTCAGGGCTTAAGTATTAGCAGAATTTGGATGAATGGGAGTGAGCCCCGCTGTTTTGTAGCACACTTAGACAAGGATGGATTTCCAACCATCCAAGAGATGGCAAAATATCTGGAGAAACAACCAGCAAACCCAGAATTTGTGAGTTTTCAATTTTTTGGAACACCTTTATTTACCTATGACTGCAGATTATACATTCATATAATTTATCAAATGTCCTTATGATATTTGACCATGATTTTTAGATCATCATGAAACATCATAAAATATTGTGCAATTTGATCTTTTATCTCCAGTAAGTGAAAACCTAGATGAATTATGAAAGAGCAAAATTCATCAACAAAAACAAGGCCATTTTCTGAGTTGTGTTGTATTATTTTACAGGAGAGCAGTTTTGATCCTACAAGACAGAGCTTCTCTGTCGATATTGATCCAATAGAAGACATCAGTTTCCTTGGAGATGAGGTGGAAGCCATGTGCAAGGGCCTGCAAGCATACTGGGCCCTCCCTAGCAACCCATCAAAACAAGGTTAAAAATTAAGCCACTAATACGCATTGACAAAATATGTGTTTGTTTAGTTAAGCTTCAAACATTTTTACTTATACAATCTAGGTGTGCCTCCCAGGGCTAGCCAGGCTCACAAAATAGGCAAGGCTAATTATTATTAAGACAAACCAAATTAAAGTCAAAAAGATTGTTACAATTGTATTAGAAATTATTTATTATTTTTTGTGTCTAGATACCACCATGCATATGATATACTGATGACAATGGTAAATTGATTAGGCCTAGTTTCCCATATGTCTGACTTTCACAGTATGCACTTCATCATGTTCATAATTACTATTACAGGGAAGGCTCCAATGCGGCAGAAGCGGGATGACAATGATGAAGAAGACATGTTTTATCCGAACGTCACTAGAGATTGCCCCTTGCCAGAGTATGGATTCCTCAGTTGTAACCAGGATACAGAAGAAACATGCACTTATACGTGTTGCGAGTATTATTATTGCGAATTATTTTATTTTCTTGATGAAGACAAACTGAGACTGGAGATATTTGAATGGTGTTTTATTTGGGACTGCACTAAACAAGTGGAAAAAGAAATGTGTGACTGTGTCTATGATTATCAGTACTCGTATTTTGAAGCTGTTGAAGATGACAAATAACACGACAAGTATATTGTTTGCAACTTTTGACAAATTGACTATTCAGAGCAAAACAGGCAAACAATGTAAACGGCCATTTAAGAATGAATGCATGATTAAAATTTGATTTTGTAAAACAAAAATATCAAATCTACCCTGTTCTAATACCATACAAATAAGATACTCTGAGTACAGTAATTTATGATAGTGGGTTCCAATCAGAATCTTCTTATTTATAGACATCCTTATGCAAAATCATTTTTAGACCCTCTTACATAGGTTTCCATGGGTGGAAAACTTATATTCACAAAAACTTTCAGAATGAAAAAAAGTTTCATTATTGTATAACTTACAAAAATGAATATTTCTGGAAGTTCTTATCATTTTTGTTTATGAGGCGTTTATACCTTATATCTCATGTTTTGTGAACTGTTATACCTTCTGCTATAGAATATCTTAAATGAGGCTTTTACATCTTATCTTGATATACCCCACTGATGAAGTGACCTCATTTGAATGGTATAGAGATCACCTATGATTTAAAATTTTGCAAATATGAAAGTTTCATTTTATATGTGTTTTTGTATTTTAAATCCATATGTTTTAAAACATGCTTATATAGTACTAAATATCCAAGATTTGAATAGTGAAACTCAGACATCTTTTAGACATATGAAATTTTAGATTTTATAAACTGCGAAGAAAACTTGGCATATACTCAAAAAGTATTCACATATTTTACATATTGTATTTTTGAATTTATCACACTGTTTTCAAACGGTTTACCCTTCACCCTCTGTTGCCTATCCATTGACATCTCCATGACAACAATGTCATAAAGTACACATATGGTGCACAACAAATTGCATTTTGTCATTTTAATATTCCTATGAACCGAGGGTAGTATCCAAAAGTGTGTATGAAACTAAAATGTTATTTGTGAAGAACTTAATAAATGTAGATTAATTGAATGAACAAGATCCTTGTGGTCTAATAAGTGGCCGGGTCAATATTTCAATGTCAACAAAACATAATTTATTTAGGTCTTAACCCATCTCCCCCTTCTAACGAAAGTCTAATTGATGGTTCCTGCACAGTGTAAAAAATGTAAATGTAGATTTGTATTTTACCAATGCCTGTCAAACTAGAAATTGCCTAAGGCGAAACACAAGGAAAGTAAAAATCAATGTCTGTCAACTAATTAAATAGCATTTACCCCCTCCCCTAATGCAATTAATTAATTTTTGATGGAAATTGAAATACTGACCAAACCCCTAACAGGTCAAAACATCTGGGAATCCTTAATCATACCAAGTAAACCTGTAGGTGGAACTTAAACCTGAACATTTCCTCAAAACGCATGGACATATTATTTTTACATTTTAAACAGCCAAGATTATTAATGCTCTAATATAAAGTTGTCGGGGTTATAAACTGTTGTTTTTGAGTAATATCAATGAGGGAAGGGGGGACCATAACAAATTAATTGTGTTTCCACTACTGTTTATAATTGGACATCATCCCTAAAACTACACACATCATCCTCGTTAACAGATATGGACAATACAGACCATATATGGTCATCAGGCCAAGAATGACACATACTATGGACAAAGGACCCTCAGATCAACTGACACATTCAACATTGACCATAGAGAGCTGTCCAAAGACAACACGAACCATGGTTTAACACAGATATGATGTCCTTTTGTGTCCTTCGTATATCATTTTTGTCATATCCATACCCTGGGAAATTTTATTGGTATCATCTTCCTATTTCATATTCAAAGCATCACCTCGCATAACGTCATAAAAAAAACATCCTTGTTGACTCAACCACATATAGGCTGTGTATAAAATTTAGTAATAATGCAGATACGAGTAGGTAGTTACCAGTTCCCCACCTAGTGGCTCGTTCGGGTCAGATAGCATGGCGGGTATAGTAGAAAGCTCCCTTTAATTAAATTACATCTGTTTTAGTGGTTCAATTTTCATGTAACCCGTATGTATGTAATAGTTATGCAAATTAAACTATGTGAAGTAAAAGAAATAGAGGTTCTTATATGAGTACCTGTGCAAGATCGTCCATTCTTGATGAGCTTTGATAATTCTTCTTTATCGAGTCGAAGACGAGATAAAGAAACATTATCAAAGCGAGTCAAGAATGGACGATATTGCACAGGTACGAGTACAAGAAAGTTTTTCTCATATGACTCTGTATTATGCCATATTTTCACCATTTTATCGTAAAACTGAGTGAAAAATAGCTTCAAATTAATTGAACTTCATCTTTCAATTGTTATGACGTCATAACAATATTAAAGAAAATACATAGATACACGTGGCAACAAAGCTCCATTGTTATGACGTCACAGCTTAGTTTTGTAGAATTAGCATGGATACTCATAGCAACGATGAGTCCGTTGTCATGTTGTTGATGTTTATAGACCAGTGATGTCACAAGTAAATCTCATCTTGCACGTGTGACTTTTTAGGATGAAAGATGGCAATATCTTGCATGGGGTAAATATGGCTATATCTTTGTTAGTCATATGAGAAAATGTTATCTGTCCAATACAAGAAAAGATATTTCACTTTTTGTGATTTTGTAACATGGGATCTATGGGGAATCAACCCGTACTAGAAGTCCCATTTAAAAAACAATTTAATTTTCAAAGTTGATAAACAATTTTTCGAAACCATATTTCTAAATGTACTTTTACATGTAGATTTCAAATATGATGTCACTTTGACTTTGAATTTTGAATATTTAATGACGTAAATCAAGATTATTTCTACTCGCATCTAGTCTATTACTGTAAAATAATTGAAATAACATTGAAATACCAATTGCAAATCTTGGTACAATTTTCCATATAAAGGATTGCCAAACTCTATCCGAATTAGTCACATTATTGTGATCTAAGCACAAGGAAAGGGTTACATTTTGCATTATTAAATGGCACACTCAGATGCTCATAAAAGTCACATTTCAGGAATTAAAATCGTTCCAGTCATGAAGTATTAAAAGTCAGAGATAAAGAAGCACTGATGATAGGGAACATATAAAAATGGTCTATCGTGTATTTATTAGGGCAAAAAGTATTTTGGATGTTATACCACTCTAAGTCCAATTACAGTTGTATAACATGGGTCTATAACAACGATATACAGTGGAGAGTGGTATATCGTCATCGTATACAACTCCTCCGTATACACTCCAGCGTATACCACTGTAGAAGTGCATTCTGGGAACTAATGAATAAAAAAATCACAGAGCTGTCAAGTGTCCCGCGAATGGCGGGATTATCCCGCGAATTCGATCAAAATTAGGCTAATTCGCGTGTCCCGCAATGTCCCGCGAAGTCCCGCAAATGTGGCTTTCGACCTCCGCGAATTTCCGAAATTGTTGCAATCCCCTATATGGTGATTATCTTATCTTATAAAAGAAGCTAATTTTTTGCACTTTTGAGGAGTAAAGTTTACCTAATTTTAAGTACCTAGCATGCTGTTGTTTGGTATCAAAATTAAGAGGAAGGGTTCAACTTTCATTTTAATTACGACAATAGGGATGTAGGTCACAAATAGTTCCAACGTTGGCCTTTTTACTATCCGTGTGGCCTTCATCTCAGAACTGAGCAAATGTTAGCAAACGCGAGTTACAATAAATGGACGCTGATATCTAGAAAGGGTTTGTAGAAAAAACCGGGTACCGGGTAGTAAATCCTCCATGCTGGGTTCAAACTTGGTACCCGGTACCCGGTCAAAAGACGGGTACCCAACAAATGAAAAATACGAATATACGAGTATAACATAATTAGATTATCAGAAAACGTGTATGATTTGTTTTGAATTTACAAAAATGTATGTAACATCCTTCAAAATTGAGCTAGAAGCTTCAAATAAAAAGCATATTTTAAGGCTCTTTTCTTCCTCTATCGTCATGACCATATTTTCATTGGTTATGTTCACGTACCAACATACGAACTCATTGAAAATAGAGTAAAATTGATTTGTCTTGTTATTCAAATCGTCTTACAATGTCATTGGCGTAGCCAGGAGAGGGTGTGATCGCACCCCCTCCCCCTTCATTACCAATGGAAATATGACCATGATGATAGAGGAAGAAAAGAGGCTTAAAATGCTTTTTATTTGAAGCTTCTAGCTCAATTTTGAAGGAAGTTACATTTTTGTAAATTAAAAACAAATCTTACACGTTTTCTAATGATCTAATTATGTTGTATATTCGTATATTTCGTTTTTTGGGTACCCGGTTTTTCGACCGGGTACCAAGTTTGTCTACGTAAATTTTATTTATATTATTAATTGCATTACATTTACATGTACAAAAATAAGAATGAAGGAATAAAAAAAAAAAAAAAAAAGTTTGAACCCAGCTTTGAGGATTTACTACCCGGTACCCGGTTTTTTCTACAAACCCTATCTAGAAAAGTAACCTCATTCCCTATAATTTGATGTAGATTAATCGAACCCCTATATCATGGGCTTTCAATTGAGTATGGTAGTAGTTGGTCACGACGCAAAGTATTGTTCCAAATTTTTGAATTTCGTGTTAGATTACGATAGTCACACCTCAAGCATGGTTTTTGTTTTTGATAAATTACAATAAAGTTTAATAATATTTCTATGCGTATTTTGTGAAATTATGTTGACGTTTATTTAAGTTACAATGTAACGGTGCATTATATTTGATTAATCAGTATCTGAAAGTTTGATTCAAGTACTTTTACACGCTTTTACATTAGTCCAAATCACGCAAATCCCTTGAATGTCCCGGGACATCCTGCAAATTTAGGTGGATGTCCCGCGAAATCCCGCAAATTTAGGGCACTTTTTCTAGAAAATCTGTCCCTCTATGAAGTTTTTGCTAATAAACCTGTTAACTGTCCCGCAATTAGGGTGTTTGTCCCTCGAATGGTCCCGCGAAATCCCGCGAATTTGATAAAAAAAAATTGGCCTATAAGCGCAATCACGCAAATCCCTTAAATGTCCCGCGAAATCCCGCGAATTTAGTAGATGTCCCGCAAAATCCCGCGAATTTTGGGCACTGGGTCTAAAAAATCTGTCCCGCGAGAAAATCTTTGGGGGTTGACAGTACTTTCCTAGAATCAAGTGACGTCATAAATGGTTCCGGCATGATTTGCTAGAATCAAGCAACGTCATAACAGTCTGTCGGCCGACGTTATAAACCCATTGTTGTTTACCGGTTTTTAAAAAAAAGTGCGTAGTAATAATTTCGGCATTTTCGAACTACTTGTTTACGCCCGATTGGGCATGGTCTTTAACGAGTTGTTTAGCAATCAAGATGTTACTTTAATAAAATAAAAATAGTATGCCTATAATGATAAGTACCTCCTGTATCTAATGGTGTATTTTTCAACTGCCCAAGACCACGGGAAATGGGTATAAAATGCGTTGGAAAAAGGGCTACTTTTAACTTTTTTGAACTTCGACTTTGTCTGATTAATTCATAGAATAATTTATTTTTATGATTCATTTTAGATCGTACAAAAGTTGGATAATGTATCGAAAATCATGCTCGTGAAAAAATTATTTAGATTCACTTAAAATCCAACGATCGTTACAGTTTTTACTAAACCTCAAACTTAAAACGGCTCATTTTTTACACAAATAACGTGTTTGACGACACAAATCACGGATCTATCTGAAGTTTCTATCTCTAAAGTTTAGGCATTTCGCACACCAAATAAATATTGTTATATAAAAATATGTATCACCCGTTATTCGCGGAAGGTATTTAATTTCATGTATACGAAATATTTATCTGATCTGATAACGATTAAGTATTCATTTTTCAGTTAAAAAATACGAAAACTGCTAAAACGGGGCTAATATTGAGACAAAAATTACGTGTGACGTAATTATTTCTTTAATCATGCATTTTCTTCATAGAAATCTGGAATTAATTTTAAGGATCAATATTTAATGCAAA